AAAAGTCCCACATCTCAAAGTTGATTCTCAAGAACATCCATGAGCAACTTGGACATTCTGGCCGAAACCACATGCTGTCCAAATTACATCAAAAGTACTGGATGCCCTCTGCCAATGCTGCTGCACGTAACATTCTCAGAAACTGTGTTCATTGCAGGCGAATGCAGTCTACAGCAGGAGAGCAGAAGATGGCAGATCTTCCGGAAGACAGAGTGTTGCCAGATATGCCACCATTCAGTTCAGTGGGTATGGACTATTTTGGACCATTCGAAACAAAGCGTGGTCGCAGTAATGTTAAAAGATGGGGTGTAATTTTCACCTGTTTAAACACTCGAGCGGTACATTTAGATGTTGCCAGTAGTCTGGACACAAGCTCATGCATAAATGCAATCCGAAGATTTGTATGTCGCAGAGGAACTGTTTTAAGCATCAGATCAGACCAAGGCACAAACCTGGTTGGTGCAGATAAAGAACTGAAGAAGTCACTAGAGGAGTTCAATCATGACAGAATCAGTGAAACACTCCAGAAAAGAGGCATAAACTGGACCTTTAATCCTGCAGCCGGGGCCCATCACGGAGGAGTCTGGGAGAGACTTATTCGAACTCTAAAAAGGATATTGTGCTCTATTACGAAAGAACAAGTTATGGATGATGAAGCTCTGCAAACGATGCTGTGTGAAGTAGAAGCCATAATGAATGACAGGCCCATCACCACAGTAACGAATGACAAAAATGACATGAAACCGCTGACACCGAACCATCTCCTGCTGCTTAAAACTAAGCCTGTTTTACCCCCAGGACTTTTCTGTGAAAGTGACCTTTACTCCAGAAGAAGATGGAGACAGGTCCAATATTTGGCAGATCTCTTTTGGAAAAGATGGGTCAGAGAATACCTCCCAATCATGCAGAAAAGAAACAAATGGAACAAAGTGAAAAGAAATTTACAACCAGGTGATGTTGTTATCATTGTGGATCACACTGCTCCTAGGAATTCATGGATCCTAGGACGTGTCCTGCAAACCCAGCCTGGAAGTAAAGGATTAGTGCGAAGTGCTCTCATTAAAACGAAAACAGGCATCCTCCAACGACCCATAACCAAACTTTGTTTGCTTCTAGAAAATGAAGATGGACATTAAACCTACATGACCTTACCTTTGACCTGACGTGACATGACTGACCTCGACCGAAGCTCTTATATATAAAAAAAAATAAAAAAAAAGGAAAAGAAAAAAAGGAAAAAAAAAATACTTATTTAAAAGCTTGAAAGTTTATAAAAATAAGGGGAATGATTATTTATTAAAATTGTAATTGCTAGACCAGCAATTAGGGGCTGGAGATGTTAAGGCCATAATTTAGTTTATATTAAAATGTCTAAATGTCTAAAATGTTTAGGTCTAAAATTAGTTCTAGAATTTAAAATCATTATTTAAAAACATCCTGAAATATATTTGTTATAATGTTAAATATAAAAATCGTAATATTCCTTTATTTAGAGCTAGAGGGGGCGGTACAGACGGGACAGAGTATTCATAGATGGGACAGGTGTGGGGGAATCGGCATAATGAAGGTGACCGACATGGTTTTTGACCGCAACGCAACGCACGAACGCACGCACGCTACGCGCAGACTATTTGATTTGAAATAAAACTTTGGAAATGGATCTACGGCTACGTGTTGTGTTTGATGCTGTGAGTCAGAAAGCGGACACCCAAAGGATGGCTACATGATCGCTTAGAAGCCAACACACAGCAAGAAGGTCTTGAGCTCGAATCCCAGTTGGAACAAGGTCTTTCAGAGTGGAGACTACATTTCCTCCCCGTGTCTGCATAAGTTTCCTCCGGGTGCTCCATTTTCCCATACCACTAAAAACATGTACAATAGGCAAAATCCTCCAGCTCTGTTCCTGACCAACCCGAGCATCAACATCTGGAGCAACACTGCTGCTCACAAAGGTCCGAGCGGCATTCGTCCCTAGCGGATGAGCCAAACGCAGAGGATAATAAGTATACCCTCTAGAGTGAAGACCTCCAGATCACCTCCAAAATCATGTGTTCCTCGTTCCATTTCGAGGTTTCCTGAACATTTTACAATAACCCAGTTCTCATTTTGTTTTTGTTATTGCGCAACCACACAGACAAAAAAACCCTGGTGAAAATGCCAACTGTGAATGGGTAAAGACATATTCACAGTATGATACATATAGTTATTATTTTGAACCTTATTTCAGATAAAGTAACTTAAGTTTGACACCGTGGGAAATCATTGGTCATTGGTGTTGATCATGTGAACACCCTAAAGAAGCCACAAATATGCCAGCAGAATACACAAGCAGCGATTTGGAAAGCAGGCTTCTCAGACACAACAGGGCACTTCTTTAGTTTTCCTCTCCCGGGTCAGCCTCGTATCAAAGCCAGCCTGTAATCTGGTCAGACATGATGGCTGATACATTGTGGGAGAGATGGGAGCTCTGAGAGTGGGGGCCTGGTGGGCTCTACAGGAGGACCATGTGAAGGCTCCAGTGGGCACAGACCTAAGCACATAATCGCGGCTTCCGGTTTTCCGCCATTGTTCTGTTAAATCAATCTTCATGTGGCTTACACAGAGAGACATGAAGGCAATTAGTCTCTCTGTGGTCACACTTGCACATATACTGTCTCACATTTTTCACCTCTCAATTGTAATGTAAGGCCTAAAAGACTTCCTTTGTGAGTACTACGAATTCATTGTAAATTTTCTAAAAGGGTTAGGGGTAAGGTGGAATTGAATATAAAGGGTACTTACAGCTGGGATACCCAACTTTCAAACCACAAAAAACATATGTGAACTAGTTCCTTGCTCTAAAGCAGTTTGGTTATGATTTTTATATGCATGTATTTTTGGCCTGTCATCTTAAAACAGCTTATTTTAGAAAGAAAAGTGAAAAAGAGAGAGCCATTCTCAGCCCAAAGCGTCAAATAGTGACTCACAGTGCTCTGCAAAAGATATGTTTTTTTTTAAATAAGATAAAAACAGAATGTTGTGGTCTACTTTATTTTCGCAATCATGTCACTTTTAGAGACTTTCTTTCTCTAAGGACATTATTTGTGTTTTTCTCTTCTCAACCTTATCCATTTGGTTAAAAGTAAACATTTTATTTCGAACACTGGAATAACTTAACCACGCACTATTTCTAGTTGTTCCTTGCTGATGCAGGAGGGTCAATGGACAGTGACTGCATTTCCTGAATTCTCTGATCTGTTACGTAGGAATTGACAACTTTGTGATGTCCTCCGAGACCACTGCTGTTGTGATTTAGGGCTATGCAAAAATATCCTGATATGGATTGAATATGGAAAATGTACAAAAGGAAATGGTATCATTCATCCACATCCTATCTATCATTGTCTCATTTAGAATTCATAGACATTCTCAATCTCTTTACAAACACGTGAACAGAAAACTGGTAAAGCCTGAGAGAAAAGGGGAAACATTTGAATACACACAATGCGAACACACCTGTGTCGCTGCCGCTAACAAGCTGACGGTGAAGGTAAGACACGGCGGTGGAAAATAAACAAATGCAAATTGTTGTCTTTAGCGAGGCCATTCTGCACATACGCTTGTCTAATCACCTTATCTCCAAACACATCTTCACAAGGCCCTAGCTCCGCGCTCCATAGAGTCATCAACTTATCCCAATTAAGTGTATCTTAGTGGAGCTAGACAATTAGGCTGATGTTTTGTGCCCTTAGCCACTAGAACACTCCCAGCGGATTAAGCAGGCCTGCACGGAGACAGCTCAAGGGATTATTTGGGACTTCAAAGGGGCATTTATTTGTGTAACCTCTTACATGTAAGGTTTAATGCGCCGTGCCATTCAATTTGGGAATTCACGTGGCACTTTTGTGTGGTGCAACTGCGTAATGCGTTTTTCTAACCAACGTATACCAATTGTTTGAAGACTATAGTGGATGCTGAGCCTTACAGGGACACTTACGAATTCATGAGCGTTGTGGAGAACGCCTTTGGAATTGAAACCGCAAGCAGCGTTGAACGGAGTATAGGCAGCAGTCTTTGGTTAAAGGGCGTGAGACATGTTGGAGTAGGCTTTGCATAAAACACAGTTCACATTAATACATTATACCATTTTTAACCCAGTTTGACAATAGTTTATAGTTTTATTTTCTGGTTGTGAATGATGACGTCGCGCTAGGGAAGTATTAACCCATGTGATAAACTGGACCAAAACTCCAAAAGTATTCATTTGTTTATTTATTTGAAATGTGAATCATTAAAATGTAATCCAAAAATATTAGTTGTAAATCGTGGAAAACTTTATGCTGAGTCCTGTGTGTCCTTTGTATGATGTTGAAAGTTCTTTGACTCTTTTTTACCTAAGATGTTTTTTTGTGAGTTTATGGCTTTGTTTTTTCATGATTTGTATATGATTTGTTGGGGGAAAAAAAGATCTACTTATTGGAAATGTAAACATGCTTTCCCAATCATTACAGACAAATTGTGACTTAATTGGTGTAAAACTAAGATTTATATTTTTAACCAGTGTTATTCCAAAAAATGCTAGCCTGGCTACAGACATTCTGCTGTGTGTGCTCAAATCATTCTGTGCCCTGACCGAAATGTTTGCATGGAAACGGGAACCAATCACAGAACGGGAAGGACCAGGAAGGGACGAAAAAACGATGATGTCACACTACTCTACAGAGGGAAGCTTATAGTTTGTTTACAGATCCAGCAGATAGCAGCAGACACAAATCCCTCATGGTGACCAAAATTAGAAAATCATAAAAACAACAGCGTGGTGTCACCAACCTTGTAGGCAGGCCTTGTTCTTAAGAGCTTTTGTTTCTCCATTTGCACAAGGTAACCATCAGATACTCTTCTTTGGGTTGACTCTGGTCCCATCTTTGGTCCTGGCTGACCTATAGGGGGCAGCACTTTGTAAGAGCTGCAGCTTTGGGGTGAGCTGGAGGGCGTACTGGAGGTCTGCTGGTCACTATGTGCTATCTGGGCTTCGGTGAGACGTTCTTCTTGTGCAGCCACACTGAAAACACAAAGACCACATAATGTTGTTGGATTAAACTAATTATATCTGTGTCTGTCTGTCTTTATGAACTAGTGCGTTAAAATGGGAAGTACATGTTTTTTTTGTGTGCTTTTGAATTGATCATGATTTTGCACTGTTGTGTTAAAATACCACGTCAACCAGGGACAACTATGGGAAAGGTTGGCGTGTTCTTTGAACCAGTTTTAGCTTATCACCGGGGGAAAATGGGAATGTGTCAAAATTAAAAAGGGTCGATGAAGAAATATTATTACTTTGTTGCATTCATGATCAAAGGGAATCACATCATAATGGACTAGCTTATTGACATGTAGAGGTATGCACACATAGCCCAAACGTCGGTGGTTTGTTATACGGCTCAACGCAGTCATTAAGCAAAGTATTGTCCCTTATGAGACTTGTGTGTGGTTTTATGACCTTCTACAATGGACCCACAAGTAAATTAGGGTCAGGGTTAAGGGTTATTCAATGGTTAAAGCTGACACAATAGCCACCTGAAGCACGTCAGCCTTGTTTGGGCACATCTCAGTGGCAAAGGAACAGGTTGGCCACTACACCTTGTTCAGAAACATTTAAGGTAAGTAGCAGAGTCTACACTAAAACACGTTTGAGTTGAGCCTACTAGTATAATTGTTTTGACAACTAGGCTACAATAATGTATTAATTTCATTGTTCATAAAAGAAAACTGTAAAAAATAAAAATAAAATAAAAAATAGAACAAATTGCCAATACCAATGCAGATAATGCGTCAAACCCACAGAACACGACTTGGTTTACGAGGTGGGCTTAAAGGCGAATCGTTTCAATCCGCCCAGTGTGTACGGACATGGTGAGCTGTGTTTCTGGACAAAAAACCTGTATTTTTGTTTAATGGAAATTATCCTAAAATGACAAGTAGCAAAATCTCACAATTACCTTTGCCATTGATCGGGGATGTTCTTAAGGTTCCACAGGTTTAAGTCTGCATGAACAGACCCTTGATAAACGACAGTATGATTGTTTTGACCTGTTTGTTCAGTGCCTGTAGTGAGCGCCCCCTGCAGGTTAGGAGTGGGATGAGTCTTCTTCCTCTGACAGGACAGTTTGATGATGGGCTGGTGTGTGTTGAACAGTGGCAGATTTGGTGCAGAGTTGAGGCTGATGTTGAGGTGGATGGTAGGAGACACCGGCTGGGATGAACTTGGAGGTTTGTGGAGGAGTTTTATAGGTGCCTTTGTTAAAACGGAGCTCAGACTGTCTCCCTCCTCGGTGTTGACCCCTGGGGTAAGAGCCTGCCGCCGAACAGCCGGATTTAAGTCTTCTTTCCGCTCGCCTTTCTTCTCTTTCCTCATGTCACTGACCTGAGGTTATAGAGCAATTAGGATTGACTTGGGTGGATTCTAGGAAGTAATATCCAAACTAGAGTTGTAATCAGATATTGTTTTTATATTCCTTTAGTTGGCCATGTATACTTTCATTATTATTTATCATATAATTGTTTACATCCTGAAAAGGTCAGTGAATATGGGATACATACAATACTTCACATGAGAACTTGGGACACAATGGGTTTATTTACTGATGAGTGTAAGTGTTTTAGTGAAAGTTGTTGAGTTTTATCTTTTGCTTTGACTACTAGTACTGGATTGTCCCTTCCAAATCAATAAATAATAGTAATGTCTAAAAAAGATTATATTTTGTTTTTTATTATTTCAATTCTAGATTATAGACTAAACCAGAGTGACAACCGTAATAAGTATTTTAGCAGTTCATACTGTGTTTAGCTGTGAGTAAATGACATTAGTTACAGCTGCCAAATTTAATTCAGAGTTTACAAAGCACAGACAGAAGAATGTGTGCCTAACTGGAAGTGAAGCCCAAATCTTTCCCGGGACAAGCAGGTCCATCCTCTCCTCTGCATCCTTGAAGCAAATTATTTCTCAGAAGCTGTGCGAGTGTGCATGCAATGTGGCTGATTTAGCGCACACATGTTTTGGCTTTTCCGAGGGGAATATTTCCACGGCTCTGTTTGGAAGCATTATGGCGGATGCTCAAGTGCTTTATACAATAATGCCTTTGTATCATTCACTTGCCTCTGTCATAGTCTTTAATACCACCCAATGATGTTTTGTTCTATAGTTGTAATCATTAGTGATATTGACAGTGTTTGACAAGATGAAGGCTGTAGTAAAAACAGTAGGTGAATGTTGTGTATGATTGGACAACTTAATTACAATATTGTTCAAAAGTCTATTTACTTCTGTAACATGAGATTTATAGGGCCTTTTGTTATAAAGAAAATATGATAATTATGGGTCACAGCTTGCAACAGTAAAACGTTAATATTTTGAAAATATACTGTAAGCCATAATCATCTAAATTAAAACAAACAAAGGGCCCATCATTTTGCATGTGACATATTTACAAAATGATGGTATAAGGTTATAATGATGCAGGATAGCATTTTAACTATGTAGCTGTATCTTGTCATTTGGGGTCTTTTGTATTACTATGTCTTGTTTATGTCACAATGCCACAAAAGAGATTGTGAATCCATTTCTGCTCTGCTCAAATTAATAAAATCAAATCACTCAATCAAAACCCTCTGTGGTTTCTCTTTGACAGAAGTAACAGGACTTTAGTCATGTTTTGTTTTAATCCATTGATTTTGGAACACCTTTATCTGTTGTGAGGTTTGCAGCTGAACATTGCTTTCCTCTTTTGAGCTGGATGTTGCTTTTGAAGCGTGCTGAGCCTATGAAAACAGAAACATAGATTAAAACACAGAAACAGCTTTTTTTTTTTAAACCACCACACACATAATCTCTTCCTTGTAATGCATCATATTCCGGCCTCCACACATAAAATAAATCTGCCTAAATTTAGAACTACTAATGTCTGTATCTCTGTGCGAAGAGTTACACACTATGGAACAATTCAAATGGGATAAAGGTTCAACAATATTTAGGCCTAAAGAAGTACCTGGAGCCAAGAGAAGCTAGGTTATATGTTATAGACACTGTAGGAAATGAGTCCTCTGCATTGACCCATCCTGCAATACTCGGGTCTCGGCACCATCTCCAGATGTGGATGCTCGGCTTCGTCAGGACCAGTACTGGAGGATTTTTTACCTATTGTACTTGTTTTTCGTGGGAGAGGAAAACAGAGCACCAGGAGGAAACCTACATAGACAATGCCCATCAATGGGTGATGGGGAAGAGAGTGTTTGAGCTTGGTTTTGTGTGTGTGTCTGCATGTCTGTGTGTGTGCGTACACTGTATTAAAAAGTGTGAGTGGAAGGGGACACAGCCAAAAAAGTGTCTACCCTTTTTCAAACTGTATTACGGTTAATTTTTGTGTCCTGTGTTTTTGTTTTGGTGTACAGACGTTTTAAAAAAAGAAAAAGTATATATATCATTATTACTATATTATCTGTGTAAAAACCCCAGTGATTACCCATACTCCACTTTACAGCAATGAAATATTACGTTAATGCGCTAATGAAAATAATTTAGTCAACTTCAGGATCCCCCTCTGCGGAAGAGGGCCATCTGAGTGGATCAATGCTATTGACCGGATGGAGACATTTCACTGAATGCCACTAATACTGCGAGCGTGTATGGGGTATGAAGGTCACGAATAAGTGGATCCAATTGTTGCTCATCTATCAATAAACTGGTTCATAACAGTTCGAGCATGACACAGATAGACAAGCATTATTCTCCAGATTCTCAAGGGTCACATTTTTGGACATAGAGCGGTATGAAGACAACAACAATGATACGTAAGCTGCGAGATCAAGAGCCAGTGTCATACTCTTGTACGTGATAAGCAGACATCACCTCCGCCCATTGGCCCACACAGTCGCCTTTTATCACCCATTATAAAAAATCCCAATCAGTTGGAGCAAATGATCAAGCCATATTGCATTTCAAGCATGATAAGCAGCGTAATATCTTCTCTGGGCAAATTGGGGGGCCCGTAATTGCTTCTCAGCGACCATATCACAACAAAGTCTTGCAATTGTGGCTCGCCGTATTACCCCCTGTACCGGGGAAACATCTGCTTTTTCCAATGAAAACTTCAAAGGGGCTACGGATTCTTGAATTGCATTTAGCCGCTATTGTGGTCGGCCCAGGTAATCTTGATTAGGTGTTTAGACTGAGGAAGGGTATACAGTGGTAGAGAGCTCCCCAGAAGCTTTGGTCTAAAGCTATTAAAAGATGGTACATTATGTTCCGCTGGCTTTGAAGTGAGGGCCGTGGACCGGGGACTCGGAAGGGGCTGAGTGCAATAGCATAAGATTGATCTGCTACTTGTGTCTTTATCAAAGGAAGACCAAGCCAATCATCGCGACCGCCGCTCTGCCACTTGGCCCGGCTAAACATTTGCTGCATTAAGATATTGTGTACATTTAATAACACAGCGAATTATGACAAGTCGCTTTCACTTGGCTACTTACTTCAAAAGACAAGCATTAGGGGAGAAAGGTAAAAGGGCTCTAACAACTTGATTGTCTGGAGCCATGGTGACTGAAGAAACGGATGTGAGTTGTACGTGAATATCTTTGAAAAGGAGAAGGATAAGCAGCGGCAAATGATCAATACAAGTCAAAAGACAAAAGGTCACAAAAGAACTGACCAAAACATTGAATGTGGAGAGATTGAGGCGCTTGTTAGGTTGTAAATACACGACCATAGTCAACTTCATAACTCAAGTTCATGTAGAAATTAAAAAAGAAATGAGAATAGATAGAATAGAATAGAACTGTATTGTCCCCAGGGAGAAATTTGTCTTGGATTCAGTGCAACTATTTCCACATAATGTCATCCAGAAAAACATCTACAGTAGAAAAGTTAAAATATCCTAATAAATATATTCTAGAAAAAGATTAAAACATTAAAAAACATACAAAAATAAATGTGGCCTTTAGAGAGCTAGTTTGAGCAAGCATGTATACTTAATGAAATTATTTTTAGTATATTTTTAGTTTAAAATGTCAGTTTATTTGAAAATTTAAAAATAAAACGCTGGGATTTCAACATTTAAATAGAGCATTGCGTCTTATTTTTGCAATTTAGTAATATTAACTTCAGCATGTAATACTGTTGGCTAGAATCTTAATCTTTTGTTCGGTTTAAATGATTAATTTGTCTCTTAGAATCATCATTATAAGCTGGAAATACATTAGTACAAAAAAGTTCTCTCTTGCCATTTTCCATCTTAATTCTTTAAGTGTGCATGTGTGGGCGTGTGTTAATTTATTTTGAATTGAAATAATTATTTAAACCTTTTTAACAAGGCATACAAATTGTGCACACAGCAGATTTTGCGGCCCCTTTTTCATACCCTCTGTCCCCCATTAAGTGTGACACGCCTTTGAGGACGCCAGGCAATAGAAAACTAATAAGCGATCTCAGAAGCAAAAAGGCAGAACACAATGGCTGCGAGGAGAAACAGGCTCTGGCTCTGTTTACCATTGCACAAAGATAACAGCCCTTGACTATGTAAATGGCAATGATACGAGAATAGTAGCACGCTGGGGCTCAGATGGGTGAACAAGCTTGGGGGTATTATAGGCAGCCGACGGTCTGGTGGGCCAACAAATGGGGAATGGGGACCTTCACAAGCAATTATGCCACTGTGCCAGGTGCAGGGATGGCTGAGGGCCTATTGGTAACCGTGCGTCTGTGATGTTCTTGTTGTACACATCAACTCATAATAAGCCATGCGTATCCAGACCCTTTTCATGCGCTGGAGGAGAAGCGGATGGAAAAAGCTAGACTCCTCAACAAAATTAAATTTCCAGCTTTGGTCAGAAGATAATATTCTTCTTGTGGCTCTGATGATGACAAGAAACCACAGGTACATGCCAGAAAGCTGCGCTGCACAAATACAAATACACACCATGCCGATCATGGTGGGACAACCACTGAAAATAATATAACACTCAGTCCAAAATCTAACAACGATGCAATATTCTGCTTCACTTTTATGGCTGCACTGTAGGAAGTCTGCTCTAAACCTGGTGGTCCGCTCTGAAGGAGAGCCCTAAACATTGTGGTTCCCCTTTGGGAAAAGGACAGTGAGCTGTTGGCTGCCAATTCTGGAGGATCTTTATGAATCTAGACTTTTAAAATTGAGCTCTGGAAATTATCAATGATCCTTCTGGCCACCCCAAGGAGGCCATGTTCCAGCTTCTTCCCTTTGAAAGATATAATTCCTTGAGAATAAATGGAATCTAAACAGGTGATTTTGAAATAAGCATTGTCAAGTGCATGTTTTGAAAATGAATCAGGATCATGAAGCAAAATAAAGAATGCAACCCATTGTGACATCGCTGTATCCAAAAGCTCAGGTCAGACTGACAGTCGATCATATAAAGCAAACCACAAACAACCTGGGTCCGGACACACGACCTGGGTTTGTATCCTGGTTGAAGGGGATTTTCTGAGTGGAGTTTACATGTTCTCCCCGTGTTTGCGGTGGTTTTCTCCGGGTGCTCCTGTTCCCCCTACCACAAGGTTCAGGGTAAATGAGTGTGTGGTTGTGAGCGCGACTGTGGAATGGCCGATGGAAATTAGCCCAAGGGTAATTGAATTTGAAATGTGAAAGTTTATGTAGTAATGTATTATACTCTGCCTGCATATTGATGTATAGTATGTAGTATCTACAGAACTCCCATGATTTTGAAGCACAATGATTGAATCCAAATGAAATCAACAAATTTGTCAAAAACATCAGATGCACATCCTTGGCTCATGATCAAGCCATATATGAAAGTTCAGGTCAATCAAAATAAATCAGATTGCCGATTATAACACATAAAGGCTTGATGTTTTTCAATGTGTGTGTAGTAGTTCTGTCGCAGATTAGTTTCATATTGTCATTTGAGTTCCAGAAGTATATGGACTTTCAAACAAAATCCTAATTGTGTGGGTTTCACCTGTATTATGAATATAGGGCTTAGAGGTGGTTGAATTCTTTAGTTCTATGTAATATTTGTACTAGTATTGACATTAGATAACATTATTTCTTCTTTTATTCTAAAAAATCTATGTCTATTCATAAAAGATGTAACAGAAGGGCAGGTGCCATGAAGATTGAGGAGCAGCTCTGAACGCCTCCCCCTTATTCAGTAATGGATTAAACAAGGGGATGAAAATGAATGAGAGAATGAAAACCTTAAACTTTGACATTATTGCAACTGTTACAATTGGCTTACTGCTCACAGTTTTGGAATAATTTGAAGAAATATAATGACCAATACCTTGCAGTCTAACTAGACACTTACTCCACACCAGTCATTACTACTGCAACAGCAGCGCCTGGTGTCTCCTTGTGTTATTGCAGCATTTAAAGGAACTACGACCTTCACTACCATCCCTCCCAAAATCAATCTAAAAATGTGGGAAACGGGTCTAAAATAGCCCTAATTGAGTTCTTTCTGCTGTAAATGTAATTCATCTGTAAATAAGAAAATACTGCAATCGTGTGCAATGTGCAACTTTACTTTATCTACTAATTATCCTGCCCTATACAGTATGTACAGTATATAACTCTGCACTACATATGTATTTTTTGAAAGACTGGTACTGAAGCATTTACAGCAAGCTTAGAAACATAGCCACTACTTATTTTGTATATTCTGAGTGCTCTTACTACTGTCACTACTGCGCTGCAACATTGAAATTTCCCCAATGTCGAACAAACAAAGGATCTCTAATCTTATCTTTAGTAGTTCTATAATTCAACCAAAGATGACAAATAATGAGATACATACCTTCATGACATTTTGGAGAGGCCTTTGTGCATGTGCCTTTGCATATGACCCCGTGTTTGTGTCACGTCCTAAAGTCAGTTTGTTACGTTCCACAATATCCTCCAGTGTCTTTGCCTTTTTGTCCACTTTTTGTCCCTTTTTTGCATCAGTTTGGTTTGAATTGTGTGCGACGTTCTTCTCTGCCCTATTAGAAGCTCTGTTTTGTGCTGTTGGTTGGGTATGCCTTCCCTCACAAGGGCTTGGCTGTGAACTGTTGCTCTGGGCGGGTGGAGGGGTCGCGATCGCATTATTTGATGCATATTGTGGATGTAGAAGATATGGCTGGTCATGTTGGAGGTTTTCCGGAGTCATCGTAGGTGGCTGACTTGTGCTGGTAATCAACGTGTATCCATCTCTTTTGAGGCCTCCTTTTCTCTCTTTATGAGGCTTTTCTTCTGGGACTAGAAAAGATGTGTCAACAGAGATAAGAGGACTGTTGTGGGACCATGCTGCTCCATTTGACTGAGTCTTTGGACTGAGTCCATGATCCAGGTGTGAACAGGCATCATCTGGGAACACCTGGCTTCAATGAAGAAAACAGACAACAGCAATTAGACCAAAGTGTTTATCATTTAAATTAATCAAAGCAAATGTGGGATATCACATCTAAACCCACACATAGGTGTAATTACATAATTAGTCAAATGACATTTAAGTGTTGGTAAACATCCTCATTAATAGAATTTCCATATCTAAAAGGAACAGCAGACACGTCTTGTAGCGTGTTCCTGTGGCAATAGGTCAAAGGAGCAAGAGGCATGAGAGCATGATTGCTGTGATGAGGCCTTTAAACAAAGGGGATTGGGCTGTATCACACACTTTTAAAATTCAAACAGATGAGTGGTATTATGAGGCTGTAGTTACCGATAATTTCCGTATTTTCACCTCCAAGCTTATTAATGACAGTGTGTTCGAGAGCTACTAGCAGGGGAATGGTTAACAAATGGCAATTTTCAGCTTATGAAATGGCTGGAAAATTGCAGGCTAAAATGCTCTTTCTGATGGTGATGAAAAGATCTCATTAAATAAATAGCAGAGGGTCTCTTTGTTGTGCTTACAGAGGAGGACGAGGGGAGCCTAATTCTACTGACGTTGATGTTGTGTGTTGGGGGAGGGTTGCCTAGGTGTAGGGCTCTTCACTTCTTATGAGGCCAAAAGGGTAAGGGATGCCTCGCTAATGACTTACATTCAAACAAGTTGTAGAATGCATTGCAGGGTCCATGCAGCTGGGCACTGCCAATACAACAGAGCCTTTTATTTCTTGTCCAAAATACAAAATACAGATACAAAGGATGGAGATATAGTGTCATATTGTGCTTGTGATGAAATACTCATGCGGTCTTTGCTCAAACATCCGTTAGCAATATTTCAAGTTGGATAGCTATGAAGTATGGTGCAAAAGGATGAATGGAGCATCCTAAATAGGAATCTTTCACTTGAATGAAGAATGCCCAATGGGTTTGTAAACTATGCAATGACAGCCATTGTGTGAAAGGGCTTACCCGCTTTGAGGAGGCAGTAGAGAGGACTATGAGAACATGATGATGGGAATAGGATTGTGTCCAGTGTCTGGCTTTACGAAATGGAGCCTTTTGTGAGAATATGTCATGGTCATTTTCTCATGAAACAATGTAGTTTATAGGCAGACCCACACTTGGTGGGCATCAATTCACTCAGGTTAATGACAGGAAAATGGAAAATGCTCCCTTTCCTTTTTGAAGGGAAATGACTATCACATTGTGTCTGAAGGAAGGCGAGAGGAAAAAAACTAAATGGGTGCAAATACAGAGTTCTCTCCATAGATACCTACCTTTGCTTCTTCAAAAGACCTCTCACAAGGGACACTGTTTGTGATTAGTCTGAACCAAAACAAAAATCTAATTTTCCTTCCATAAAAGCTGACATTTTGAAGAAGGTGAATTTGAATGTGACATATTCTGTTTTGGATTGTCATCAAACAACTGATTTAATCATGTTATTTAGTCATTTAGGCTTGTTTGTTTACTTGAGCTTGGCCTATACTATTTCCTTATTCTTATATTAATGGTATATTCACATATCATATTATATTCTTCCGATGTGAATTTAGTGTGCATTGCGCCATGAACAGACCTCAACAAGAACTCTTTCTTGATCGATAACTTATTTAACATATACAGGTAGATACTCAACATCAAAAGAGCCTGTGTAAAATTGAATGCAACATTTAGTGCACGCGACATGACTATATTAATATATACAGTCTATGGACATGACCAAAAGACAGTAATCATCTAGTCTGCTACTGCCATCTGCTGGACAAATGATATAGTGACAGGGGGAGATTTCATGCTAAGCAATTGACTACTAGTATTGTTATTTTAAAAACAAAATTATATGACTGTGTTGGACATTGTAGCCTACCTGTTTGTGTTCCCATGTATTTGATGCACCAGTCCTTTACCTCGTCCCAGGATAGAGTTCTTCGACATGAATTTGGAATTGGACATTTCTAGGCTGTCCAAGACCCACATATCTTCATCGTCAACAGCAGAATCTGTTGTTTTGAGCGAGGCGTTGACATTGTTGTTGAAACCAGCCCTTTCCCCTGGAGAGATCTGGTTGATGTTCCATTGCAGCTCCTGTTGATAGGCCCTTTCCTGAGCCAGGCTCTCGGTGTCAGACTCAGCAGAGTCCCACTCAAAACTGGGATCAGCAGACTCCTGATAAGAATCCTCCATGTTCCTGTGCCCTATGTCCATGTTTGCTAGATCTGTACCAGTCTTTTTCATGCATCTGGAAACTGGTGGGAGACAACAGTAAATATGAGCAGACCAAGACAAATCAGACTGAACACATACATTGGCCCCAAACAACTTTGAAAACAATTTCTCCATTGATTTCTGTTTGAGATCATTTTAGTGTCTCCTTTATGTTTTATGTTCTTTTGACCAATATTGACATTCATGGCTTTAGCTTTGCGTTTGAGCCTACATATGTTGGCATACCGGTGTCATATTCGATTTTTTTAATTGAGTTTAAAACCAATCTAAATAAACTACTAATTCATAATTGCCGAGAAATTTTGCAATTATTTCGACATAGGACCAAACACAGCTCGCATTATTTTTGTCTAAAACAGGGCTAAGGAGCAGTTTAATGTTAGCTTGGCAGCGGTTAGCTATGACAACGTAACATTAATTATCGAGAAGCAGATGGTAAAATCCAACAATGTATTATGGCGAGCCAAGAACACTCGTGTTGGCAGAAGCATAAAGTCCAATTTGAAACCTACCTGCGAATTCCCTTCAACAATGTAACCATAGCAACCAAGAGGCACGCACCGTACGTGACGCGTTTGAGTGCAGCTCGGACACTTTTCTAGTGCATAATGAGTTCATTATAATGGCCAATTACACAGCATATGTACCTTTTTGGGTCTAACGTGTTTAAAAGTTTAAACTAAAATATGTGAGGGTAGATTTCAAAGAATTACATTTCTTTGAATGGGAGCATTCAAAATTAAGGCTTTGAGTTTTAGTGGTTTGAGTCCTAATGTAAGAACAGACCTAATCTTCAGAGATGTGAGCGGGTGTTTGTTTAGAGCTTTTAAATTTAGAAAGAATATGCATACATTTGACCCCCCTTTGATTGCAGTGAGTGTCCTTAGTATTTTTATAAACAAGAGCCGACAGTTCATTACACGTTAACTGGTTTTAACACTTAATTATGAAATTATATAACTTTACTTTTTAAATTAAATGTTAATGTAAAAAGGAAACTAGTTCAAGGGTCAAAAGACAAGTTTTATTGCCAAAACATTGACATGTGCTGGAATGATATTTGAAGTGCAAACACAAGTATTGAACAGTTTAACAATGAAAGAAATCTATGAACCCTTAAAAACACTCTAAAGTCAACCTCAAGAGGGTATATTTCTTAGCAGCTTGACGGTAGTGAATGTTTGTTTAGTCGACCTCCTCAATGGTTGGTCCAGAGGAGCCACCCCCAGGGGCAGCCCCACCAGCTCCAGGGAATCCTCCGGCCATGCCCTCTGGCATCCCTCCGGGCATTCCACCAGCACTCTGGTACAACTTTGTGATAATTGGGTTGCACACCTTCTCCAACTCTTTCTGCTGATGTTCATATTCGTCCCTCTCAGCAGTCTAGAAGTAGTAAATTAACATGTAATTAAAGCCACCAACAACAAAACAATTTACATGATATTTGATATTTACCTGGTTTTTGTCCAGCCAGCTGATAACCTCATTACACTTTTCCAGAATCTTTGTTTTGTCTTCATCACTGATCTTGCCAGCCAGCTTCTCATCCTCCACAGTGGACTTCATGTTGAAGGCGTATGACTCCAGTCCATTCTTGGCAGACACCTTGTCACGCTGTACATCATCTTCTGCCTTGTATTTCTCAGCCTCCTGCACCATGCGCTCGATGTCTTCTTTGCTCAGCCGGCCTATTTCAATGCAAAGATTTAGACACCGCTTCTTAAACCATGCTTATCTTTTCAGACAAACTCACCTTTGTCGTTTGTGATAGTGATTTTATTCTCCTTTCCAGTGCTCTTGTCCACCGCAGAGACGTTCATGATGCCGTTGGCATCAATGTCAAACGTCACTTCGATCTGGGGAACGCCACGAGGAGCCGGTGGGATGCCCGTCAGCTCAAACTTGCCCAGCAAGTTGTTGTCCTTGGTCATAGCACGCTCACCTTCATAAACCTGTAGAACAGCAGAGCCATTTTAGACACTGGAGACTATTTCATTTTATGTATGAGCTTAAAGCTAATCGCTCAGACATCCAAGGAAGGGTTGGGCCATCTTTGGTCTTTAGACCTCTGGGGGAAACTACGAATGGCAGGAAAAACGTCATCACAGCGAGTGCAAAAGCTGGCACTGAGAGAAATCTGGCTGCAGACTCCTTCTCCCCCTCCCCCCCATCTCTCTTACCATATATATTGTCTTTGACGTTTTTTCATGTTCTATACTATGGGTGACATGTAGGTAGCATCTTGTAAACAAATGGCAACAGAATTGTCCTTTGGCATCCCAAATGCCGAGATGAAAACAGCGATCGCTCGTATACATAATACCTGGTCACAATTTGTGGAACAAACGTCACTATTTTTGTTTGTTACATAATATATACTATATGTTACATGTAAGTTTTATAAATTTATGAATAAAAACGTCTTCAAGTCCCAGGGAAGTGACGCAACAGTAGCTCATGTCGAAGGTCACGTGACAGGGGCTCAACAGGGAGGTCTGCGGAGGGGGTCTGCAGCCAGACTCTTGGGCACCTTTGATGAGAACTTGCCTGAATGAGCACTCCGGGTTGGTTGTCAGAGTATGTGGTGAATGTCTGGGTCTGCTTGGTGGGAATGGTTGTGTTGCGCTTGATCAGAACAGTCATGACGCCACCAGCGGTCTCAATACCCAGAGAGAGAGGAGTGACATCCAGAAGCAGAAGATCCTGGACATTCTCAGACTTGTCCCCGCAGAGGATAGCAGCCTGGACGGCTTCAACCACAGAGCTCATTAGACATACGGTTACTTGTTATATATTCACAGCTTTACACTTTGACCTACCTGCTCCATACGCCACAGCTTCATCTGGGTTGATGCTCTTGTTGAGCTCTTTGCCATTGAAAAAGTCCTGGAGTAGTTTCTGAATTTTGGGGATACGAGTGGAGCCTCCGACCAACACAATATCATGGATCGCCGCCTTGTCCATTTTAGCATCACGGAGAGACTTCTCCACTGGGTCCAGGGTTCCACGGAAGAGGTCAGCGTTGAGCTCTTCAAAACGGGCCCTGGTGATGGAGGTGTAGAAGTCCACTCCTTCGTAGAGGGAGTCGATTTCAATACTAGCTTGGGTGCTGGAAGACAGGGTGCGCTTTGCCCTCTCGCAGGCCGTTCGCAAACGACGCACTGCCCGCTTGTTGTCGCTGATGTCCTTCTTATACTTGCGCTTGAACTCTGCGATAAAGTGGTTGACCATGCGGTTGTCAAAATCTTCCCCACCAAGGTGAGTGTCTCCAGCAGTGGATTTGACCTCAAAGATTCCATCTTCAATGGTCAGGATGGACACGTCAAAAGTGCCACCACCGAGGTCAAAGATGAGCACGTTCCTCTCAGCACCCACCTGAAACGGTTATACATCAGAATTTGGAACGTTCTTTTAAGAATTGAGAAATGTAATAACTCACCTTCTTGTCCAGGCCATAGGCAATAGCTGCAGCAGTTGGCTCATTGATGATACGAAGGACATTAAGGCCAGAGATTGTGCCAGCATCTTTTGTTGCCTGACGTTGAGAGTCGTTGAAGTAGGCAGGTACAGTGATTACAGCATTTGAGACATTCTGAAAGGAATAGCAGACTGTCAGCATCCTTTACATTTCTCTTTTCCATAACTTTCTACTTACTTTTCCGAGGTAGGCTTCAGCGATCTCCTTCATCTTAGTCAGCACCATAGAGGAGATCTCCTCTGGGTAGAAGCACTTTGTGTCACCCTTGTACTCGACCTGCACCTTGGGGCGTGTGTTGTCGTTTATCACATCAAATGGCCAGTGTTTCATGTCAGCTTGTACTACTGTGTCATCGAATCTGCGGCCAATGAGACGCTTAGCATCTGCAAAAAACCATTCACTTTATACAACTTAAACTGGAAACGCTCATAAAATTCTCTTAACACCTCTGGTGTGAACAACACCGGAGTAAAGGTTTAGTGACTTGTGCAAAATAAAAATACTTACCAAATACTGTGTTAGTTGGGTTCATAGCAACCTGGTTCTTAGCTGCGTCACCGATCAGCCTCTCAGAGTCTGTGAAGGCCACATAACTTGGTGTGGTCCTGTTGCCCTGATCGTTGGCAATAATTTCCACTTTGCCATGCTGGAAGACTCCTACACAGGAGTAGGTGGTCCCCAGATCAATGCCAACGGCTGGTCCTTTTGACATGGTAACTAGAAAAGCAAACTTTGTTAATGTTCACATTCAAAATCACATTAAAGCCAATAGACTTACTAACTTCATATTGGGTCACCTAACCTCAAACCAGCATATATGTTATAGCCTTAATAAAAAAGGACATCATGTCCAATTCTAAACTTAGTAGATATACACAAACTTAATCTTAAATGAATGTACTGTTATGTTCTTACTGAAAGTACACTGCAGATCACGTGACTGTCACGTGACTATTCTAGTCCTTTCGATCAGAAATGTTGCGGCTGTTCAATAACGTATAAGAAAGCGAATGATGAGATATGCTAAAGATTGGAGTATTAAGAAACCGTGGCCGACCTACATTATGTACACTGCCCCAGGCTGCTACAAGAGCCCGTTATTATTGAAGGGAATGGGAGACGATTTCTACATTATGCAGCAACGTTTTAATGTTAAGGTAACAGTAAGAATAAAAATAAAATAAGTCTCACTGGTTTGTTAAAAAACATGGGTGTATGGCACAACAACTGTGTCATAAGGACGTGGTTAACAGATCCATGGGTTTATATGCGCGGCTGCGGCTTCACAGATTGTTCTAGAACATTCCGTGGAACACCCCTCCCCCACTTGTTACCAACCCCTCTCTCTGATGCACTGCGGCATGTATGTATGTATGTATGTATCATGTATGTATCATGTATGTATCATGTATGTATGCATGTATGTATGCATGTATGTATCATGTATGTATGCATGTATGTATCATGTATGTATGCATGTATGTATCATGTATGTATCATGTATGTATCATGTATGTATGCATGTATGTATGCATGTATGTATGCATGTATGTATCATGTATGTATCATGTATGTATGCATGTATGTATGCATGTATGTATGCATGTATGTATCATGTATGTATGCATGTATGTATCAGCGCAGCTTTAGGTTAAACTAAACTACCAAAAACATGAAGATGCGACTCCGCCGTAAATAGAAACTAACTAGGCCGCGGGTAACGGCTGATCCCAAAGGAGGATTACCGTTAACGCGACTTTTAGCCATTCCAAAATAAACCAACTGTAAAAGCGCCTGCCATAAAGAGAACAAGTGTCTTACCTAATGTTTACGTTACAGAAGATGGATGTGTGGAGTGGACGGTGGTGTGTCCGTGCGGCTTCAGAGAGTGAAGGAGGAACTGCGGGTGATGGAAACAGTTTATATACCCGGTAAAGTGACCAATCAAAGGCCAGTTGAGTTTGCGCCTCTAGCTCCTCTGACCAATCAGGACACTCTTCTTTGGTGACGTCGAGAGGATGAGGGAGACATCCAGCTCAGCGTCAGATTCATGGATCTATTATAATATCAGATTTAAAGTGTCTTCAGAAAATTCAGCACACTTGTGCTTCATTATCTCATTGATACTTTGAAGTATATCTGCGACATATTGTTATGTCAGTTATTTTTAAAAAGTGAAACCGTTATTCATTATAATAACTTATTTCAAGCTTTTATTTATATTACCTATTTTATTGTTTCACTTTCTGAAACAATTTAATTCAATTGAATATAATTTTGAGTCCAAGTGTAATAATGCAATAAAAACTATGTTGTAGGCTCAATGTTTTATTTAGGATACATGAACAACAGGACACATGAACAACAGGATACATGAACAACAGGACACATGAACAACAGGATGCATGAACAACAGGATACATGAACAACAGGACATGAACAACAGGATACATGAACAACAGGATACATGAACAACAGGATACATGAACACATGAACAACAGGATACATGAACAACAGGACATGAACAACAGGATACATGAACAACAGGACATGAACAACAGGATACATGAACAACAGGACATGAACAACAGGATACATGACAACAGATACATGAACAACAGACATGAACAACAGGATACATGAACAACAGGTACATGAACAACAGGACATGAACAACAGGATACATGAACAACATGATACATGAACAACAGGATACATGAACAACAGGATACATGAACAACATGACATGAACAACAGGATACATGAACAACAGGATACATGAACAACAGGACATGAACAACAGGACATGAACAACAGGACATGAACAACAGGACATGAACAACAGGATACATGAACAACAGGACATGAACAACAGGATACATGAACAACAGGATACATGAACAACAGGAGGGACACTGCAGTGTACAAGTGCAACAACACACTACTAGGTAAGTCCGGTCTTACAAAGTGTGCAGAAAGCTACTGGAAATTGTCCAAAAAAAGAGTCCACGGATTCTTCAGGTTGGGAGCGAGAGTCACTCAACATAAAATGTTCTTTCCATCTTGAACACTTGCTCGCCCACTGATAAAGAACATCTCTCCCACAGAAAGTACAGAACTACAGTCATACAATGCTAGTGCAGGGGTTTGCTGTTTGTACAGCGAAGGTAAATAATACATTTTTTAAAGCGAAATGTACAGCATTATACACAGCACACCTGTGGACAAAATACAAAAAAAGCAACTATTCACAAACGCAATCTGGAAAATCATGACTGCTTTAGGATTATATTGAGAAAGCCAAGATGGGAAAGTGCACTCTGTGTCTGCAGAATTAAGAACATTTCAGGTTTGCCATGACTGATGTTCCGGTTTGGTACAGGTCTGAGGGATAAGGTTTATTGTTCTGATTATGTGTTGTTTTGTGTGGTCTGTATAACTTATTCTGGACCGCGAGTCTGTATTAAAGTTTGTGATTCCAACCCATTTTCTCTATATCGTTTGAAGACAAATGGCTAAAAATGGTACGGAATCTATTTTAGGAGCCTTTGAAGAACACATGGCTGAACTCTTTGTTGAAGCTGAGCGTCTGTAGTTTTGGCCTCTGATTACTCATTAGCATTTACACTTACTACAATTGGTCACAATCTCTTGTGTTGAGTAAAAAAACAATAATATAAATAAAACCGATAAAACAGCCGAAAACATTCAACTAAGTGTGTGTGTGTATGCGTGTGAGTGTGCGTGTGTGTGTGTGTGTGTGTGTGTATAATATATTTTATTTTATTTAATGTTTTTTTCCTCTTATTTGAGTTTACTGGTTTTATTGATTTGAATTCCCAATCTGATAACTCATATTGGATATTTATACTTGCATTGTCTGCTCCTTTTGCTCATAGTTTTTTATGAAAGGTGCTGTATAAAATAAAGTACATTGGATATACAGCAGTACATCACCGATACTAAAAAAATTTTACCTTTTTCAAGTTACCATTCCCATAGGTGCATTGTAAACTGTACATATGTTTACTTTCAACTATTTCTATTTCATTTTAAATCCCAGTGTATTATCAGTTTATTCACAGCTCTGTTTCCTTGACAGTATGTGCTGGAGGCTGTGGGGTTGGGGGCATCTCGTTGGGCCCCTCTGTCGCTGTCATGGCAGCTGGGTTTGACACAGAAGTGATGACGGCTGGCTCTTGAATAACGTACTGGGTGTGTCTTGTGTTGAAGAACCCTGTGAGGCAAATTCAATATTACTCAAGGTGTGACACAATTTATAGACTTGTTCACGCCCTGAACTTGTGATCCTTATTGTGGGTGTGCGTGTGTGTGTGTGGGTGCGTGTGTGGGTGTGTGTGTGCGTGTGAGTTTATCTAGCAATTATTCTCTTGATTAATTGACTAGCTGTTTATAGAGCCTATGAGAGATTTTATTTAGATTTGCCGTGATACAACTTATTCCAGATAAAACTGTTTTATCAATTAAAAGTTACATAATTTTTGGGACAAATAGCAGTTACCAATTAGGTGATTACTAAAATACTTGTTGTCTATAGGAAAAAAAGTGATTCATTGATTCATTGTCACAGCCTGAGCCTTATGCCTTTTCTAACTTTAAAATAACCTCCTTCATCGGCGCTGTCCCTTCCGCCACCTCTTCACTCCCATCAGAACAAAGTGTCAAACCTTGGGGGGCCGAGCCTTTGCTGCAGCTGCCCCCATTCTCTGGAACTCACTCTCACAACATGTTGGTATGGATTTTCCCCCTTATCTGATATCCATGCCCCCCCCCCCTCCATGGTGGCTGGCTTGCTCCTGTCTGACCCCCCTGACCAATCCAGTGGAACCTGAGAGTGACCTCACAGCAGTATATAGAGAGCTGGGATGGACTAGTTTGGGCTCTTGTCTCTACTAGCCTAGCCTAATACTCTCTAGCCTAATACTGAGGTCCAGAGCCTCCAGGGTTCTCTCTCTCTCTCTCTCCAACCATCTCTCCTCAGGGTATGATATTTTCTGTTTTGTCTGTGTGTATCTTGTTATAATTCAGCGTCATTAAATGTCCTCTTTTATATCTATTGGTTTGGGCCTAGTATGTACATCAACGATTACATTTTCATGATAACACATGCGGAACTCAGACTCACGTCAGAATGTCAAATTACTGCTTTTGAAAACTGTTGAAAACTGTTTACACATAACTGTTTATTTTAACCTTTTTTTTTTTATCAATTTTGTGTCTTATTAACCTGTCCTTTTGTAAAGCGTCTTTGAGTATCCAAAAAAGCGCTGTATAAGTACACTGTATAATAATAAAAAGTATACTTTCCGAACTATACATTCTGTGGCTCACCTCTTCTCCTGTTTGTGTTTTTATCCTCTTGGCTTGATTTAGATTTACTGCTGCTCTCGGATGTGTCTGTATCTTCATGCTCTGTTTTAAATGAATCAAAAACCAAACACGTTTTATCAGCATTTTAACTTTTCTGCAGTTCATTCTAATTGTTCAAAGGAATCATCACATTGTATGCTGCTGCCATACCCTGTTTCCACGCGATATATGCTCTCCTCTGTTTGATGCCAATGAAGATCACCACCACCAAAAGTCCCAGCATAAGACAGGTTATCAGGAAGACGAGAAGAGATGCATTTGCTTTATTGCCTTTCTGTGTATCGTTGCCATTTTCTGCGGAGATACAAGAGAAACGTTACTGGGAAATCATGGGGAAAGATACAATAACATTTATAATACCTACCTATAAGGTCCTTTGTTTCATTCAAAGGGATGTTTGTTGATGGTAAGCCTTCAAAGAAAGAGAAAAGAACAAATCAGACCGTAGTTTCCAACTTGTGCCACTAGATGGAGACAAACAATAGTCTGGTGACGGTTAGACCATAGACCGTAAATTATAAGAGGAGGCTAACCCAATTTAAGTTATTTGTAAGTGCGCAGAGGTGGGCAAGTTTACATTTGTGAAACAAGATATTCTGATTAAAGTATTAAAGTCCTTGGGATACTTATAATTGACGGTCACTATATTATACCGCAGTGTTTCATTCTGTGTAATCAAAACATTCAAACCACAATGAACTGTATGCTGTATAGTATATAGTCATTATAGTCAAGTAAAGTACATATACCAGAAAAAAATTGAAAAAGCACTGTTCTTAAGTAAAATCACTTCTGTAAGTATGACAATGGCCTATTGTTAATTATACCTCATCTTACATCCTACATGAGGGTGAATTGTGAACAGGACAGCCACAGCAAATGCTTTGAAATGTCATGTTTTTCAGCGATGTGCTGTTCTGTGGTTCAAAAACAGGGCCCGTCTCCCACTTACCGCTGTTGTTGAATTGTGTGGTGTCCATGGGGAATCCTGTACTTTCCTCAGTATCTACATAACAATATAAAACAAGTTGTTTCAAATCCACTTTCAAAGCTTTAGCAAAACAGCTTTTTTAATTTACTCACTCATACTGAAAGGTAGGAAATATGTTGAAAGGTCAGGGGCAGGAGTCTCTGTTTCTTCTGTGGGGACTTGGTCAGTGGCTGGTTCCTCTGTTGCAGGTCGCTCAGTTGTTGTGTCTGATATGTTGGTTTCGAGAAGATTATTAATTCCTGCAAAACAAAACCACAACAGTGAAACTAATTTAAGTGCAAGCCAAATGCAACCCATTCATTTCAGTGGGCTCCTTGAAATGTTTGTACAGATTTGTACATATATTTTTCAGAATTAGAATTATTTTTACTGCCATGTTATTAACAGGAAGTCACACACTAGGGAAATTGCTTTGGCTCTCGGTGCAAACAAGTCAAAAGTAGAGAAAGTATAAGGCATTAAAAAAAAAACATTTCTATATTTTAACATTTTTGGTTTCTGCCGTGTATGAAATGAGACAAAAATCAAGAATCAAGAAATCAGAAACGAATTGTTGGAACTCTGAATTTCTATGCTGATTATGCTTTTGTGTGTGTATCATGAACATAATTCATAGGAAATCAAAGAAATTCTGTCAACAACTTAGAAGGTTATTGGCATTGTTGTATACTTGCCTGTGCTAAAGTGAAGGGTTGGAGAAAACGCGGTGGTACCATTTTGTTCTGTCGTGTAAAATGGGCTTTTATCGGTAGTTGGTGGTGATTGCGTCGTCTCTGGTAACCTGGTCTTGAATTCGCTGACATTTTTACTTTCTGCACAAACATTGAAACATTTTATTTTACTAATGTGTGGAGGCAGAAAATCAAATGTGAAAGTCTTGATCATACAAAAGCAGTAGCACTGTTTTAAGGAACGTTTATGACACAGACAAAAGGAAGTACCATTTCTCAGTCCACCTACTCAGAAATTGAGCAAAAAGTCCCATGAAAGTTTAACGTTACTGAACCCAAATGATTTGCTTTGGATGAAATAAACATTTGCATGAATAGGTTTGAGTTGATCTTTTAAAAAAATATCATATCAATCTAAATCCTTGATCACAAAAACATTAAGCATATGAGTAAAAAAAAAGCTATAGTAAAACAAGTGTTGGTCATTTAGAATATAATATATATATAAGAGTATAATAGTTTTCTTAATTTACTCACTTGGACTGAAGCGTGGAAAATATGTTGAGAAGTCAGGGGCAGGAGCCTCTGTTTCTGTCGTGGGGTCAGTGCTTGGTTCCTGTGTTGCACTTTGTTCAGTTGTTGTCTCTGATAACTTGGTTTCAAGATTCCTAATTCCTGTAAAAAGTTCCTTGTAAGTCAAAGATGTCAAACACAAAGCCTGCTGGGCCAAATGCAGTTCAACTATTTTTACTTGCCCTGAAATGATTTTCCATAATAAGCTATGAACTTGCAGCATTGATGGTGAGGTTAATCATACCTCTTATACCCATTCATGTGCATCTGGACTCTCTCCCTCTCCTCACTCCTGCTCCAGCAATTAATGTGCAAAGTTCTACTTCTTAAAGCATTAACCATGTCATTGATTTTATTGTTACATTTTAACACAACACATAATTATAAATTGTCAATTTAAGAACATAAATCATTGGCTGATCCCTTAACTTTGACCCAGTTTTGGTTCAGTACAAACATGCAGCAACTAGTTTTGTTCAGAAGAATCTTCCAGAAAATGACATTCAAACTCATGTTAAAGGAAAGTAAACCTTTTGTCAAAGCCTCTGTTTATTTCAGTGAAAAATAACCTACAGATCTATATCCTTGACCACAAAAGCATAAAATATCGGAGGAAATGTTTTGCCATGTTACATTTTTTGAGTGGCTCATTCTTGTCTCATAAAGTGACAGTGACAACTTATAAGGGAAAATAAGTTGTTTTCCTGTTTTAGCACAATTCAATTCATGCATGTTTGAGGCATACATGTCCTTATATATGTGTTCCGCCATTGCTCTCCCATCAGTCTTTTAAATTACCTAGCCCTCCTCTAAGGTTTATCTAATTTTCTTTGGCAATTGGAGGCCATGTGGCCATTTTTGCTTCAAATATCCCAAACTTTGTCTGCGGATGAGATTGATATTATAATCCATGGATGAGACATATGTGTGTTTTACTGACACTTCCTCAAAGGGTCGTGGCCCAGGGGCAAAAAGGGATTGAAGAAGGAGCTGGTTTCTTCTATAACATTGTTTGAGCTCTAATCTAAATGTTTCATACGAGAGCAGGAGTCATCATATGATATGATATCATCATATCATAGAGTTTTGTACTCACTGTTTGGTCTGATCCTGACAAAGTCCATCAGTTTGGTTTGCAGAGCTGGATGGCGGACGATGCATTTGACGAGGAAGGGCTTCCGCTGTGGCTCCAAGAACAACATCTCAGACGTGACATTTTTTTTGTCTTTTTGTCGGACTTGGGGATGAGCTGTGGAGAGAAAAATTAGATTTTTGTATTTAATGTTGACATCTGCATGAATTTCTTTTTGATACTAATTTAAAAGTTTTCAAAATTATGTGGCGATAGATTGACGTTACGCTTGTTTAGCTTGTATTTTCCTTTAGTTGGAAAGCAGGTGCTAATGCATGTCTTTGAGAATTGTTTTCATAAAAACCAGAAAATATCCATATGTTGTCCCAGATATGACAAAGATTAGATTCACAAACCTGCCATATTTCTATATCTCTCTACTCTCAATTCGCCAACGCAGATCAGAGAATCAAACAGCTCAAACACAGGAAATGCAACAATAAAAAACACATAGAGCCATTGGTTTATAAGAGACGGATGATCAATGTTCATAGATTCCCATAAAACTCGTTAAAAGTCCTGGACCATCACTCTCCTCCGAGTTACCAGGAACGATTTTCCACATGTCCTTTTAAACAATACCCTCTTTGGAATGTTTTTTTTCCTTACTTGTATTGGCAAATCTTTCCCTCCATACGCCCTCATATACAAATCTACATCAAAAATATTACTTACTCATGCATACCTGGTCTTTTGCCTATGTATTTAATGTATTCTTCTACAGGTGGTTCATAGAGGTATCGAAGAAAAACTGCACCATAAAAAAATCTTACAGTGAAACATAGGCCCATTCCTGAACTGCCAGAAGATCTGCGGAGGAGAATGGGTCCCTTCAGCTGTGCATTTGATGACAGTCAACCCCTCGTGGCTCGTTACATCAATCCAGGGCCGGGCTATAATTAAAAACACAGTGAAAACTCATGACGACATACTGTTAAAACGGGTAATTCAACTTTCCCTGGCACTAACCCAGCACAGTGACTTCCACGGTCCTGTCCACAGTGTGAGGGAGATAGTGTGAGCAGGTGTAAACTCCTCCATCACTGAACGTAACGTTGGAAATAGCAATGTTGTATTCGGACTCGGACAGCTTGCGGAGGCTGTAGCGTTCGTCTTTCGCGCCTGCCTCAAGCAAAACCAGAGAAATAAAGTCCATATTGATAGTTAGAATCTGTTTGAAGACATAACAGGCTGTATCCATTTCACCTTTAATCATGTTGTGGAATATAATATTACCATCAGGGTTCTTCCACTCCACGGAATGATTGTTGAACTGATCTTTGATTGGGCAGGACAGGTTGAGTGTCATGCCTTTGAAAACAGTGATGCGCTCCCAAACTGCAAGTGACGCTAAAGACAGCAAAATAGAAAAATGGAAACATAATGAAAATGCGTTGTCATTTTTGTCCATTTTTGAAATGGATTCTACATTTTATGCAACTAAGGTGCCGAGCCAGGACGAATCATGATATTTCTAGTTTATAATATACAGGTGAAACTCAGACAATTAGGATATTGTTCATTTACTTCTGTATTTCAATTAATGAAACTAAAATATGATACAGTGCTCACTGCTTGTAATTATTTCAGAAATTTTGATTTTTTTTTTAGACTTACCATTACAATTACCATATTTGTGCACTTAATCTCTTAAGATTAAGAGATCCTTTCCACAGTGGGGAAATTTCAGTGTTGCATCACAAGTTATAGAACAGTAGGAAAGAGGAGCACACAGCACATGTTAACTGAACAGTAGCTGTCCTAATAAAAATAAAACCAAATCTGTAACTCTAGCATCAATAATAAGTATAAAAACTCTATCTTGAAAATAATGATAGATGTAAAAGTTTAACATTATATATAAAGTATAAAGCGGACCAAATTATAAGGCGCAACAATCAATGTTGTGTACCTGTAAACAAAGGCTCATTCTTTGACTCAATTTTGAAGTTAAAGAAACCACCCCGATAATCAGGTAAATCTAACTTTAATCTATTGGTGACATCGCAGCTGCTATATATGAGGGTGTTTCTCACTGGGGGCCCGCTGTGGACCCTCTCTCAGACAACACCATCATCTCACTGAAGACCCCTGCTGAAGGCCAGACCCTCTCCACCATGTGTCCTTGTGTGTATGTATGGTTTATTTTCTAGATTGTCGTTATATTGCCCACACCCAAATGAAACACATATGATGGCTGTAGGGTCCAAACAGTGAAGCCGTGTAGTTGACGCTCTTAAACCATAATCCATAGTGTACAGTGCGAGTTAATAAAATGCAATTAAAAACTCTTTACTGAGTATTCACACACACAAAAACACACACTGGAAAAAAAGGAAAAGGACTGAAAGGACGAGGAGAGAGTAGGGAGGTCAAAAAACTGTGTGGCTCCACTCCACTCTATGTAAAATATATGTTAAATCAAAATGAATCCATGATTAACTTTAGCAATATTGATTAGCAAAATAACTAAATTGGTTGCAAAATATACCAAATTAAATCAATTGCCAAATAATAATAATTCTAATCTAATCACAAAAATAATGTATTTCAAACAAATAATAATACATACAAAATAGTAATGTATCAAAATATAATCAAAACAACTAAACTCCAACAATGGCAATACGCAGTGCTCCATTAATCACCGGTAACTTTATGAGTGGAATCAAAAAGCATGGGCGCTATAAAACACAATGACTTATACTTTCCAACCAGGGAAAAGATTATCTAAAAAGTGAGCGGAAATAACAGGTCTGCAGCCACCTCTCTCACTGTACCGAGTGTGTGACAGGAAACTGTGGGTAAAGGGTGTTTTAACCTTACAGACTAAACTGGGCCACACAAAGCTGCAGGGCGTTCTTTCCTCTGGGGGAAACAACGTGATTTCTCGACACTTCATAAAGAAGAGTGGGTCGCTCAACTAAATAAATCAATCGATCAACAAATCCGATGAAATTGTTCAAAATGCTGGTTTTACTGCTCCTTTCCATACAATAGAAGTTTCAAACAGAATACACAGGTGACACTTGGAAAATAACAACATCACTCAATGACATCAGTGCATTTAAGTTTTTACTTCTGTGATTCAACCCACATTGTCAAAATAATGTATGGCAGACTAAGTACACTAATTAGACATATCAAGCCTTTGTTTGTAATAATGTTGATAACAGGCTAACATCTTGTAAAAACACAAAATAAAAAAAAACCTGAAACCCAATCTTATATACAGGTACACACATTACTTTTTTGTATGTGTTATAATGATGATAATTTGCACACAGCTTCACACCCCCCAAAAAAACATCTCAGAAATGTACATTATTTTGACAATGAACAGTAAGCCATAATCTTCAACAGTATCAAAACAAAGGGCTCAACAAAGACTCTGTATAAAGTCTGTATTAATACATTAGTTTCACAATCCAAGTAATTAATGAAATTTTGAACAATATTCTAATTTTCGCAGTTTAACTTGTACTTTTATGTTGATTATTATTATATATCTTAAGGTTATTATGTACAATGTTTAGTTGATATACTTTCCATTTTAGTTCTGAGAATTTTCTTTTTGTGTGTGTCTCTGTGTGTGTTTTCATTAATGTAAAACAAAGATCTATATCAAAACGTGAAAACTGAATGGGGGAAAACATCAACCTAAAGTTTTTGATTCTAAGAAAGTACAAATACTACAATAAACATAATATTTCAGTTATATTTCCCGTCAAATGCACTCACCATGCAAGTGCAGCACGAGCACACAGAGCTGCAGAGCCACTTCCATCTCGCTGATGTACAAACAAACTTGATTTGGTGCATTTCCTCCTTTAAACATGTATCGTCTGGACACTTCCGTGACATCATGGCCCTGTGGTTTCCCCCAACGCTCTCTCCATATGACTCCTTTAAACCAGGGGAGTGAGAAGGTCAAACTGTCTTCAAATGTGTTATTATTGTTATCTTATTGTCTGAAACCAATTATAGTTATGTGTTTCTTTTGTATCTTCTCTTGTCGTTCGAACGAGACATCGAGGAAGCCTTCGAGGAAAAATAAAGCACTACTATTGCATATGTGTTTATGAATTCTACTGCACAATATTATTATAGCAGTGCATTGTGTGGCAGGTGTGATGGAGGTTAAGAAGAATCTATTTGACTCATTTTAGATCAATGTACTTGTTATTTGTCTGTTATATTGATAAATGTGAGTGTTGTGCAGGTTCAAAATGAATAATCTACATAAAAAGTCCATCCATCCATCCATTTTCTTCCCCTTAATCCATTTCTGGGTCGGAGGTTGGGGGGTGGCAGTGAGAGCTGGACCCAGTACACAGAGCACCAGCCCCGCACTGATCCTCCTGCAGGTGGTGAGCCCACAGGAGCCTTGATCTTTCAGTCGGGGCTTCAGGCAAAGTGAGGTTAAGTGTCTTGCCCAAGGACACAACGGCAGCAATCAACAGTGGGAGTCATGAAGTAGGTCTTGTGGTGGGCTCAAACTCATGACCTTCAGGCTTAAAGGCCAATACTCTACCAACTGAGCCACTGTCGCCCCCTAAATAAAAAGTGTTAAAGATATATGCTCATATACAGTAGGGGGCAATGCCAGATTTCAGTTTACAATTTAGACTGCAATCTACCACTTTCCTAGATCTTTCTTGATAGAGGAAACATTTTGACCTTTTAATATTTTTTAACAAGTAATTTACTGTTTGTTTTAAGTTACAGGTGAAATTGTAAAATTAGAATATTGTTCAAAAGTTTATTTCTGTAATTCAAGATGTTAAGCCAATGTATAGACTCATAATATTATATATAATATTTGAATTTTCTCAGCTGTTTTATTTAGACTTTTTACATTCTGTGAGGCCATTATCAACAAAATAGAGGCCATATATTAGTTTCACAGTGTAAGAAATACAGTAGTAAAGTGACGTAAATGGACTTTTATCTGTTTATTAGTGGATATTATGAATGATGTTCAAATCTTTGAAGGGAGGAGTGCAGTATGAATACAAATAACTTTTGTAAACCTTTTATTAAAGCACCAATAAATAGATATTGGCCAACAGTGCATATGCAATAAAATGGTATCGCTTTCATTTTCAGGCACCGAAACCTTCATTATACCAAAGTACAATGAGTCTTCCCGCCTTCATCAAACATCTTATCACTCACAATGATTGTTGTAAAACTGAGGCCTGGTCAGTGTGTCTATCGGTAACTTTATGCACATGGATATTCCTGGTTTGACCTGAGGACAGAGAAAGAGACTGGCCTTATTCCCAGGACTCCCATGGTTACTTAGGAACAAACACAATACAAAGTACAACTAGCCAGAAATAGAAAATGACATATAGTTAATTTATATGTACAGACAGTTGAGTATGAGAGAACACACACTTTAACCCAAGCATTAATTAGCTTTCCAAAAAGGAAAGGCATGACAGACTACATGCCAGCCCAATGCTCAAATCGTGACTCACAGAGCTTACAAGAAAGAACACGTTAAATGGTCTGATCATTTACCAAACCCAGCACAGCCAACGATCATTTATCTAACGAAATTGTTAGGTACACAATATTAAATATTTATTAAAAATAGTTAACATAATACAAGGTAGTAATCTTATATATATTTTTTGTTTATTTTCTCCTTTTTAACTTTTCGCTTTAGTCGTTACATAATATTTCATGACACTGGTAGAAAGCCCGAGAAAGAACTTTCAGCAGTTGCGAAACCAGGAAGTCGGAAGCGCGGAGCCATTCACAGTAGGCCTTCCTGTCACTGGAGGGCGGGGCGTTCGAAAGAAAGGCTTTCTGATTGGCTGAGGCGTCCTCTCTGGGATGCACCATGACGCTACAAATGCACTGCGCCTTTTCTCCGGTCTTTCCACTTCGTCACTTCACCGACTGAAGTTGTGCCCGCTTCTGTTCCGTGGAGCAACTACTTTCACACGGTGAGAATCATTGCTATATTGCTTTACACTGTTTATTATGAGATGTGGGATAAAGGGCCGTTATTGTAATACGGTGTTGTGTCCGTACATTACAACCGTTTTGGGTCTTTTGGTTTAGAGATGAAGGAAGTTTCTCGAAGTCTGTAGGCCGGGACCACGTGACCGGCTTTGTTTTATAATGTCATGCTATACCTCGTGCTGGGCGGTTAGCTCAGGAGCTAGGCACCGTGCTATCCGCAGTCAGAGGCCGAACTCTCACATAAATAATTGTTAAACATTCATGTACTAGTTCCTCGCTCTCAAAACGGTTTCATCACGTTTTCTCACGCATTTTTTTGGGCCATTTTCTTTCAATCAGCTTTTTCAGAAGGGTATTTGCCCTTGTTCTCTCCCCAAAGCGTCAAATGGTGTCTGGCGCAAATATGCTAAGGATAACACATTTTCTAAATATATAGAGGCCATGTGGTGGACTGATCGTTGAAATTGTTTTATCGGACTTTCTATGCTTGGGTTTAATTTGACGCCAGGGCAGTGGCGCATATAACAAACGTAGGACAGGACATGACGTACCCTGGCGGTGCAGTCTGCCGGTTTATACACGGAGATACAGTAGAAGAAGCGCTGTCGTTATGCCATCTTTTTGTGCGGTGTACGCTTGTTGCAACCGCGCTTATAGGGAAGGCAAAAGTTTCCGTGTTCCAACTGTGGTCTCATATAAAGGAGTACACTCTGAAAAAAATCACTTATGAGGCGGGCGAGGTGGATCCATATAATAGATCCATGGGTGGATCAAGGCTTTTCCCGATAAGCGCCCCCTGCAGGCCACCCGAATGAAACGCAGCAATTCCCCCCCCCCCCCCCCAAAATACTCATTTTTTTAGTACCCCCTTAGAATTGGGTGTCCCCCTCCCGATTAAGACTGTTACAAAAGTTGTCCCAAGGGTTAATGAAACCCAAGAATTGCGACGAACACAGTACCTTAGTTTTTGAGTAGAGGTATAATTTAATTACAATATTTCTCCCCCCAGAAGTTAATCATGTCTAAAGGACCAGCTGTTGGCATTGACCTGGGCACCACCTACTCCTGTGTAGGAATTTTCCAACATGGGAAAGTGGAAATTATTGCCAACGATCAGGGCAACAGGACCACACCCAGCTATGTGGCCTTCACAGACTCTGAGAGGCTGATCGGTGACGCAGCTAAGAACCAGGTTGCTATGAACCCAACTAACACCGTATTTGGTAAGTAGTAATAATTTGTATAACAGCTGGTAAAGTTGCTTGTAGTTTTGATACCTATGCACTCTAATTTTTTAGATGCTAAGCGGTTGATTGGCAGACGTTTTGAAGATGCAGTTGTTCAATCCGATATGAAGCACTGGCCTTTTACAGTAATTAGTGAAGATGGGCGTCCTAAGGTGGAGGTTGAGTACAAGGGTGAGACAAAGTGCTTCTATCCAGAAGAGATCTCTTCTATGGTGCTAACTAAGATGAAGGAGATCGCTGAAGCCTACCTTGGAAAGGTTGGTTGCATTTCTATATGTTCTGTGTTCTGCATTAGTTTTTTTAATAAGTTTTGCTCCCAATTCTAGACTGTCTCAAATGCTGTAGTCACCGTTCCTGCCTACTTCAATGATTCCCAGCGTCAGGCAACAAAAGATGCTGGTGCTATCTCTGGCCTTAATGTCCTTCGTATCATCAATGAGCCAACTGCTGCAGCTATTGCCTATGGCCTGGACAAGAAGGTGAGTTATTACATTTCTCAATTCTTAAAAGAACGTTCCAAATTCTGATGTATAACTGTGTTTTCAGGTGGGTGTTGAGAAGAACGTACTAATCTTTGACCTCGGTGGTGGTACTTTTGACGTGTCCGTCCTGACCATCGAAGATGGAATCTTTGAGGTCAAATCCACTGCTGGAGACACTCACCTTGGTGGGGAAGATTTTGACAACCGCATGGTCAACCACTTTATTGCAGAGTTCAAGCGCAAGAACAAGAAGGACATCAGCGACAACAAGCGGGCAGTGCGTCGTTTGCGAACGGCCTGCGAGAGGGCAAAGCGCACCCTGTCTTCCAGCACCCAAGCTAGTATTGAAATCGACTCCCTCTACGAAGGAGTGGACTTCTACACCTCCATCACCAGGGCCCGTTTTGAAGAGCTCAACGCTGACCTCTTCCGTGGAACCCTGGACCCAGTGGAGAAGTCTCTCCGTGATGCTAAAATGGACAAGGCGGCGATCCATGAAATTGTATTGGTCGGAGGCTCTACTCGTATCCCCAAAATCCAGAAACTGCTCCAGGACTTTTTCAATGGCAAAGAGCTCAACAAGAGCATCAACCCAGATGAAGCTGTGGCGTATGGAGCAGGTAGGTCAAAGTGTAAAGCTGTGAATATATAACAAGTAACCGTATGTCTAATGAGCTCTCTGTGGTTGTAGCCGTCCAGGCTGCTATCCTCTGTGGGGACAAGTCTGATAATGTCCAGGATCTTCTGCTTCTGGATGTCACTCCTCTCTCTCTGGGTATTGAGACCGCTGGTGGCGTCATGACCTCCCTGATCAAGCGCAACACAACCATTCCTACAAAGCAGACCCAGACATTCACCACATACTCTGACAACCAACCCGGAGTGCTCATTCAGGCAAGTTCTCATCAAAGGTGCCAGCTTTTGCACTCGCTGTGATGACGTTTTTCCTGCCATTCGTAGTTTCCCCCAGAGGTCGAAAGACCAAAGATGGCCCAACCCTTCCTTGGATGTCTGAGCGATTAGCTTTAAGCTCATACATAAAATGAAATAGTCTCCAGTGTCTAAAATGGCTCTGCTGTTCTACAGGTTTACGAAGGCGAGCGTGCTATGACCAAGGACAACAACTTGCTGGGCAAGTTTGAGTTATCTGGCATCCCACCGGCTCCTCGTGGCGTTCCCCAGATCGAAGTGACGTTTGACATTGACGCCAACGGCATCATGAACGTCTCTGCGGTGGACAAGAGCACTGGAAAGGAGAATAAAATCACAATCACCAACGACAGTGGTGAGTTTGTCTGTGAAAAAAAAATTAGCATGGTTTTAAGAAGCGGTGTCTAAATCTTTGCATTAAAATAGGCCGGCTGAGCAAAGAAGACATCGAGCGCATGGTGCAGGAGGCTGAGAAATACAAGGCAGAAGATGATGTACAGCGTGACAAGGTGTCTGCCAAGAATGGACTGGAGTCATACGCCTTCAACATGAAGTCCACTGTGGAGGATGAGAAGCTGGCTGGCAAGATCAGTGATGAAGACAAAACAAAGATTCTGGAAAAGTGTAATGAGGTGATCAGCTGGCTGGACAAAAACCAGGTGAGGCCAAATTCTCAGTGTCAATATATTGATCATTACTTTTCAGTCCCAAGTTTGAAGTTTGCAATCTTTTTCCTAGACTGCTGAAAAGGATGAATATGAGCACCAGCAGAAGGAGTTGGAGAAGGTGTGCAGTCCTATCATCACTAAGCTGTACCAGGGTGCTGGTGGAATGCCAGGGGGGATGCCAGGAGGCATGCCAGGCGGGTTTGGAGGAGCTGGTGGTGCCCCCTCTAGTGGTGGAGGTGCTGGACCTACCATTGAAGAAGTCGATTAAAAGTATATTAGGAAGCATAAGCTTAACTAAAAATGGTTATTTTTCGGTAATTTTTATTTATTAAAATGCTGATCCAATTCCACTTTTATAGGTTAAGCAACTAAATGGCATCCTAAAATGCAATGCTTCATTCTAAAGTGTACAACCAGCTCTAAAAGCATGATCCATTTACCAGACTTCAGATTTTCCATTATCAGTTGTCTCATTCCATGCTGCATTTTTTTCACCTGACATGTTTTGTGGACCATCTTTAATGCGCACTTTGTTTGTGTACATTTGTACGTCAAATAAAATGTTGTTGTTAATCTTGCCTGTGTTTGCAATTAACTAAAGCCAATGTAAAATTCACCGCCATGACGAGTGGAACCTGAACGTAGCTGCTGCTGTCTCCTGGCAGCAGAGCACCCGGATGAACACTAAAAATACATTACACGTCACCGTATAAATAGTCCTGCGTCAGAAAATTTATTGAATCACAACTACAGTAACGATGCACATCAACAATTAACCCCAAAGTACACCCCTCATTTTTGCCCATAATCCACAGTAGATCGTTGCACAAAGCCTCTATTCCCCCACGGAAGTGCCGTAAACGGCCCATCGCAGGATCGAGCGCTGTTCCAAATATTGTCAAGGACTAAAGCTGGACGGGACTATGGTTGGCCTTCACTTGGTCTTGGCGGGTTTCTCGGTCTTCTTGGGTAGCAGCACTGCCTGGATGTTGGGCAGTACGCCTCCTTGAGCAATGGTCACACCCCCGAGCAGTTTGTTGAGCTCCTCGTCGTTACGCACGGCAAGCTGCAGGTGACGAGGGATGATCCTGGTCTTCTTGTTGTCTCTGGCCGCGTTTCCTGCCAGTTCCAGGATCTCAGCGGTCAGATACTCCAGCACAGCGGCCAGATAGACGGGGGCTCCTGCTCCAACGCGTTCCGCGTAGTTGCCCTTCCGCAGCAGCCTGTGCACTCGGCCCACAGGGAACTGGAGCCCGGCTCTGGAAGAACGAGACTTGGCCTTTGCTCGGGCCTTGCCTCCGGTTTTCCCTCTGCCAGACATTGTTGCACTGATGATAAACAAAACCAGGGCTGTGCGCGCCACGGCCTGAAGGCTTCAGATGTACGTGTGCGTAATGACATCCGAGGGGAATGCGCTGATTCCTGATTGGTGCATACAACAGCACAAGGAGGCGCCAATGAGCTGAGGCGCCCTGCTGTTAGATAGATAGACCATGGATCTATTGGTTTGGACTCGTCTGAACACAGAACACATAAACGTTCATTTACGCTGCTCTGCAGAACTAGTTTGGCGCAGTCTGTGTACATCTGCCGCAGGGCAGCTGCTTAAGGCCTGCTCACTCTGTCCCTAAAGGACAGATGATTGGATTAGGAATTAAATATACTTCCTGGAGCAAATTAAACACATTTTCAAGTATGAGGTTTTATTATTAGAATTGCTGGCTATATGAAAAATGGACCAGAGAAAAAATACATGGCACAAGAAGCTAAGACTACTAATAAATAACTTAAGTTTGAGCTGGTACCCTCATGTTATAAACACACGTGTATATATAAAATAAACATACCTAAATTAAATATACTAAAGTACATTTGGCGTTTGGAACATCAATTGTTACCAACAGAACGCTTAATTTTATATTCATCCATTTTGTAATAGAAAAGTGACTTTTGTACTTATTATTACGATTGTCGAGTGAAGTCCCTCGCTGAAGTCTTTGTCCCTGTCCCAGGAATTGAAGGGGATGACAGTGTTGGTTCAGGTGACGCAGCTGCTGTGGGATGTTTTGTTCTCCGGGGTGTGACTGGCTCTGGATGTCTGATGCTGAACAGGAAACCTAATTTTTCCACAAGAGATGCTATTGCCTCCGGCAGAGGGGAGAGGAGACAAGTTCTGTTAAAGATGCTCTTATGCAGAACAGTGCAGCACAATACAATAATGTTACAGCCAACATGTCCATGTTCTTGTCTTTGGTCATTCTCAATCAGCTGTATTTGATAAATAAAGATAGTTAAAATAACTAAATCCATCTTTTTTTCATAAGTTCACATGGCAATTTTGTTTTACCAGTAACTGTTACATCAGCCTTCAGGATCGCTTACTTCAACAATCCATCTTTCCACAATGACCTCTCCCTCCTCCAAATAATCAGCCATCATAACAATAAAAACACAATTGCACAAAATATATTAGTTTAATTACTTTCATAGACAGTTAGTCAATGTTAGTTAAGTGGGAGACACGGTGGCGCAGTGGTTAACATTCGTGCTTCACAGTTGAAGGTTTAAGTCCATCTCCGGACTTTTCTGTGTGAAGTTTGCAGGCTCTCCCTTGTCTGCGTGCGTTTCCTCTGGGTGCTCCGGTTTCCCCTATCACAAAAAAACATGTACAATAGAAAAGAATGCAATAAGAGAGTGAATAATGAGACATGTGATGGTCCGGGCCCAGAGTGTGACATCACCGGTGTGGAGTGATAGAAAATTACCAGTATACTTAAATTGTAAAGCAATTTTGCAAAGTGTTAATCTAATCTGCCTTTACCATCTGTGTAAGATTTTAAAGATGTATCGATCTATCAGTGCTCCTAGTTTCATAAATGAATGTTCTCATGTTTTCCAGAATTTCCGTGACATTATGTGGCTTTAAGCAGATGCACCTAATGGGCTTTAGCTGGAAGTGGTGCACAAGTAGGCACATTGTATGACTCTGCTTTAATTTAAAGTTAAACAAATGTGTGGTGCTATTGTGCAGTGATATCTCTGTGCATTTAAGTAAATCTAAGACAAGATAGATTTTACTAAACAAACTGGCAATCCAGATGAACGGAGGGACTCATTCTAACCCATTGGATAATATACTTAAAAAACAAATGTTATAGCCCATTGTATTTTCAAATAAGAATAACTCCACTTTAGACTTTTGTTCAGAAAGGCCAAGGAGATTTGTGTATGGGGGATGCATAAAATATGTTGATGACTAAAAAAAATTGTCTCATTTTGTTTAATGCGACAGATTATTAAAGGCCATAGATACTTGCATGTGAAAATTAGTGACAGAATCACTGTTGTAAGAGCAAGGAACTAGATACTTGGATTTTTCTGTGACTTCAAATTGAGGAGATCCAGTTTTTAAGTTGTACATTATACAGGCAAAACTATAGTCCTCATCCCTCCTGTAAAACCTATAAGACCTATCAGTTGTGTAAACACTGCATAATTCCAACAAAAATGGAGAAAACATTACATATTTGTCATGAAAGAGCCTTGGAAGTGCTCTTTTTGTCTGTTTCAGTTGTATCAATGCAAATGGGACAGTTCAGCTTGTGTTGTGTTGGCTCTGTCAGATTATACGGCCACACTCAGACAGCCAGCTCCTGTCTCCAGCCTTAGGTAAAGGTTTTTTCTTTCCAGATAAAAAAACAGTTCAGTATAAAAGCATGGAGAGGCAGGAGTTAAGAGCACAGAGGGGCAGGCCATCAGAGCAGCACCATGGCCAGGCACATAAGGTAAATGTTATTATTATCTATTCATTATGATTTGCATTTGATTAAATAAATACCGATAGCTTTAATCATCATTGTTTTGTTATGTATTGAAGTTAAAGCTGGGGTGCCTAGTTTTCAAACACATCAAAAGGAGCGACTGGTGGTGATATATCAAACCATTATTTGTTTTAATGTTGATAATTATAGTTTGCATATTGTAAAGCCCCAATTAAAGCATCTCAGAAATTAGAATATTTTGAAAATGTAAGCCCTATTCATCAACAGTATGACAAAAAGGCTTAGCATGAGTCACAATATCACATAGAGGCTTGCCATTTTAAGTTGAATTATAGAATTATAAATGCACTTTTGAACAATATTACTCAGTTTCACCTGAATGTAGAAAAATCCAGCCATATAATTCCACCTTGATCGTGTATTTTCAAACAGAAAAGCGAAAAAGAGGACTCGTGACTATGTGTTTTTGATTAGATTCAGACAGTATTTTGTGGTCCGGTTTGCTCACATACTTTGCACAATACATACATTTACATACATACATACATTTACATACATACGTACATGAACAAAGAGAAGTTAGGCCCCCAAGCTGTAGCAAATGCAAAAATAAATACATAAATAAGTGAAATAATTTGTTTTCCCTTTTCTTATTCTCTTGTGATACATTTTAGTGACAATTTAGTAGAGCCACTAAGTTTAGAAACTATTCTGCCCAAACTATTCACACACTTGATATATTCCGGTTTGTTTATTTCAAGTCAACCCATAGTTTTGGCAAATCAAAAAATTTTTTACTAGTTCATGGTTAATACAGTGCTTTTTCTCTATCTAATTTCCAGAACATTCAAGATGATGTGGGCCGTCGTTCTTTTCTGTCAATTTAGCAGGTTAATTCTGGCCCAGTCAAATCCTAAATGCTTTGGAGATGAGACTTTCAGAGCCCCAGGTCAGTAACACCAGATGCATTCATTCTTTTCACCCTTGTCACCCACTCCCCTTTTCCCCAACACCCTCACATTATAATGGACGTCACCTGAGAACATGGCCTATGTGTTTTTATCACACCTGCTTTATGTGCGCTGCTTATTGTTTTGCCCGTCACTAAATCACATCCTGAATATCAAAGAAGAAATATTATACATTATTTTTGATGCTGCTACTTTGTCATTTTATGTTTTAAAAGTGAACTAATATCTTCAGAAGAAAATATATGGTGAGACAAGTATCTAGGTAACTACTGTCATTGGCCTGCTTTATCCACATGCTACCACCAGGGGGAGGTGTAGAACTTTTTTTTTAAAACAGCTACGTGACTGTTAAGAACACTTGAGAAATTGTCTAAAGTAATTTATGGACAATACTTTTGTTGTAAAAAGCAGAAAAAGGCTCTGATGTCAGAGTGGTACAATGACATCATATTATTACAGGACTGAGACAGGAGTGTTCAGACAGAAGGGATCAAATTACATGTTTGTGCGAGAACTTCCTGATATAGATGGTTTTCCATCACGTGCTTATTACCCATGATGCTTTGCGCGAACACCATTTTGTGTGTCTGGCTTATATTGCACAGATAATTTGTCACTGATCATTTATCCGGATGTTATCTAAAGCCACGAATTTGGCCAATGCTGACCGCGTTAAGTATATTGATACACTGGAGTAATCTGTGAGGCAAGATCCTTAGAGAAATTGAGTGATCGTAGATATGGATCCGTATGAAACTCGGCGAGACCTGTGAACTTCGCCAGAAATGGCTTACTTTCACTTAACAGTTTTACAATTAATAAAGGTCATGATGTATATGATGCAATATTTCTTTCAATCAATAATTTATTTTTAACAAAGCAGTTGATATCACAGTCCGTAAATCACTTCTGTCTCCCACCCTTTCCCTCCTCCTCCTCCTCCTCTCATTCATTTACCGGGGATCGCTTGAGGCCCATATATACATGGTATCACAGTCAAATGGCAGCTCTGAATATAAACCACACATGCACAGATTTAGCTCTTACCTGTTATGACATGGTCAGAACAGACCTTATAGTGCCGTTTTTCAGGGGGTTAGGGTTGAATCCTATGCTCTGCCAAAGCAATTTCCAAGTGGTGACTTTTGTTACTTACGTGGCAATAAAAATGATTCTGATTCTGATTCTGATTCTCGGTTGATCCTCGCCAACTAAAGGGTTCTTTTCTCCGTCGAGAGTCGCTCCCCTGGCTCGTAATAACCTTCAGAATGTCCCCACAATCTGCACGGTTACTGCACCCCCAAACGACGCAGGCAGTCGGCATGTTTTAGCGCAAAAAAAGTGATGTCCTACGCTTTGTTTACCTACAACTATCGGCGGCTGGACGCTCAATATGGCGAACTGCGGAATTGTGGGTAGTGCGTGACGTCAATGGAAAACCATCTATTAGCGTGGCTGGGTCTAAAAACAACTCGAGGTCCATTTAACATTATTTTGTCTCATCTCCAGCTAATTCCGACATAGAAGTGACGTGCGGCTCTGAAGTAGTGTCTCTGGCCATTCTCATTTGTCCGATTCAATTCAACGGATACAATGAGACGCTGATGTCCCTCAACTCGCAACATTCCAACCCCTTATGTCACGGTGTGGTGGACTGGGATGCCACGCCGCCGGTTCTCCGATTCAACATCACCATCTCGGAGGAAGCCATTACCGAGACTGGCAGCAGCCTCGAAGTGAGTCAGACTAAATAATTATTACTTATTATCATTCAAACTCAACATCACAGAAGCTTAAGGCTGACTGTACAACCTCCTTACTGGGATGTCCTATAGAACTGTCTGCGTGAACTTTGATTGTAGATAGATATTTTATTGATCCCTGTAGGAGAAATTCAGGTGTCCAGTAGCAGCAAAAATAAAAAATACAATTGATCATTCTAAAAAGTTAAGAACAGTGAAAATCAGCCACAGCCCTTCAGGTCACAGCAGAACAGGTGGAGTAGCCTCTGAGTGGAGCAGGACGTGTCACAGCAGCAGAGGTGGAATAGTCTCTGGGTGGAGCAGGACGGGTCACAGCAGCAGAGGTGGAGTAGCCTCTGGGTGGAGCAGGACGTGTCACAGCAGCAGAGGTGGAATAGTCTCTGGGTGGAGCAGGACGTGTCACAGCAGCAGAGGTGGAGTAGCCTCTGGGTGGAGCAGGACAGTTCACAGCAGCAGAGGTGGAGTAGCCTCTGGGTGGAGCAGGACAGGTCGCAGCAGCAGAGGTGGAGTAGTCTCTGGGTGGAGCAGGACGGGTCACAGCAGCAGAGGTGGAGTAGCCTCTGAGTGGAGCAGGACGGGTCACAGCAGCAGAGGTGGAGTAGTCTCTGGGTGGAGCAGGACAGGTCGCAGCAGCAGAGGTGGAGTAGCCTCTGGGTGGAGCAGGACGTGTCACAGCAGCAGAGGTGGAATAGTCTCTGGGTGGAGCAGGACGGGTCACAGCAGCAGAGGTGGAATAGTCTCTGGGTGGAGCAGGACGTGTCACAGCAGCAGAGGTGGAGTAGCCTCTGGGTGGAGCAGGACGTGTCACAGCAGCAGAGGTGGAATAGTCTCTGGGTGGAGCAGGACGTGTCACAGCAGCAGAGGTGGAGTAGCCTCTGGGTGGAGCAGGACGGGTCACAGCAGCAGAGGTGGAGTAGCCTCTGGGTGGAGCAGGACGTGTCACAGCAGCAGAGGTGGAATAGTCTCTGGGTGGAGCAGGACGGGTCACAGCAGCAGAGGTGGAGTAGCCTCTGAGTGGAGCAGGACGGGTCACAGCAGCAGAGGTGGAGTAGTCTCTGGGTGGAGCAGGACAGGTCGCAGCAGCAGAGGTGGAGTAGCCTCTGGGTGGAGCAGGACGTGTCACAGCAGCAGAGGTGGAATAGTCTCTGGGTGGAGCAGGACGGGTCACAGCAGCAGAGGTGGAATAGTCTCTGGGTGGAGCAGGACGTGTCACAGCAGCAGAGGTGGAGTAGCCTCTGGGTGGAGCAGGACGTGTCACAGCAGCAGAGGTGGAATAGTCTCTGGGTGGAGCAGGACGTGTCACAGCAGCAGAGGTGGAGTAGCCTCTGGGTGGAGCAGGACGGGTCACAGCAGCAGAGGTGGAGTAGCCTCTGGGTGGAGCAGGACGTGTCACAGCAGCAGAGGTGGAATAGTCTCTGGGTGGAGCAGGACGTGTCACAGCAGCAGAGGTGGAGTAGCCTCTGGGTGGAGCAGGACGGGTCACAGCAGCAGAGGTGGAGTAGCCTCTGGGTGGAGCAGGACGGGTCACAGCAGCAGAGGTGGAGTAGCCTCTGGGTGGAGCAGGACGGGTCACAGCAGCAGAGGTGGAGTAGCCTCTGGGTGGAGCAGGACGGGTCACAGCAGCAGAGGTGGAGTAGCCTCTGGGTGGAGCAGGACAGTTCACAGCAGCAGAGGTGGAGTAGCCTCTGGGTGGAGCAGGACAGGTCGCAGCAGCAGAGGTGGAGTAGTCTCTGGGTGGAGCAGGACGGGTCACAGCAGCAGAGGTGGAGTAGCCTCTGAGTGGAGCAGGACGGGTCACAGCAGCAGAGGTGGAGTAGCCTCTGGGTGGAGCAGGACAGTTCACAGCAGCAGAGGTGGAGTAGCCTCTGGGTGGAGCGGGACGGGTCACAGCAACAGAGAGTAGCCTCTGGGTGGAGCAGGACAGGTCTCAAGGTGGAGTAGCTGCTTGAATTTCAAGATTTGGACAACAATAAACATATTCCCACTCTGGCAAAATAATAATCTGCGTTTTCATTTGAATTTGTGCATCAGAAAAGGAAAAACGCAAGCATTAGGACCCTCTTCTGTTTCTTCGTTTTTAAATCTGACTTGTGTGTGTATTATTTTCATCTGTATGTTATTTAAATGTGAAGCGCTTTGTGATCCTGGTCTGTGAAAGGCGCTATACAAATACACTTGACTTACTCACTAACTCCGTAAATCTGTGGCGGACCCTGCGCTGCTTAATTACGCATATGTTTTGCCTCATTCACCTCTGGCAAAGCAATGTGGGTTTTCCTTAGTTTTGTGCATAAAGCCCCATAAATGCATCTGATCTTGCTCAAACCTGTCTCAGCCACTGCCCTGTCCTCCGCAGCAGAGATAGGATGCAACGCCCTGATGTGGGAACTGGCTCACGGGCAGTATAGCTCTCGGGAAGTGCGCAGCAGGTGCCACAGAGGTCATTCATCCATCCATTCATTTATTATTTAGTTTTTTATTTCTAAAGTTGAATAGGGATGAGTGCGAGGGAGAAAACGCATATTTTTAAACAAACGTGAATAAACTCAGAAGTGCGTGCCAAAGGCTTTTTGAGGCTTCCAAACAGTCTTCTTAGCCGACTTCCTGCTGACCTGTCGTAAAAATGTCCGGTTTCTGAATATTTATAGGCGTGGCTTTCATATATACGCTAGTTTTGGGCGCGGCATTTATTAAACAGCCGCAGGTACGTACGCTCGATCTGTGCGGATCTCACACGTTCATACATGCCACGTCGGATCTTGCGTATCTGTAATCTACACCCAAAATGTACACCTTTTTCTGCGCATGTTTCATAAATGAGGGCCATGTGAGAAACATAAATTGTGTTTAGTATTTCAAAAAGAAGTAATAAGTCATTTCAAACAATAATATATATCAGCCCCTTTAAGCATTTGTGACATTTACTGGAGGAAAATAGTTTAACCAACGATGAGGGGCTTCAAGGGTTTGAATTGATTTAGTCTAATCAGGAAGCTGCTGCTCTTTAAGTTGAATCACAGAAATGAATGAACTTTTGAACGATATTGACATTTTCAGAGGTTTTTTAGTGCTGAAGTTTCATCTGTATTGTCTGTGTTTGCATGATCCGAACATATCACTGATGAACTGATCTGTTGTGATGGCGCTCCGACAGATCACCCAGGAGGAGGGCAATAGCCTTATGGGCATGAATCAGTATGTCAACATCTCCGGGACAATATGTTCCCGCGACCCGTCCATTGGGGCCATCACATATCACCAGGAGGTCATGTACCGCTTCTCCTGCCGCTATCCTCTGCAGTACCTGATCAACAACACCAGGATGCATGTGTAAGTGGCCGCCGCATTTTTAACCCTATGTTTTATAGCTCCACCCGCACCAATATACGGGACGTTCAGCATTCCTTTTGTCATTTGGGCATAGACACTACAGCTGGTGGTAAGCGATCACATTTGGGGCACTCGGGTTGGTGTATCAAAACCACTTTGATTCTAACGGGCCTTGCGACTCCACTCGACTCTACTGCTCTATTTGCTGCCTTTCCACGCTTTTTTATCCAGTACCATATGCTAGCAACCTAACCACAGCAGATCTGTATCCCGGGAATTTCACTGGTAACCATAGCTTCCAGGAGCACTCTGCCCAGTCTCTGGCAGTTAGAACACTTTGTTTAAAGGTACACTCTGTTGTTTTTACTCCCATCTAGCATTGAGATCATATATTGTAATTTACGGTACTAAGGTAGCTTCACTGGACATAATGTCGTCTTTGACTGTGGTCCCCAACTCCTGCAAACTCCTTTTTGTCCCTTCTCAACCACCGTATTTCAAGATGGCGCACTGACACAGAGAGTCCTCCAGCCTCGTACATTTAAAAGTCAATTTCTAAGCCCATGACAAATATAGTAAATATTCTTGGAAAGGTCCCGTTTGTTATTGGTTAACATGTTTTTTCATTTGGAGTAACTGTAAAAATTACACAGAGTACCTTTAAGTACCTGGTGCTGGTCATTCTGCTGGTTTTGGTTTCAACAAAAAAAGTCAAACCCTTGGAGAACATCTTCATGGAGATGACTTGGAACACAATGGGATATTTGATTATGACTCGATAATTATATGTGTGATAATGTAGTCATAAAACCTCTTGTTTAAGCATGTTTAAGCACACTGAGCGTAAAAAAAAAAAAATGTTTAAAGAGTTTGGGCTGTTGCATGCTCTGCTCTTTTTCTTCAAAAGTGACATATGTTTGAAAATGTTGATATTGCTCCACGTGGATGATAGACTCAGCGGTGGGAAAAGGCCTTTCGACGCCATGGACAGAGCCATTTTCTGCCTTTTTAACCAATATTGATTCAATATTTAGTTTTGGGGGTTTGTTTTCTACCACTATGCACCCTAAATTAGATCATAATAAAACTTCACTAAAGATATGCCGTCCCAATAGTCAGATGCATTTGCCTTCTTGTTTATTGTGAACCGATGCTGTGGGAAAGCCAACATATAACACCACATACAAAGTGGCCTTGAAATGTGATGGTGATTTCATTAAAGCAGGTGTCTGTAAAGTCTGTACACAAGAGCCGATCATGTGTCGCTGCTCATGCTGCTCTTTTACGGTGTGCCTTACTCTCCGCTATAGTCTGCATTAGGCTGGAATCACACACTCTGTACTCTGAATGTATCATGTGCAGAGTGACCTGTTTGTGGACAGCACCGGATTACCCCACTTTGAGCTGTGTTCAACAATAACACAATATTGGTTTCTGTAAAATATCAAAAAGACATTCTGACTCTATTAGTTTTGTTCTTTCCATGTCCTTTTTTCGCCACGTGACAAAGAAACGCACACAATTTCAATATATCAGTTATCTGTGCTGTGGTGAAGAATACATTGAAATTGATTAGATGGATAGATTATTATGGATGGATAACACTCTCGCTTCTCAGCAAGTAGGTCCTGGGTTCGAATCCCGGTCGGAACAGGGCCTTTCTGAGTGGAGTTTGCATGTTCTCCCCGTGTCTGCATAGGTTTCCTGCGGGTGCTCCGGTTTCTCCTACCACTAAAAACATGCACAATAGGTCTGAATGTAAATGAGAGAGTGAATGGATGGTGTTTGGTCGGAGGCTTTGATGGTCCAGTGTGTTCTGGACTCGCTTCTGTCATCACCGTGTGTGGTATGATTAGAACAATATCTGACTCTGAACATTGTAAAGGCTTTGGGTGACTCTGGTCTGTAAAATGTGCTATATAAATAAATATTACTTACTATTCTTCTGATTAATCAATTAGTTGTTAAGATCATGAAAGACTTGTAGATATTGCCATAATGTCTCCAGAATAAAGAAATGTGTTTACAAAGAATTTCTAATCGAACAACCTTGGGTACTGTTTTTTTCCCATATTCACCGATTCTCCAAATAAATGTGTTAAACCACTTTTTAAATCAATATATTTGTTGTGATTAAAAGACATTCATTTTCTGTCCAACAGGCAAGGTATCACGCTGGCGGTCAAAGACACAAATGGAAGTTTCATCAGCACCTTAAGCATGGATCTGTTTGGAGTAAGAAACACCATCTTTTTGTCAGTCAGCCAACTTCAGCTCCATCGTATCTAAAAAGCTCGGAACAACCCAAATCCAGGCAAAACAAATGCAGAATCAGGGTGGGAAAAGTCTGGTTAACTAAAGTGGTCCTCTCATTAAAAGGCCACCTCTGCATGATGGTGGATCAAAGTCTATAACATGAGCTGGCCTTTAAAAAAAAAAAAATCATTTATTTCAGGCAATGGCACAAGGTAATTAAATGCAGTTAAATAATCTAAATCATATAATGCAAAAAACAGACAGACTAAACACACAATAAACAAAAAAATGTATAAACTATAAATGTACTTTATAAACATGGCCGTATAATTCTGCCTGAAAAGGAGTGGGAAGAAGAAAAAAAACATATTTAATCCCACCCCTTTATCCCCATTCAGTGATTAAACCATCTACTTCACTGTTACTTTATTAAGCATTATTTTACAGTGTTATATCATGATGGCGTTACCACGGGCAACAAGGAAATTAGTAATAGATAATATACCAACAAGGTAAAAGCAAAAAGGTCCTGGGTTCGAATCCCAGTCTGACCAGAGCCTTTTTGAGTGGAGTTTGCATGTTCTCCCCGTGTCTACGTAGGTTTCCTCCGGGTGCTCCGGTTTCCCCTACCACTAAAAACATGTACAATAGTTCTGACATGTGCCTCCTGTACTGACCCTGCTCCCATCTCTGTGTGAAGTGAGAGACTAATGCCCAAGAATAACAATTGTAAACCGCTTTGAGACTCAGTGAATCTTTTATTTTCTATATAAATAAAGATTACTTACTTACTTACAATGGTAATGAACCAAAAAATATTATATATACAGTAAATAATAGGATAAATGATAATGATAACAACTCTTTCAGGAGGCCAAACATTTTATTGTATATTTTTGGGCAAAGAAAAGTTCAAAGTGAGATCAAAATAAATTGGTACCGCACAGAGATTGGCTTGTTTTGTTTGTACCTTTGACAAACGTTTTTACTTGAGTCCAGATAATAACTTCTGTTTAATTACTCCATGAAGTGGCGAAGGATTAGATCAGTCTGAGAGCAGGAGCGGTCGAGCAGATCTGCTGTTAACGCTCTTTTCTCTTCTCAGGACAAGACGTATAGTGATCAGCTGTCCATGCCATTAGAACTAAAAACCAGAATTTATGTCCAAGTGAAAGCATCTAATCTGACAAACAGGTAAATAACTCAATAACACCTGCATTCTTCCTGATTGCATCGTGCGCTTTTCTGCTCAGACACGTTTTCTTTCAGGTTCCACGTTCTCCTGGACCGTTGCTACACCACTGACACGCCGTTCTTCTCCACAGAATCATACTACGATCTGTTTGTGGGGTGAGTCCTCCTCTACACTGTAATCCAGACAAAGTCAACAAGTCCTGAGTTGGCCTTTTCTCGCAGGTGTGACCGGGACGTGCAGACCGTTATGGGTTCTAACGGAGAAAAGCAGGTTGCCCAGTTCTCCTTCGAGGCCTTTCGTTTCATGAAAGACACAAACCGGACCATCTCCACCTACTACGTCCACTGTGCCACCAGGCTTTGTGTGGATTCCATCTGCCCCGCGCTTGTGCAGGTCAGGCTCGTGAGAGTAGGATGAAGGATTTCGGATCCCATTGCTGATATATACTCTTCACACAGAACTGCTCATCGAACCGGAGGCGTAGAAGGTCCAGCGAGCCGGACACTTCAGTGAGCGATGTGGCCACGGTCACCTCCAAACCCATTACTATTCACATAGACAACGGTAGGGTCATCCATGTCCATCTACGGCCACAGTACTGCGCAGTATGCAGGGCAAGTGTAATGGATCTATAGCTAAGCAGAAAAATTAGACAATTACAGTTCCTAACAGTCAAAACTAGTTCAAAACTCTGATTTAAGAGTTGGGAATTATGATCTAGTCTCGGTTAAAGGTGTATGGAATGAAAATCAAGTACGCCTTTAATACTCCTTAAATGAAACCTCTCTTGGAACCGCAAAGTTCAGTAAACACAGATCATTCAAAATATCTCTGAAGGCTTCACTTTGGGCATCACAGGGCAAAGGGCCAGATGCTCCCGCCCTCCAGCCAGTTTAATGGTTGACCCAAATTCTTGCATATTTTTGTAACGGTCAATCATTTCAGTTTTTAGTGCTGATGTGCTTTTAGTGGGCAGAAAATAACGTTGCAGAAATGTATGCAAAATATTGTTGGGGTCAAAATGTATTTAAAATGACAAAAACTGTTGTGTTGTCTTTTGCAGGGTTTCTTCTCAACGATGGTAAGTACACATGAGTACACATAAGTACACATAAGTACACATAAGTATTACTAACATGGGGCAAAGTGGTCGAAGGAGAGTCTCTTTTGCTGTTTTGGACAATATGGCATCAAAATCTCAAGAAAGTGTGGCCATTAACTCATTGACTGCCAGCTGTTTTTGATGATTTCACTCACTTTCAAGACCCGCAGAATATTGTGTGCTATGACTATGGGAAATATGGAACCAGATTCTGAAAGATTGGACTGTCTACTTTCATCAGAAAAAACATGTTTGTTTCTAGCTAGCTTCGTTCTCCTGTAATCCCCTGGCGAATACAGAGAAGTTTGACAGAAATCACAAGTATTACAAAAAATACATCATGGCATTCAATGAGAGAACAATGCACTGTAGGCAAATAGGATTTAGTAAACATTAGTGCTTGAGTAGTATTCAGATTATATTAAAGAACATAAGCTTCGTTCTTAAGTCCAGAGACAATGGTTGGAAAGACAAGGACTTGAAATGACACATTATACAGCCCATGTTCAAGTACATACTGACTTTTATTTAAGCCTGCAGTGCCTTGTTTAGGAACTCTACAAATACAGGTTGATTTTAGTGAAACATATTTATGAAGAACTGATCCTGCAGAATCCCCGACCCAGAAATGGCCTAATAAAGAGGTAGAAAAATGAATGAATGAATGAGTAATCACCAGCAAAACTACTAATAAAAGAGGCTTAAAATTGCAATTGAAGCAACTTTACTAGGTTAAAGACTCAGGAAGTAGTAAAAAACAACAAACAAGATATGAATATTATAAAAAATAATGTATTATATAAAATTAATCGATAAATTGAATAAAATAAAACTATCAAGATTATATACATGTCCACAGCTAAACATGGATTGGACAATAGATTTTCAGGAAGACCAAATGTATGCTATATAATGTAAAAACAGATCTGTCTGAAAGAGAATCCCGCGACCCGGCAACGGATGAAAGAAAATGGATGGATGAACATTTTAAGACTAATACTATCTCGTTCATAGAGTGTCTTCATATATTTTCCCAGTGACACTCTCTCTCATCAGCCCATAATAATAATATTCATATTTACGGTACTTTAACAAGGGCTTGGTTTCCAGGTCAGTGGATGACGCGTCTACTCTTTCAAAAAAAAAAAAAACAACATTTTCATCACTAAAAGCAAGGGGACGGCATTAATGACTGAATTTGACTTGATTATCTTGGGAACCAGGCAGAGGATGAGGTCAGCCATTGTAGCGCGGGTCTTATGTTTCTCTGCTGCTTTGAGTGTCTGGAGCTTCATAAGAGCAACAGCTGGAGGCAGTGGAGTTAGAATTACACTACGAGGTGTTTCAGGAACAAAGAGGGTCTCAGCTTTTACAACTTTGCATGTGAACTACTGAAACACAACTTTATGTACAGTGGGGTAAGGAGGATTTGATTGTGCTTGTCCCACTTAAAAAAAAAAGGTCCATAAAGATTGTATTTCACGGTTAAACAGAGTGACTGAATGTTGAAAATCAGGGTGTTTGCACAGATTTTTTTTAGTTTAAAGTTGCAGAAAATGTTTGTTTTAAATACTTATGGACATGGGTCAAGTCTCCCCCTGTGCACCAATACCTGTGTTCTCTATTCTTTGTGTTTTGATTCTCTGATCTGTGTTGGCGATTTCAATGGTTTTGCTAAATAGATAGATACTTTATTGATCCCCGTAGGAGAAATTCAGGTGTCCAGTAGCAGTAAAAATAAAATATATAATTCTAAAAAGCTTATAGTAGTAATAATCAGCAACTTCAGGTCACAGCAGCAGAGGTGGAGTAGTCTCTGGGTGGAGCAGGACGGGTCACAAGGTGGAGTAGCCGCTTGGTTCGGACCATTTTCTCTGCTCTGGTCCAAAGTAAAATGCTAAATGCTTAATTTTCAAACAGTTAGCATTCCTCCAGTGGATTTTCATCTGATCCACTTGGTTCGGACCATGAATCCTCTCTGCTCTGGTCTGGACCAGTGTATAACCATGAACACTGTACTGCAGCAACATCTCAGGCAGAAAAAAAGCAATAAACATAAAAATTGTAAAGCACTAAAAAAAAGCTTTTTCAGAACTACTTAGGAGATAACTACTGTTGTGATTTAGAGCTTTACAAGAATACATGTAATTGAATTGACAATACAGTAAGAACTGGAACAAAAGCAAATGTCCAACTCAATACTCGTTACCATAAAAGGTCACATTTCCTACACACAGATTTTCTCTGGAGCTGCAATGTTTTGAGGCTGCCAATGTGCCACACAACCTTTAAACTCTCTCCACACATTTCCAATCAGGTGGGGGTCTGGAGAATCTCACATCATAGAATTACGTCACTCAGTTCTTTTAAGAAGGAAAACTTACACTATTTACAGCACATCAGGTCTGGACCATTTTGGCCTCAAATCCAATTGCAATAAGTCTGACCAAGATTGGGATCCATTTTATGTGCAGTGTTTAAAAAGTCTAATTTTGTAGTAAAAAAATAACAATTTGAAGAGAGTCACATTTGCTTTCATACATTGACATTTAGGGCTGCATGATTAATTGCAAAGAATGACTTGAAACCATTTTCTCTTCAGGTCTTGGAAGTCAGTCGGAGAAAACTGTGGTGACGGTGTCGGTAATCGCAGGAATAGTCGGAGCCGTCTGCGTCACTCTCGTGGCTTTTATAGTCTACAACAATTACTACGGCAACAGGACGCCAGGACTGGGGAAGACCATCCTGAACTCACAGGACTGTGCTTAAGGAAACGTATTAATACTGTATGAGCCAGTTGGTTTCTGAGTAATGCATGCTGCTCAACATAGAGATGAGTTGTAATGTTGTAAATACATTCAAATGATTTTCTCAAAATGTTTTAAAGAATAAACCCGATGACTGTACTGTATCTTTCTGCAATTACCTCAACTTAACCATTGTAGTCTTCTGTATTGGTCCTGGCACAGATGATTACACCTGCAAAAAGGACCAGCGAACAGGGCTTCTGTCACAGCTATCACCATATTATATTATTAAAAGATTATTGAAGCTGCAACAGTGTTTCATGCGTTAACTGTATAAATTAACACCAATTAAAAGTTTTTATAAGTCTTTCAGATGTCCAGATGCATTTCCTTGGTCAGCCCCAAGGCCCGGAGGGAGAACGAGAATGGAGACAAAGCTTTAAGACAAAAAAAAAAGACATTTTTTATTAACAGTTTAGAAACAACAATATTTCCTCTTTCCATTCATTCATTTCATGTATTAAAGGCCCTCCCCCCTTTTCTGGTACCCCCACAGTCCACAGTGAGCGTCTGATCTGTGAAGAAGCCAAATGCTGGAGGTAAAACAGACATTGCAGATTCCCCTCGACAGAAGAGCTGCTGAAGTGTTAACGATGCACTGTTGTCATCTCCCATAAACTGTGTTCGTTTGTCTGGGCTTCAGCAGATCGATTTGCTTTTGTGACTTTAGAGATGTGTCAGAGCAATTGTGATGGAGCTCTCCAGACTGGGCGGAGCTTCAGGATTCAGGACAAAACATCCCTAATGTGAAATCCCCAAAAGGATTGAAAAATAATTCTTCTAATGAAAGCTTGAAAACATTTAGAGCTGCCATGCATGGTCATAAAACATGGCATTGTGCTACACTTAAAATTTAGCACATGACATTTCAAAGCGCTGTGGATAGTTGTTAGACTCCAGTGTATTTTCATATTCTTAATATTTGGAATTTTGGAAACTTCTATAGGGATTTGAGGCATTCTAGTTCTGGAAACCTTAGCCCCGCCCTCTTGACAGCTCCATACATCACACATAAAGGGCTAAAACTAAATTGCTGTAAAAGAACATTTGAAATGTATGAAGTTTACTTTTCTTCTCAAAGAAAGAGGGGTCACAATAATGTTTTTTTTTTGAGAACACCAAGCGACCCAGATATGGTTCAAGATAGTTGACGTCCTTCGAGTTGCAGTTTCTGGCACAATAAGAATCCAGTGTCCGTTATGTGAAGTTCCATCTCATTATCTGTGGTTTTGTTTGGTAAGTGCTGTATATTCACATGTAGACCAAACCAGACCAAACCAGACCCAGATGAAGACGAGGAGGAGTGGTGTCCGACCTTTTTCAGAACAGTGCATTTACCAGGAACGGAAACAGAGTGGGAGGAGCTGAACGCTTACACACCGTCAATAAATAGAGAGATTTGCCTTTCCGTGTCCGGCTGTTATAACTCGTCGTCTACATGGTTTTTAGATTGGGCCGTGTCAGATGTTTCTGGAAGGAGAAACAAACAGAAATGAGGAAATCAAATTTTAGATTTTTTGTGTAAGTCAGATTCCTCTTGCCCAATCAAATACAGCAAATATGCATCAGAATATATTCATGGAACTGAACTCAGAACAGATCAGTAAAACCTCTAACGATGGGAAAAACGTCACCAGGGCTGACATTAACGATTTCTAAATGGTTGTTTCAAAAAGGAAAAGGCCATCGCGTCATTTTAATGAACAAATAAATAAATATCCTCAGACAAGAGTTGTGTCACCACTTTAATTACATTAAATATTCCATCTCACGTTAAATACAATAGTTATCACAAAGAAACGTCTCGCTTTGAATCAGAAAATATATTCTATTGGACTCTCAACAAGACAATATTAGGAGAAAGAAATTCTCATCTGAAATGAAACTTCTGACTTTATAGAAAGTAAACACATTTTATCAGAAGAAAAACTCAATATTGACATTGAGACAATATATTTGGTAATTTTTTGAACATATTTTTGGGAAAAATGCAAAACTTTATTGCACTCATTGTTATAGTTGAGTGAAGCCATATACAGTGTCATATTGACATATTGTCTATTTTCAATAGACGACAGTAGCTCAGTTGGTAGAGCATTGGCCTTAAGGCCAGAAGGTTGTGGGTTCAATTCCCACCTCTGCACCTTCTCCACCGACTCCCACTGATGACTGCTGTTGTTGTGTCCTTGGGCAAGACACTTAACCCCACTTTGCCCAAAGCCCCCACTGAAAGATCAAGGCTATGCTCACAGTCAGAGAGCAGCCGTCCTCCTGTGGACTCACCACCTGCAGAGGGTCAGTGAGGGGCTGGTGCTATGAGACTTGGGTGGCATCTCTGACTGCCAACCCCCTGACCCAGAAATGGATTAAAGGGTAGAAAATGGATGGATGGATGGGGTCTATTTTCAATATACAAGATGGCTGAGCCGTTCTGGGGAGATCTTAAATGTGTAGTTCATGCAAGGCAGCCCAGGAATTTATATGAACTAGAGGCTTTTGCCAAGAAGAAGGAGTGCTTTACCATTAGAGAAAATAAAGGAACCTCATCCAAAAGACTTCGAGCCGTCGCAGATTTTTAAGGGGAAATACACGCTTTTAAGAACTGGGCGGAGACTTTGATCAATGACAACAGAGAAACATTTGACTATAAATGGCTTCACACGACAACTAACAATGTTCAAGTTTTCATTCACAAACGGTTTGTGAGCTTCTGGTTTGCACCAAACCATCTTCAAGGCCTGTACCTTGTGCTGGTCCATTGTTTTCCTCATAAAACTAAAATGTCAAAACAGCAGAGAGGACTATAGCTCCCCTGCATCAGACCGACCTGTTTCCTCCGCCTGCTGCTGCTGCTCTTCAGACTGGGCTTGAGCCGTGCTGTCGTCTGTGGGCGGGGCCTCGCCTGGCTCTGCCTCTGGACTTTCTGCATTTGAACAGACACATGTTCAGTACAACGTTTACAAGAATATTAAGTTTAAAACAGCAGATATGGGCCCGGTCCTCACCGACTGGTTTCTCTGCGCTCTCGTCCGCAGGAGGAATCACCGTTTCCTCTGTGGTGCTGTTGGCCTTGTCGCTTTTCTCGGAGCTCGTGCTGTTCTTCGCCTTGGGCTTGGTCTTGGGCTTGGCGAACTTGGCCTTGTTCAACAGATAGTTTACTTCCCGGTCCAGCAGAGCCAGCTTGCTCTCGATGTCTTTGGACAGCAGGACGGGGCGTTCGGTGGGGGAGCGCTGGTCCTGCTGCGCGACTGTTTCGTTCATCCACGTCTGAAAAGAAAAAGAAGAACAGGTTGAATACCGCCATCATTAGCATTTACGGTATTAAGCGCTGCAGACATCACTTACAGTCGTTTCATTGATGACTTTTTCCAACAAATTTAACTCCACCTCAGTAAATATTTGGTCATCCTCAGGAATAAGTCTGGCACTCCTGTTCATAAACAAATACATGATTCAAACGAACAGATTGTTATAGACAGAGTGTGTACGAGTCTTACCTCAGAAAGAAGCTGGATGTGTTGAGCATGCTGTGCAGAGAGGCCAGGCGCTCAGGCCACTTGCGGCGCTCCTCCACCCTGAAGAACATGTTCTTGCACAGGCTCTTGAGCTCCGACAGTTTGACGCGCAGCTCTTTGGTGGTGGCGGAGTATCCGTCATCGTCCATCCACTCAGAGGCCTCCTTCAGCCGGCTGACAATCTCCTCCTGCTCCTCGGCTGACACCACCAGCTGGTACTCCTCTTGGTACATCTTGTCCTGGAGCAGGAGGAAACAAGTATGGAGATTAAGTGCTTCCAATTTTGAATCACTATTTTGGGCTCGACACACACACACAACCACACACACACATACACACGGGGGGCGACTAACCGTACACAGACAAGAGACACTGAAAAGCAGATTCACAAAGAGTGACATACATCTCAGAAGTCTCCTCCTTCCACAGATCTCATTGGCCATTCACTTTGCAGGAGTTATAGAAATTCTGAAGTACAACGCACTAATATGAAGTGAAATTTACCAAAATGTAATTATTTCTGTTGGCTGTAGATTTCAAAGAATGCATGGCCTGACATTTGTATACTGTATTTAATCTGAGAGGATTGGCACATGTATTAAATGAAGGAGGAGCTCAGACTCTGCTCTAATGTCTGGACACATTGGCGGTAGTACTGCTTGTACACCTTGATGTGTTGTGCTTTTACCATCTTATGTAGGTCTTTATTTAATATCCCTCCACTCAGAATGAAAAACAAGTAGCCATACTTTAAACACCATAGAACTATTATACACAACTATAATAATAAAAACACAGTTCTTTTGTCAACAAGACAAACAACACACCTTCCATTGAAGATGAACGGAGATGGAGCAATATCGCCCCCTGGTGTCAAGCCCAGTATAGCACCAGTACTAACCTGTGTCTCAAAAATAAAGGCTTCGAGAGTATTCAACGTTTTCTCCCTTTCCTGTTTGGCCAAGTCTCGATCCGTCAAATCCTTAAGTCTGAAGGTAAAGAAAAGCCATTATATTTACCATAGTACAATTCAAACAAAGTACATTTCAGATGGAAGAGAAGAATTACTTTTTATTGGAAGCGCTGACATCATCGGCAGTGGGATCCACGATGTCATGGTAGAGCAGTTCAACGGCGATTTCATCAGAGAGCTTACTCTTTTTCACTGGTTTAGTCGTCTTCTCTGCTTCCTTGTCACCGTCAGTGTTCTCTGACTTTGCAGCATCTTTTTCTGCCTGAAAAGACAAAACATTGCAATTTCTTTAGTGCATTTCTTTAAAAACACAGACCATGACCCATGACAACACACATACAGTATAATTGTCAAGGCACCTCCACAGTGGTACATAAAAAGTACATGCTGGTACATATTTGCACAAGATATCATTTTACACAAGCCAAGAGTTAAGGAAATGTATATTTTGATTTCAGACTTGAAGTAGTGGCGTGTACAGAGGGTATGTCACCATTGACTAATTGACTGCCAGCCGTTTCTGATGACGTCACTGATTCTCAAGACCCACAGAATTTTATTTCCTAAGTCTATGTGAAATGTGAAACCAGATTCTGAAAGACTGGATTGTCTACTTTGATCAGCAAAAATAAGTTTGTTTTTAGCCATTTTTATTGTCCTGTAATCCCCAGTCAAATAGAGGGTCTCAGACAAATACGTCAATGGCAGTCAATGAGTTAAGAGTAATAGAACATTTTTATAATAACATTGGGTGCGTCAGTCTCGTGCGAGCTGAGAACAACTGCATTTGGTTACATTGCTGCTTAAGAGAGTTTTGCATTAAAAGAACACCATTATAGTTTTGGAGTTTCCTCATGTACCTTTGCGTCGGTCGGGCCATCTGCCTCCTCTGCCTTTTCTTTCTCAGCCTCGCTCTTCTCAGACGGCTCCTGCTCCTGCTCCTTCTGGTCTTTATCTTCTTGGTCTTTTGCCTCTTCATTGCTCTCCTGATCTTTGTCGTCCTTTCCAGATTCAGGAGGGACTTCCTCTTCATCCTTTACATTGATCATTTTACATCAACAACAAAAGAATCTTGTCAACACAAATGGTAAAGGTAAAGAGAATAACCTGGACTGGCTCGGTGATGTTGGGAGCCGGTTCTGAAGACCCACCGCCAAACAAGGTGGAGATAGTGTTTCCCAGTTCTGAGGAAGAGGCGAGTTCATAACACAGCATTAATAATCCTGCTTGAGTATGCAGTCCACACATTTGTATCATGAACACAGTAAAGACATAAACTGAACTGACTTGTTAAAGTAGATTCCTCTTCCTTCTCTTCCACAATGGTCTCAAACACAGACTCAACCTGAACAAAAAAGAACAGTGTGTTAGGTGTCCCGATGAAAACACATCGGTAGATGAAGAGTGGTTGGCCTAGGAAACACACCCGGTCCAGCAGAAGAAGTCCACTTTCGTCCATGTTGAAGTGCGCCTTGATGCCCTTGGATTCCGCGTCTGAATGCTTTTGAAAGCTGCTGCCCACTCCGGACAGTTTGACAGTGGTCAGGTTTCGAGAGCCAAACACACTGTAAGATAGTATTCAGACTGAATGTTGGCTGTAGATAGAGCCTTAAGCACATATTCCTGATAAAGTGTACCTAAGATCTTCTTCAGTCAGAAAGGCGAGGTCCCCATAGTTCACCTCAAAAGAGAAGTCGTCAGTGTAGCGGTTAAAAGTGATGACCTTTCTCTGAGGATACGGGGCCATCCTCTGGAACAGGATGCGCTTGTTGTGTTTAAAAGTCTTCACACCTTCTTCATCGGTCTCACGAGTGAACTCCACCTGCGCACAACAGAGACTTTAACAGTATATGCATCTGAGAAGAAGACGGCACACTGAACTCGAAGTGTTTTCAGACCTGAATGGGGAACACTGCAGCGTCTCTGACAAGGAAGGGTTTGACTTTGAAGGCTTTGCTCAGAGCAGCCGCCTGGTACACTGCACCCATGGCCGCAGCCTCGTCAGCGTTGATGTTTTTTGCAAGCTCTTCCCTGGAAAATAGTAAAACATACAACTGAGAAAATATATACAGTACAAGACTTATTAGTCAACATGAGTCAATTGTTGACTAATGAGTGGACTGTGAGCTGTCTGTTTGGACTATCTATGCTCGGTAAACCAGCGGTAATCTTTCAGTTATATATTTTGTTAGCAGTGCGTTTTGTACCATTTCATCAGTGATTGTTGTACAGCTTAAGTTGGGCTAATGCTAATGTAAGCATATGTATCAGATCGCAAATAAAACTAGACGGCTCAGCGGGATGAGATCGTAGGGGAAATGAGAAGTCTGTGAGCGAGTTGAGGGGCTTGAGACTTTTAAACCGAGCTATTAGAGTAACAAATGACTCTTCTGGCCACCCTGGAAAGGCCATGTTTCAGCTTCTTCCTTCTGGCAGAGGATATCTTTTGCTGAGATGCAGGACATCTTCATATGCTAACTGCTTCTTTCCACAAGCTGTTATCAGTTTAAACAAAGCACTTGAATGATCTTGCCTTTGTATTGAAACTGTTATTGTCGATCGATTTCATAGTGTCAATTGTTTCCGGTTTTATGTATTTTTAACCTTTTTATTCCTGTACTTGTCTTGTGCACACTGGGAACTTTTGCGGATGTATACCAATGTGGTTTTACTGCAAATGGCAATTAAATGAATCTGAATCTTGTATGCACTTACTTTTCCACCGCTTTGAGCAGCACTTCCTGAACCTTAGGCACACGAGTGGAACCCCCGACCAAGATGACGTGCTCGATCTCCCCCTGCGTCAGAGAGGCGCGTTAGTAAGCTGTTGATACATGGTTTTATACTGATAATGTACCATGGTCATCTCTGCACTCATGAGAGCATCCTGCACTGGTTTGGACACCCTCTCAAACAGATCGGCACACAGCTCTTCAAACTCAGCGCGGGTCACTTTGGCTTTGAAATCAATGTCATCCATCAGACCCTCCACCTGCTCAAAAGAACAAGATTAAAACAAACGACTTCAACAGCTCTACACGCGGTAAGAAGCGACATGACAAACCTGTGCCATGAAGTCCACATTGGCGCTGAGCACAGTCTTCAGTCTCTGGGCTTCTTTGAGGAGCTTTGCCATGGCTCTGTGGTTCTCCCTCACATCCTTCTTGCTCTTCTTTTGTTCATTAAACAGTTTGGCCAAATGGTCACGCAGCCGCAGATCCATCTCAAGACCCCCAAGGCCACGGTCAAAACTGCATCACACATGATTAAACATTGTAGGTACAATTCATAACATGGCCATCATTTATCATAGTACTAATATAATAATAACCTTACATATGGTTTATACAGTGTGGTGCAAGAGTGGACACCTTTATTTAAAACTTTAACATAGCACTAGCCTGGCCTTATCCATCCGTACACTTCTCTCAATAATCAATTCCTGCATGTAACGTCTTGGTCTGGTCCCTGTGTTTGCGATTACAATTGGTTTAATTCCATCCGACCAATCAGAGAGCGCGGGAGGCGGGTGTTGTAGGTCAGTGCCGGTGACGTCAAGAGTTTGCGCCGAACGGGCCGGTTGTAGTTTGGCAATGGTGAAGAATGCAATAGTAAAGTAATCCAGTCTGGTTCTATCAAGAAATTGAAGCCAGAGCAAGAGGAATGTTTAGCAAATGTAATTGGTGGCAAAGATTGTGGCGCTATGTCTCCCCACCATTAAGGACATGTACTCCACCCGTCTCACCCGCAAAGCCGTCAGAATCACCAGGGACCCTACGCACCCGTCACACAGGCTCTTCAGGGTAATGCCTTCAGGGAGGAGACTGCAGAATTTACGGAACAGTTCCATTCACAAGGCCATCAGGAAGCTGAACTCCCTGCCCTCCCTCCCACCCCTCTTCCCCCACCCCCCGCTCCACAATCAAGGATGAGAGAAATATAATTTCAAACCATTCACTTGGTTTGACAAATAAAAATCTTGAAATCTTGAAACTCCCCACGGGCTCCGTTAGTGGCAAAGGAGATGACCAGGCTAAATGCTAAATGCTATCAACAGACTCGGGCGCATTACAAACGTCACGGTAAAACTCAGATCCAATCGTTTCAATCTGCAAAAGGAGTTAACCCCTCCCACCTGTTCACGGAGCTCAATGAAGCACCTCCAGACCTTAGTACGAAATGTAATTAGTTCTATGGTGTGGTACGACCAGGCTAAGTGAGCACTAACAAAAACTTTTATTTTGACTTATTTACTGAAAGACAACAGCAAAGTGACAGACCACTGTGAAAGTAAAATACATGATTTTGATATTCCAGAGCTTGCACTAATACCAACTGGTTAAACTTCTCCACATCCTGATCTCTCTGGGGATCTCCTCGGACTTCCAGATGTTGTTCAATGACAAGTGCACTCATAACTCAGACCCTCACGGAACAGATGTAATTATACTGCGAGTAGATTACACACAAGTGGGCTCTATGTAATGGTTAGGGCGACTTGTGTGCATTCAGCAGTCAATAGAAAAGGCTAATACACTGACTAGAAATTCTGTTCAGCCACTTTTCACTTCGCATTTGTCTTTTGCTTTGTCTTGGTTTACTAGAAAAAAATCCAAAATCATAATATTTGTGGGCGTGACAAAGCAAAATGTGCAAAAGCTGGGGATAATTCTTTAAAACTCACTTTAATACACATATTTTTCATTACCAACTAATAGACTTTTATCAATTGCAGACTTATTTCACTCATAAATGTGATTCCCTGAAATTTAAGTGACCCAGGCACTTTTTTGACATGACCCTAACCCAACTATGGCTTGAAATGTTTTTTTAGGTTAATATCAGGCTGTACAAAAGGCCCTACATATGGTTTTTGTTTGACTCACCCAATTCCGCGGATCTGCAGCTGAGGCTGAGTCCCAGAATCCTTTGTTTTAACGGTCTGATAAGAGACAATGGTGGCGGTGGTGCTTCCAGAGCCCATGTCATAGAACATCACATTCTGCAGGAAACCAAATATATGCATTAGTCTAAAAGTTAGGACTGTTACGACAAACTGATTAATCACAACTAACAGGTTTTTCAATATTCAACAACTATCTAGATCTGGAGACTCTTATTATTATCATCATTTCATTTTTTTCTGCCCCTTTATTAATCCATTTCTGGTTCGGGGCGGGTGGCAATGAGAGCTACCACCCAAGTCTCATAGCACCAGTCCCTTCCTCTGCAGGTGGTGGGTCCACAGGAAGAGGGCTTATTGACGCAGCCTTGGTCTTTCAGTGGGGGCTTCAGGCAATGTAGGGTTAAGTGTCTTGCCCAAGGACACAACGACAGCAGACATTAGTGGGAGCAGTTGGAGTAGGTCCCTTGGTGGGCTCAAACCCACGACCTTCAGGCTCAAAAGCCAATTCTCTACCCATAATCATTATCTATTTAAAAACTGGTTCATTGCAGCCTAACTTAAAGTCAGAGCTTTAAAATACCGGTTACCTGCGCAGTGCTGTCGATGTCCTTCCTCCTGAAGACTCCGTAGTTCAGAGCCACCGCCGTGTTGTCGTTGATGAGCTGAAGGACCTTGAGACCTGCCATCTGTGCCGCCTGCAGCACTGCCCTGCGCTCAGCCTGGTTGAAGAAGGCCGGCACGGTGATCACTACGTCTTTGATGGGTTGCTCTGGAAAATGAGAGGAAATTCTAATCAGCGCCGACATTTCAAATTCATCTGGTCACCAACGTTCTTACAGACCGGCGAAGTCTTGAGCTAAAACACGTGAGTAATTGAGCTTCATCCCCAGCAATTCTTCTGGCGAATATTGCATTTCTCTGGAGACAAAAATGCATTAAAGAAAATCTATTCTAAAAACAGAAACCATGAATTAAATCTTACTCTGAAAATTTAAAGTAAACTGTGCCGCGACGTGAATCTTCAAGCAGCTGATGCTCAGGGAACCGCTTCTGGTAAAGCGCCACCTGTGGGTTGCTAATCTTTTTCCCCAGCAGTGGTTGAAGGTATCTATAGACAGTTTTGGGATTTTTAACCAACTGAAAAACAAGAAAAGAAAAATCAGAATCAAAGACATTTACATCTCTAATACAAGAAGTAGTCTCACCATTCCTAATGCACTGTCACCAAACAGTCTCTCATTTTCCTTTAGGCACACGACACCTGGGGTTTTCCTCCTCGACTCTCTGAGGGAAACAAACATCAGCATTAGGACAGCCACAAATTAAATCACTAGTTTTTGAAAGATCAGTGAATGGGGGATTTTTTTTTTTCAATTAATTGGTCAAAAAAAAAAGCCTAAAGATGCAGTCAGTGATTTTTTCCAGACGCATTTTTTTAAAATAATGTGGGAAAACATCCCTAAACCCTAAAAGTAGTCAAGTTATAAAGTTTTTTTTTTTTTTTGACGGGACCGATAAAAATAAACCAATGGGATTCGTTCATCCCTTCACCCTTTTCCTGTTTCTCACGAGTGCACCTGAGTTATCGGATTATTTTCTAAAACCTAAAAGGGATGAACAGAAAATGCCACGTTTGCCGCCCACTCTCCCTGTTGAGACAAAGAAAAGAAAATGCTATGTATGTATGGAACTGCAAAGGGTTGATTTGCCCTCGTCTTTGCCAAACCACACGGTGTAGAAATCGGACACTATCGCGCAATTGAGCTCCCTGTAGGTACTGGTTGTCAAGCGGTATTTGGCCCTTTCCACAAGTTTCCATTTTATTCAACAATTACAGCTGTTTGAATTATAAACCTCTTTATGTTTGGCACATGCACCATGAGAGTCTAAACTCCTCCAATAACAGGGAACAACTTCATTGTTTCAGCTTAATGTGTGCAGTAGTTTTCATTACACCTGCTACAGACAAACAGTCTGTGCCAACGACAGCACAGAAAGCTTTTGACAAACCTGTGAGGAACTTTAAGTGCAAGGCATCTAATAGTTCCAATAAACTTATGAATTGTTAAAGACCAAACATGTTATTTCTTCATGAGTAAAACTTGTATAACCAAGGTCTGTTTGAAAGACAGCACTCCTGAATTCAATGAACACAATACATGCACACTTACTTGTTCAGGACAATCTCCATTGGCACACCAGGTTTAACTATTGCAATTTTCATCCATTCACTGCCGAGGTCGACGGACATCACAGCCACAGAACCTACAAGATCAAAGGGAAAAGTATGAGACAAATAGGTCTTTGTTAACAAAGATTGTTTCTTGTATAGAAGAATTAAGAAGTAGTTACCGGTGTCATGAGGCAACAGTGCCAAACAAAGGCAGAAGAGGGATAGGACTGGCAGCTTCTTCGCCACCATGATGAACTAGAAGATAATACTCATTAGACAATAATAATAATTAAAACATTGCACAAATTTAAAATCTCAATTACACTCCAGACTTGACCACAAAACAATAAATAAGCTCTATTTAACTAACTGTGTTAAGTGTTTACATTCCTTACATCCATAATTCTCCACCTATTGTCTGTATTAACTACAAAGATAGCCCAGTACTAGGCACAGAGGAGGTAGACAGACATGAAAATCTATCCCTGATCATTTGTATCCACCCACAAAAGGCTAAACAAACACGTGGCTTTGATACCAGTTCAGAAGGCTGATTATTATGAATGAATGAAACAAATGCATGTAAAAGCATTCATGTTCAGGTTTTATTGACAACAAATTATGTGATTATGTCTCATTTTAGGCTGACAATGACATAGATTTATGCAGTTATAATAAATGTTTTCAATAACTTAATGACAGGAATAGAAACATGGCTAGTTTTATAGTAGCAACGTTGCTGGGGGGGGCATGTATTTTAATACTTTTCATATGCTAATTTTGCACTGCACATACAGGCATTCCTAAAAATATAAATATTTGTCAAAACTAATTTAAAATGAGACTCCATAAGTCATTGGAGAGGATAAATGGGCAGCAAACATTGACAGCTTGCTAACTCCCACACATGACATCCTGCACTGGTCTGGACTGGTCTGGACTTACCTCTGTGCTAATCCCGACTCAACAAGCTCCGGCTCCTTCTCAGATGTTTATAATGACTGGGTGGCCTTGTCGCGGTCTCTCGGTTTCTAAAAGGCCACACTTGATAGTTTTTAGTTCCCTTTCTCACCGGCTTTCTGCTCTGTGTCGGGCCCCGAACGCGGCGTCAGCTCATTGGACCCACTCACGTCTCTTCTCCTGATGCGGAGGAAAGCTAGTCGTGCTAACAGAAGTCGTTTCCGGTTTGCTTGTGGTCGTAAAGTCAGTTCACTTCAGCAAAACTTCATACAATTACAATATAGGAATTTCAGATTTGATATAAATGCAATCCAATTTAGATATTGTATTGTTTTGTTACCCTCACATGTTAATTTGACCCGTTTTTGCCGCTAACCGACCAGTCATATTTTTATTGTGAAATGTACTTCCGTTGCATGTGCGTCATCTCTCACGCAAACTCGACGTTTCTTGTGAAAAACTTCAACGGTGCTAAGGCCCGCCTCCCGCTCCACGCACTGCCCTGTGATTGGTCCACGTGACGTGCCAGACTTCAGTAAGTGTCTTCTGGCCGCAGATCATTGGTCCACGTCCAGAAGGGGCGATGCCCACCTCCAGGTGAGAAGTGCAACACAACAGCCTCCATTTAATCCTTACACAATTAATGAGGCTAATTTCTGTGAAGTAGTTTCCGTTATTTTAGTTTAAATATAACTTATTCACAATCGCAACTACATTTAGTCGTAGCAATTCATTTGTTTCAAAATTGTGTATAAAAGACAACAAATATGAACCCTAGACTGTATGTAAATGGGACAATGCACCAGGCACAATGAAGCCCAGCAGACGAAGTTTTCTCTAACCTTAACCCTAAACTCCTAGCTCAGTAACCGTCATTTCATACTCACCATTTTTGGATTAATCCTAATATACAGAACAGAGCTCACTCACACAACATGATGCAAAGACACAATCATGACTAAATGTAACAAAGGGTAATCAACTAATTGTACCATCATAAATTAAAAATACAGTGAAGAAACAATTCATAATGTTGCTGTAAGATTATAACATCAAAGCAGGAGAAATGACTGAGAACTACTTAAAGACTGCATTTTTACCATTCCATTTATTTAAGTTATTCCATTCACAATGTTGCAAAAAGCAACATAATAGTAAAAAAAAAAAAGGCCTCCAACTCAAACACATACTGTAAGCTTATTTTACAAATAAGACTCCCAAGATCACACTGATGTAGAACTTATGCAAATGAATACTTGTCACATGTCTGTGATAAGAACACAAACATGGGTCAAGTTGGTCAGCTCAGGTTACAACAGTGCACTTCAAAATAATGACACGGATGTTTTCTAGTTGTTCCTCTTGGTGTGGATCAGAAGGTCTCTCTGTAGGTTCACTTCCAGACTGCCCACACCCTTACTGCCCGGTGGGTCGGTCACCAGAGTGAGCTTGTTGAAGACGCCTCGAGCAAAGTAGTCGGCCACCACAGAGAAGCCATCATTGGACGCTCGCAACTAGCAAAGAGGAAAGACGTGGTTCATGTTAGTGAGGTAAAAACTGAAGCAGATAAAGTGCACAAAGAATGAGGCTATGACTGCAGGCTGTTTCCTTTCTAATATGATACAAACCACACAGACGGGAAACCCTGAAATTATTGCTCTATTTTAGTTTTTCACATTTCCTGAATTTCTTGCTGTGTTTCAGAGGCAACAAATACAGTAACAATCAATCAGACAGATGGTTAAAATACATTACAACTTGGTAATTCTTAAAGCTGGGGCATCTATCTTTTAATTCACAAAAAATATAACTATCAAGTGCCAACCGCCAAGTGTTTATGTAGCCAGAATAGTTTTAATGGTATAACTATTTTGACTGTTTGATCAGTTTGTCTTGTTGAGAATAATAGTTTTTTTTTTTGCCCTTTGATTTGCAATGACATGGAATGCTTTCAGATTGACAGTGCATCTCACCTGATTATTAAAGTGGTCGTGCAGGTCTCGTTTCTGGTCTTGGGCACGCAGCATGTCCATGACTTTGCGATTTTCCGGAGTGCAAGTGGGACATTCTGCCTCGCTCTCTGCGTAGCTTTCGAAACAGTGCTGATGGAAAGAATGGCTGCACAGGAAGTGGACAGAGGGAAGCTCCAAGGGGCTGTTGCACATGTTGCACTTTGTCTTCTGAAATATCTTGGCACTGTGTAGAAATGAAAACAAGATTTGAGATTACTCGTATTCATTTTGACCAGAAATATTTATATTATATTGTTTTAACAGATTTTTTTTTCTGATATTTACTCCAAGTAAAACATTCCGTACTATTAGGTGTGACAATATATCGATATTACCGGCTTATTGACAGAGCACGAGGTCTGTATGGAGAAATATCAGACCGCTGCCTTAATGTGCAAAAAGGCCAAGGTCTGATATTTCTCTGTACAGACCGAGCAAGCGAGGTTAAATGTTTTATTATATGACTCTCTTCTGTGTCTTTACCAACGCTTTTGAGATATTTATGAAGTATGTTCATGTCCGACTTGGTTTGTGTGATATGTGCTGCGGACAGATTGTCATGGTAACGGTCCGAGGAAAGATATCAAATGTGATACGCGCTGTTCGGACCAATTGTCATGGTAACGGTCCGAGATGGGAAAATATCAGACCGGTAATCAGCCAATCAGAGCGCGCGTACGGTCCATGTCTTATAATAAGGTGATGTATCGTGATACTTTCTCACACATTATCGATATGCTTTTGCTAAGAATCAATTAAAAAAATAAAGCTTTAATTAAATACTTAATCTATGGCTACATTATGCATTTTAACAATTTCTGTAGAATTTTCATATTGATTTTATTGGATGTAAAATAGATTAAGTGAGATTTTTACTAAAATGTGCAGGTTAAAAGGTATTTTCTTCTTGTTCAATTTAATGTTACACATGACACTTTATCCTTTTATCTTGAAATAAAGTTTATTTTTTCATTTAATTTATGCCATAATATAAAGAAATATTATCGTAGGTATATTTTTGACCAATATATTGATAATTGCTGCATCGTCATATTGTGAGATAATAGTTATCGTGAGCTTTGTATCGCACATCGTATCGTGAGGTTCCCACCCCTAACTAATATAATATACTTTATCAAATTCAATCCAATAGTTGTATTGGAATGTAGTATAGTGACACTTCTGCTGGAGGATGTCCCAAGGCATTGTTGCCATAGTTACATTTACAGAAATATTGACTAATATTCATCCATCCATCCATTCATTTTCTTCCCTTTAATCCATTTCTGGGTCAGGGGGGTGGCAATCAGAGATGCCACCCAAGTCTCATAGCACCAGCCCCTCACTGACCCTCTGCAGGTGGTGAGTCCACAGGAGGACGGCTGCTCTCTGAGTGAGAGCATAGCCTTGATCTTTCAGTGGGGGCTTTGGGCAAAGTGGGGTTAAGTGTCTTGCCCAAGGACATAACGACAGCAGTCATCAGTGGGAGTCGGTGGAGAAGGTGCAGAGGTGGGAATTGAACCCACGACCTTCTGGCCTTAAGGCCAATGCTCTACCAACTGAGCTACATGCATTCATTCAATATTGAAAATATTAACTATTGCCACTATTTTGACATTTAACATCAATAAAGTGATGTATTGATCCACTGGATTTAATTATGAACAGTATTTGAATAGCTGATTTACAAAAACAAATATTTGTGGTTTATAAGTAGTTTTTTGAAAAGCAGTTTCACCCCTTCTTGAGAGGTTCACCAAAAACCTCTTAATAGATTTCAGCCAGAGTAATATAACTTTTTGAATGGAGATTGTTTTTGCAAAAGAGCTCTTCCGTTTGGCTGAGATGACTTCAGCTGTGCAGAGAAAGCCTTTCCCCCACCTCGTCTTCAGCTCTTCTATCTCTGCACGCAGGTGGGCGGTCTCCTCGCGGTACTGCTGGATCTTGCGCTCGTCGTTCTCGATCTGCTGGCTTTCCCTTTGGAGTTTGGTGATGAGATAATCCTTAATGACCGACAGTGTGGCAGTGGAGTTGTGCGCCAGCGTCTGTACCACTGCAACCACACAAAACACACATCCGCAGCTCACCACACACTGCATTTTCGAGGACACAGACTGTAGAGGAAGAGGACCTGAGCTCACCCAGTAACGGAGGCATGAGGTTCTTCTGGTCTATGTGCTGGAGGACTTCACTGATGTAGGTTTTACAGTCTTCTTCTTTTCGGGCAAAGTATCCCAGAGCCTGCTCCCACAGACAGCAGTCCTGGTCCCCAAAGCGCTTACAAGCCTCCACCACCTTCCCGTACTCCTCGTTCTGCATGTGGTAGTGCATGATCTGCTGATACCTGTGTCAGAATATATCCATCGTGAATACATGCATTAAAGTTACAGTGCCTCACTTGTGTTAAGTTAATGCATGTTTGTAACCAATAGAAACATTTCGTGAACAAATCAGTCCACAAAATGCAGTCTTTATCTGTTGCGTACTGAGAGCTGATTGGCTGAGGGAGGGTGGTCCTTTCTCACAGCAGAAATGTTGTGAACGCCATGCACAGCTTTAGAGATGTGCCAGAGGCCAAAAATACATGCATGTGAAAGTAAGTGTTGGAACCAAACTAGCGAGGAACTCATTAGATTAATTCTATTACATGGTTATTTTTTGTGGTGGCTTCAAAATTGGGTCTACCAGCTTGTTTTGTATTGAAAAAACTTGTATGATATCACATCTCTTGTATTTATTTCTTTGTTTTAGTTGTTCTCCATCTCTCCACCTTTTCCCCGTTTTACATTAAGTTTGTTGTATTTTATTTCTGTTATTCTGAAGACTTTTTTTCTCTCGCATTTATAGATAGACAGATACTTTGTTGATCCCTGTAGGAGAAATTCAGGTGTCAAGTAGCAGCAAAAAATAAAAGATGAAATTGATCATTCTAAAAAGTTAAAAATAGAAATAATCAGCAACTTCAGGTCTCAGCAGCAGAGATGGAGTAGTCTCTGGGTGGAGCAGGACGGGTCACAGCAGCAGAGGTGGAGTAGCCTCTGGGTGGAGCAGGACGGGTCACAGCAGCAGAGGTGGAGTAGCCTCTGGGTGGAGCAGGACGGGTCACAGCAGCAGAGATGGAGTAGCCTCTGGGTGGAGCAGGACGGGTCACAGCAGCAGAGGTGGAGTAGCCTCTGGGTGGAGCAGGACGGGTCACAGCAGCAGAGATGGAGTAGTCTCTGGGTGGAGCAGGACGGGTCACAGCAGCAGAGGTGGAGTAGCCTCTGGGTGGAGTAGGACGGGTCACAGCAGCAGAGGTGGAGTAGCCTCTGGGTGGAGCAGGACAGGTCACAAGGTGGAGTAGCCGCTTGGTTCGGACCATTTTCTCGGCTCTAGTCCAAAGTAAAATGCTAAATGCTTCATTAGCATTTTTCCAAAAGTTAGCATTCCTCCAGTGGATTTTCAGCTGATCCACTTGGTTCAGACCATGAATCCTCTCTGCTCTGGTCTGGACCAGTGCAAAACCATGAACACTGGACTGCAGCAACATCTCAGGCAGAAAAAAGCAACAAAAAGTTAAATTTAAAAGCACAAAAAAACAACCGTTTCAGAGCTACTTAGTATCTGCAGCAGTTTCCAGCGCATTCAAAAGTAAACAGATGTTAATTTATTTAGTATCTTGTTTTAATTAGTATCTAGTTTATAGTTTTAGAATTGACTAATATCTGAACTTTGGAAATTTTGGCAGCTCTGTCCTTGGTCATAGTTCTTTCTAATGAATTGAATTTCTAAATTAACGTGGATTACTTCTGTTTTTGATGTTGGTTAAAAACTCAAATGATCCGTCCATACATAAGATTTGTATTTAATGGTTTATGAGACAATTTTATCTTATGATAAATCTAAAAATAAAACTACATTTAAACAGTGAGTTGTAACTAGTCAGCTCTCATTTGGCCTCTGTCACACCTTTTAGATCAGCTTTTTCCAGACAGAAAAGTGGAAAAAGAAGACCACCCAGACTCAGCCAATCAGCTCTCAGCCCAAAGCATCAAATAGTGACTCACAGGGCTCGGTATTACATAATAAGTACAGACCAGAGTCACAAAGCTGTTCACAATTGTTATTTTTTGAGCATTTGTCTCTCGCTCCACACAGAGATGGGAGCGGGGCCAGTACAGGAGGCACATGCATAGATAGACCTATTGTACATGTTTTTAGTGGTAGGGGAAACCGGAGCACCCGGAGGAAACCTACGCACACAAGGGGAAAACATGCAAACTCCACTCAGAAAGGCCCTGGTCCGACCGGGATTCGGACCCAGAACCTTCTTGCTGAGAGGCGAAAGAGCTATCCATTCAGTCACCGTATCGCCCGAGAAAACATGTTATGGTTCCCTTTTACTTGAACACTCTTTCTATTGGATAAACATCATTCATGACACACAAAGATAAAGGTACCGCAGCTTTTAAAAGTCATAGAATGAATTATGAATATATTAGGATAAAGTAAATGGACTCACAGTTTGCCCTTTTCATAAAGATAGAGCACGCCTTCCTTAAAGTTGTGCATCTGACACAGAACCAGAGCCTTGTCGAACACGGTGTGGTCGCTCCTCAGCAGGGACAAGGCCTCCCCCTGCAGGACCTTCTTCCTCTGAAACAACACATATCCTCTTATAAAACCTCTTTTGACTTGGTTTTGGTTGTAAATATTCCCCGTTGGACTGTAACCCGGACCTCAGGGTCTCGCTCGTGGGCCCAGTCCTGTAGCCGCAGCTCCAGTAAAGTGTCGTAAACGCCTTGAGACAAACGCGGCTCCACTTCCATCATGTGCTCCAGGAAGGCCTTCAGTTCTCGGGGGTTGTTGGCAAAGATGGGAATGAACTCTTCGGAATTGGCCTGAAAATGGTTTAGAGGTAAAACATAATATAATATTTACAGGAGCCACATTGTAAAAGAAAATTGGTCAATCACTATTATGTAAGTAAGTAAGTAAGTAATCTTTATTTATATACCGCCTTTTCACTGCAGATCTGAGTCTCAAAGCGGTTTACAATTGTTAATTTGGGCATTTGTCTCTCACTCCACACAGAGATGGGAGCGGGGCCAGTACAGGAGGCGCATGCCAGAACTATTGTACATATTTTTAGTGGTAGGGGAAACCGGAGCACCCGGAGGAAACCTACGCAGACACGGGGAGAACATACAAACTCCACTCAGAAATTTATGTTTAACTTTTTAAAATATTAGCTAATAGACCACATCTTGAACACTGAACGCAAAACATAATTAATTAGTAATAATTCATAAAAAATGGCTGTCATTAAAATGTACACACAAAAATTCAAAACCTATATTAAAAAAAAGTAAGCTTTTTACATAATGCAGAATATGGAAAAATGTATAATTTAAATTGTCCTCTCTTCTTGAAAATAAAATCTGTCCCATCAATATAAAAATATGTTATGAAAACACTTGGGGTAGGGGGCTAATGCGCTAGTAGGACATTTTGTCCTACTAGCGCATGTTTTTTTGGAGCCATTGAAATCGGCCAGTGACATTTTGAAAAAAAATCCAACATCAGCATCTACCTCAGAAAACTGGTCGATCTCTAATCTAATCCACTTAATTTATACAGCACATTTAAACAAGACTTTTATAAATTGCTGCACAGAGACCACAAAAAAATATTCCTTCATTTTCAAAAGCAGTACAAATTAGCTCTACCAGTAAAGGAGAAGAACTCAATAGAAATAACAACACAAGAGATATTATAGAAAACATATTCAAATAGTTAAAAGTACTTCTCAATAAGAATATCTCTCAAACTTGAAATGATCAAGATGGCGCCTCGTACGGTCGACATGGCTCTTTGCTGCTCTCTTTTTCTTTTGTTTTTACTTTTTAACTGTGCATCTGGCTGTTCCTACACCCGTGAGGAACTTATGAACATCCGACCCACCGTTCCCATGGACCTATTGCCTGTTTTCTTGGCATCTGCGGCTGATTTAGTTCATGTTCTAGCCAAAAAAGTGTGGGCCCGTAAAAGGGGAAAGCGCGGAGGCCTGCTCGTGCGTCTCAGGAGGAGAGGAGCGCGCACGGCTCTCCCCGGCATTTTTCTCTCCAACGTACGCTCACTGGGCAATAAGATGGACGAACTCAGCCTGCTCATGAGAAGAAACAAGGACTTCGCCACATCCTGTGTCCTCTGCTTCACTGAGACCTGGCTAAATGAGCGGATCCCGGACTGCGCTCTGGAGCTGCAGGGCTTTGGGCTGTTTCGCGCGGATCGCCATTGTGCGCTCTCAGGGAAGAGCAGAGGCGGTGGGCTGTGTTTCTACGTCAATACAAACTGGTGTAACGATGTGACAGTGATCTCCAAGCACTGCTCTCCTGCTCTGGAATATCTTTTCATTCATTGTAAACCATATTACTCCCCGCGGGAAATTGTTTCATTCATTCTTGCCTCTGTTTACATACCGCCATGCGCGGACGCGCGCGAGGCTCAGCGCGCACTCGCAGAGCAAGTACTGTGTATGGAACGCTTATACCCGGACTCTCTGATTATTATCCTGGGGGATTTTAATAAGGGAAACTTGAGCCAGGAATTACCCAAATACAGACAGTTTATCAAATGCCCGACCAGAGAGGAGAACACTCTGGATCACTGTTACACCACCGTGCGCGGAGCTTTTCGCGCTGTTCCCAAGCCAGCCCTCGGCTTCTCAGATCACTCCATGATACATCTGGTTCCTGCTTACAGACAGAGACTAAAGCTCTCGAAACCTGCAGTGAGGAGCTCCAAAGTGTGGTCTGATGAAGCTGTGGAAGAGCTGCGCGCATGCATGGAATCTACAGACTGGGACCTTTTCAGAGCTGCCACAGACAGCTTGGATGAATATACGGACACTGTGACGTCATACATCCACTTCTGTGAGGATAGCATCATTCCAACAAGGACCAGGGTCATCTATAACAACGACAAACCCTGGTTCACTGCTAAACTCCGGCAGCTCAGGAAAGCAAAGGAGTCTGCTTTCAGGGAGGGGGACCGCAGCGGCTACAAAGCAGCTAAATATCAGTTCAGGAAAGAACTGAAAGCAGCCAAGTCCCGGCACAGAGAACGACTACAGGAGCAGTTTGGTAACAACGATACTGCTTCTGTCTGGAGGGGCCTACGGGAGATCACCAACTACAAACCCAAAGCCCCCCCCCCCTGTGCTGATGACCACAAGCTAGCTGACGATCTGAACTTATTTTTCAGTCGCTTTGATGCTGCCCCTGACACCTCTCCCTCCCCCACCCCCCACTACTCTAACGACCCACCCATCAGCCCTGCCCCCAGCCTAACAATAGCCGCTAAAGAGATTAAACAACTCTTCCTGAGGCTGCACCCCCGCAAAGCTCCTGGCCCGGACCACGTGTCTCCGGCCACTCTGAGACACTGCGCCAGTGAGCTTACTCCTGTGTTCACGGACATTTTCAACACCTCTCTGCAGTCCTGCCATGTCCCGGCCTGCTTCAAATCCTCCATCATTGTCCCCGTCCCGAAGAAGCCCAGGATCACAGGACTCAATGACTACAGACCTGTAGCACTTACGTCTGTCGTCATGAAGTCATTTGAACGCCTGGTTCTCTCCCATCTCAAGTCCCTCACCTCCCCCCTCCTGGACCCCCTGCAGTTCGCCTACAGAGCCAACAGATCTGTAGACGACGCCATTAACCTGGCCCTCCACCACATCCTACAGCACCTGGACTCCCCGGGGACCTACGCCAGGGTCCTGTTCGTGGACTTCAGCTCTGCCTTCAACACAATCCTGCCATCCCTGCTCCAGGACAAGCTCTCCCAGCTCAACGTGCCCGATTCCACCTGCAGGTGGATCACTGACTTCCTGACGGACAGGAAGCAGCGAGTGCGTCTGGGGAAGAATGTCTCGGACTCTCGGATTATAAATACAGGAGCCCCACAGGGCAGTGTTCTTTCTCCCCTGCTCTTCTCCCTGTACACCAACCACTGCACCTCCAGCCACGACTCCGTGAAGCTGATCAAGTTCGCGGACGACACCACCCTCATTGGACTCATCTCCAACAACGATGAGTCCGCCTACAGGAGGGAGGTGGACCGGCTGGTGTCCTGGTGCAGTGGTAACAACCTGGAGCTGAACGCCCAGAAGACAGTGGAGATGATTGTGGACTTCAGGAAGAGCACTGTCCCCCCGCCCCCACCCTCCGTGATGGACTCCCCCATCACCTCTGTGGAGTCCTTCCGTTTCCTGGGCACCACCATCACCCAGGACCTCAAGTGGGAGCCGACCATCAGCTCCCTCATCAAGAAGGCCCAGCAGAGGATGTACTTCCTGCGGCAGCTCAGGAAAGCCAAGCTGCCTGCACAGATGTTGGTGCAGTTCTACACGGCCATCATCGAGTCCATCCTCACCTCCTCCATCACCGTGTGGTTCGCTGGAGCCACAGTCAGGGACAAACAGAGACTACAGCGCATTGTGCGCTCTGCAGAGGAAGTGATCGGCCGCAGCCTTCCATCGCTGCAGGACCTGTACGTCGCCCGAGCTCGAGGCCGGGCTGGTCGTATCACAGCCGACCCCTCTCACCCTGCACATGGACTATTCCAACCACTCCCCTCAGGCAGGAGGCTGCGGTCCATCAGGACTAGAACCTCCCGCCACAAGAACAGTTTCTTCCCCTCTGCTGTTGGACTCTTGAACACTTCTTAACCTGTCCCCCCGCCCTTTATAAAGTCACTTTACTGCCCATCATACGTCACTTTACTTCACTGTACTGCTGTCACCTTACATTGTGTGCACCATGTGCACTTGTATATTGTAAATAGTAACTGTAACTCTATTTTAAATTTAAATTTATTCTTTAGAAGTGTTTTTTATTCTTATTTTTATTATCTCTTTTTGACTGTTGCACTGAGCCAAAGCAATTTCCAAGTCTGTGACCTCCCGTTACTTACGTTGGCAATAAAAATGATTCTGATTCTGATCTGATTCTGAAACAGAATATTAAATAATAAACTTAAGCTTACATGGTTGCGGGAGCAGAGCAGACTCCGCCCATTTCCTCAAATCTTCAGTCCCAATACCCACACTGCGCCCTACACTCCTCTACGAAGTGTGCATTTGTTTGAAGTGCACGGAAGGGTTTGAGTGGCAGGTTACAAGCAAAAAAGCGGAATTGGGGCAGTGCAGGTTACGTCATCGACTCGTCAAGAGATGGTCATTTTCAGGCCATAACTTAATAAAAATTAAAAGGTCATTTTCAGATTCAGATTCAGTTTGCCATTTGCAGTAAAAAAAAAAAAACACAAGACCAAAATAAATGTGTATTGGTTATTCGTAATTTGAGATAGCTGTATAATTTTAAGTTAAATGTGGGTAACTAACTGTTATCTGGTCAGTTTTTATACATCCTAAGTTTATTGTACTAAGTGTAAAGTTTAAATGAAATGTTATATGAAAGCTTGCATTAAAAAAAGTTATGAAATTGTTACCATAGAATGTCCGTAATTCTTTTTCAGACATTTCTGCTTCTTTCCAAGTAACAGCAAAACTTACTGTATTTACACACATACATGTATATATTTCAAATCTTTAGAGTTAAATGCATTTTCCCGACGTTTTGGTGTGTACCGCAAAGAATTATGGGCAATATCCTTCGCCAGAGTCCGCTTAGATGCAGGCTACGGCAAAGTGTGGATCAGGGAGGCAAAGGGGGCGGGGCCAAAGACCTCCCTGGAGAATTGGGACACCCTACGCACTCGCACCCATGGGGAACGCGCAAATGAGGGGCGCGAGGGTGGAAGTGCGAGTATTGAGACAGGGCCCAAGCTTACTTGAGGAAATGGGCGGAGTCTGCTCTGCTCCTGCTGGGTCTGATAGAAAACTTGCAGCCACAGCGGCCCTTTCTAGACCGGTTTGGACACCCCTGCACTAACCTTATTACTGCGGCCTCTGCTCAGGCTGCTGGTGTCCGTGGCGTCTCCGCTCGGCTGGTAGTTGGTGCACAGACCTTTCAGGAGCTGTGTGGAGCCTTCGGGGACGTGGTGCATCAGGGTCTTGCCGTAGCGCTTCATGTTGCTCTCCGCTTGGTCAAAAGGCAGACGGCCGATGTAACGCAGTCCTTCTTGGTAATTCTGAGCACACGGGGAGAAAACGCATTTTACTGCCGGTTCGATAAGCGCCAGCATCTGTTGTGCTTTGATAGTTTTACGCACCCAGCCAACGGTTATATTTGAGTTTATGAATGGTGACGAGGGACATTTGTAAAGAAAGAAGGTACAATACATTGACAAAACAGGTTGATGATTAAGAAAAGGATAAAAAGGCAATATGCGGCATTGAGAACGGGGGGATGGAAACTTAGAATCAGGGTCATTTACCATTGTTGATATTTGCTGTCCCGATGTACCATATTGGAATTTATTGTCTTTTCCCATTGTTGGTATCTCCCTCATGACGTTGTTTTGCATCCGTGTAAAATGTATCTTGTCTGTATATGTCCTTAAACCCATTAATTGTTACTTTAAAACCTAAACAGTGGATTTAAAAGCGCCATTCACTTTGTTTTTGTTCTGGAGCAAATAGGAAGCTCTATGAGTTTTATGTTTTTGTTTTTAGAAACCACTGGTGCAAGTGTTTCTTTTGTGTATATAATATTTATAATTTCATATTGTGTAAATGTAACTCAGGGTTATTTATACACAATTTTGATATTGTACTTTTGTTTCTTGTACACTTATTTGCTCAGAATAAACAAACATGATGATTTGTCATTAGCTCATATCCTCACGCTGCTAACATGTCCAGTAGTTTCATTTTTGTGAATATTAAACCTCAGACTTAATATGTTTGCCTTAATATTCTTGTAACAGAGTGGGGAAAAAAAAAGTATCTTCAGATGTTTATACAGTATGCAAGTATATATTTCTTCGCCCCAGTGTATACAGATTTATACATTGCTCCTTTATTAAGATAGAGATTTTATTCTATTCCTAAAGAGCATAAAGGTTTTGCTATACTTAATTGATTTTGTGTGTGTAACTTGTGATACAACACTGACATTTCCCCACTGTAGGACAAATAAAGGTTCATCTTAAACTTAACTCATTGACTGCCATTGACGTATTTGCCTGAGACTGGTCATTTCTGTCAAACTTCCCTCTATTCGACGGAGGATTACAGGAGAACAAAACTAGCTAAAAACAAACTTATTTTTGCTGATGAAAGAAGACAATCCAGTCGTTCAGAATCTGTTTTCATATTTCACATAGTCATAGCACATAATATTCTGTGGGTCTTAAGAATCAGTGAAATCACCAAAAACGGTCAATGAGTTAATTATAATAAAAAAAACTTTGAAAAAACTTTGCCTGGGTGTGTAAACTTTTAAACCCAGCTGTGTATTGTGCAGTACCTTCAGGTCTTCCAGCTGGATTTTCAGATACCATTCGTGATGGTTGTGTTTCTCTGCCAGAAACACGGCGTGGCTGTGGTAACTGGCTTGGCGTAGAACCTTGATGGCGATCTCGACATCAAAGTGGACCTCGCTCTCGCTGGTCTGTCAGGGGATCAAGTAACTAGTCCGTCATTGCATTAATTTCAAGTTATACGAATAATCGCTTACCTTGATGAATTCCTCGAGTTTGGAGCTGTCCTTCAGTTTTGTGTAGCAGTTGAGCAGCAGAGTGGTGTGGTCAGCATTGGCCAGAGACTGTCTGTGCAGCGCCTGTAGATACGCCGTTAAATTGTGTATTCTCTGTGCGTCTAAGAACTTTCTGATCACGTAGGAGGGCTCCAATTTCCCGATGGTACTAGAGAAACAATGAAGACAAAGGGGCTGTGAGAAGTGACTTTAGTGGGAGGTCTTCAGTCTACTTCCGCTTACCGAATGTACTGCTGAATTGCCCCGTCGTGGTCGCCCTTCAGGTACAGATGATCTCCATATTGTCTGAAAATCTCTGATAAACCATCGCTATCCAGGTGCTGGCTTTTTGCAAGGTTTATAGCCATTACAAACAGATTTTTCTTAAACAGCATCTAGAGGAGAATTAAATACAAAAAGATATGTACAGGAAGTTTAAGTTTTTTTGCTGAATGTCCTAAATGTCTCGCTTGCATTCATTCTAAATACAGGGGCTTGTTCTTGTGTCCGGACTGACCTCGAGCTTAGTCTGTGTATCTTTCTCTTGAAGCACAAACATCTTCCCATCTCTGGTCAGAATGTAGAAAGATCCCCACTCAGCTACAACATCGATCACATCATCAAAAGAGGCGCTGTAGGCGATAAACTTGTTGTCCAGGTCATAAACCGTCAGGAGCTGTTTCTCAGAAGGAGAGTTTTCGCCGCTCCCAAACCCTGACCTGCTGAAAGAAAAGCATTACTGGCTTTACACCGCACAAATCAATAGAATAAAGTATTTCCTCACTTGTTGGGGGACTTTGAGTCTCTGATGAGTAGGAACAAATACCCACGATGCCAGTGGGCCAAAAGCTTGTTTCCATCAAAGGCAAAGCAGGGTCCACGCTCGTCTGGCTGGTATAAGTAAACACATTCATCTCCAGCTACGATGAACTGGGAATCCTGGGAGGGGTCTGCCAGTGCGGAACAGCGAAGACCACATCCATGAGTGTCCAGTTCTAGTTTGGGGTATTCTTTAATGGACAGTGTGTAGCTCTGAAACGGATGAGGAAAAATTATACGGTGAAATAAAAGTGTGTGAGTTAATTCTTCAGTCACTTACAAACACTTTCTCCAGAGTGACAACAAAGAGGTGTGTGACTTTAGCCACTTGTCGGAAGGCCAGGCCTGTGACGGGGCTGGCCCCCTCGTGCAGGGTCAGCGTTTTACTGTGGCGGTCCCTGGTGATGTCTCCTTTGGTCAAAACCACACTGCCATCGGTGAAACCTGTTGGCCAAAATCATTAACAGAGGAATATGTCAAATATTATCATTTGATATGACGATAGGCTCAAGTGCTCAATTGATTTGAAAGTGTACAACCCATTTTAGCTAACCCAACACAAAATAACTCATTTGGAACCTCCGCGTTCTTATGGATCAGAACTCACTCCACACTGATAATATAATAAATTCATTCTCCACACACTCAACACGCTACTATTAAAGCACAAGGGTTCATTACATTGTGGCTAAAGGGCAGCCGTATTTGATTTTTATAATTGCAGATTCTCGATTTTATTGTAAAGAAGATGTAAGCTAAGAACATATCTATATTAGACATAAAGTACAGTAACAGTATGCAATTATACACACAATCCAAAATGATTTACCAATAGCCATGAAATTCAGATTCTCATGCACACTGATACAGGACACCTCGGTTGGTTTATTTCCTGGAATTGCAGGAAATATTCTTGTACAGAGTGGATTTCCACTGTCTCTCTTGTCCAAGTTCCACACCTTGACCTGCACACAGAGCTCATTGTTAGATCAGGGTGAATACCATCCTGTAGAGCTGTGAGTGTGACTTACCAGAGGGTTGATGCCCTGCTCGTCCTGCCCCACGGACACAAGGATGCTGTGCTGCTTCAGCTGGAACACGTGTGTGACCCTCAGTTTGTAGGCCTGAAAGGAGGAGAACTGCAGAGAGCGGGACATGAGCCAGATCACCCCGTCCATATGTGACGACATGGGGTTAGGGTCAATAATCATTATGTTCAAGGTGCAGAATGACAGTAACAGCCCTGTTTTATCAGAACACATGTCTTATACATTTCTGTAGTCAGTGACAGTAGAATCTAAAAGGTAAACAGAGAGTGAATATAGAAGTTTCACACGTACAATTAGCTTGTCATTGGTGTAAGCCAGTTTTAGAACTGTTAAGGAACTAGCATAACAGCTAGCATAACAATGATAACATCTAAGCTAGCTGCCTTTAGCCTGAAGGATATCTGCCAGAACAATGTGTCCCCGGCCGGAGTCACAGGCTGTTACCCCGGGGGGCAGCACCAGGCTCTTCCCATTGTCCGCGGGGTCTTTTATTGTGTCTTTGTCAAAAAACACAAATCTCCTCCACTGTAAAAACGCTGCCATTTTATTTACGAGTTGTGACTGTCGAGCTGCTGTCACGTGACTTCATCTCACGTGGCCTCCGTCCTGGTCATAAGTCCTGGTACTTGATGCCGGTGACCAGCAGAGGGCTCACTGATGTATGAATGTTGATTTATTAACTTATATATGACTTACAAACTTATATATGACTTATTAACATATATATAACGATTCAAGTGGTAATAATAATAAACCATGCATTTATTTGTAATGCAGGCCTACACGGGACAGTCTGTATTTTTTGTTTTTCTAAATTACATGTACATATTTCATCTGTCCTTAGGTAACAAGTCAAGAGTGGAGTTATTCTTAGTTAAAAATTACATTTATGTATTAAATTATTATTAATATAAAATCAGAGAGGTTCTCATTTGGTTGCCAGTTTGTAAAATGCAATCTAACTGGTTTTGGTTCCAAAAAAAAAGGTGGTTACATATTTACATATAGGAAACCAGTGCATCCCAAGGAAACCTACACAGACACAAGGAGAATATGCAAACGTTTCTCAGAAGGGCTGAGTCTGGGAGGTGGAATCAAGTCCTGGACCTTCTTGCAGTACCAGCGCCAACAGCTATTCACTGTATATATAAATATATAGAATAAAAACAAACGCAGCATTGCTATTGATTATTAGTTATTTTAATAGGTGTTCAACAAGATATATTTGCGCCAGCAGTTAAGTGTAAAAGAAATAACAGTTGCATCAGCAAACAGTGTTATGACACAATAAGTGTGGGATGGGAAAGGCAAGGTAGGATGGCTAAGGGATCCCTCAGAAAGCAGGGGTTCCAGTAAGGCAAGGCTGCTATAAACAACATACATATCTGCCATTTGTGATTCTCATGAACATAAATACAATTAAGCACAGGTTGTACAAACTCCTAAAGGAAAGCGACTCAATGATCTACATTCCAGTAAAGGGAAGATATTCTTACATGTGTATAAATGGGTGCATATTCTATCAATTCATACTTGTGATTAAACTACATCTATAAAAAGGAACAGTAATAAATAAGCTGATACTCGAGCATTCAAATAAGTATCTAGTCTGACTGCAGGAGTGTCCCTGTTTTAAACTGTAACCTGAACAGATGTCCACTTACTGCAGAAAAAATAACAAAACAAAGCAAACCAGAAGGGTCTATGGACCCAGAACTTAAATAAAATTTCAGTCAAATGGTCACACATTATAGGAAGCCTTTCAAACTTCTCACAACTCCATTGAATTTGCAGTGCCGCAACGATCTCCTCAAGAACTGTCTGTAACGAACTACATATGCACCAAAAGAACAGTTTACCATCATCGCATACATACAGTACAATCAAGACTCAATTAGAAAAATACAGGTACAAAATGATTACATTCAAGAAGACAGTACTAGCACAAAAGGATACAATAGTAATTTAGCTTTTTTATAGATTCATTTCTATAGAAAAATTATGGGATTTGGAAAAATTGTTAAGCTATATGGCTGTTTTGGAGATGTGTGTACTCTTGGAAAAGAATTATGCATGTAGGCATTTATAAGAATGCATATAATGTTCTTATATTGGGTAAAAATTTTATATCTCTTTAAGATTGTGATTTTGGTTTGGGTCATAAGGTGCAAGTATTAAAATAGGCTTTAAGCAGTGGCCTGTCGCATGATTCAGACTGTGGCTTCATACAAACATTTGATACAGGATGAATTGTGCTGAGATCATTACCTGAAGATTAACATACCAAGAAAACCAAGTGCAACCTTTACTTCAATAAATGTGGTTTCTGTTTGAATAAAACTGTCCCTTTTCTTTGGCAAAAGTTAATAATGTAACTTGTAATAAGCAAATATATAATATAGGGAAGACGTGTTCTTTGTCTTGTGAAATTTTACACTGATTTAAACCAGAGGAAGAACAGTTTCTGCTTTCAAAAACTAACTGTATTGTAGCTTTCCGCTTATTCATGAATACAAATATAGCATTTTAAAATATATTGGAGCATAGTGTGGTTCCCTAAATTGAGAATATTTGTTGTTATATCAGATATTTCCTATAGTTTTCCAAAAAAACAGAATGTGACATGATGAATTGCCCACAATGAAGCAGTTTTGTCGATGTTTAAATATATGGGTTATTTTTTCAGAATGAAATGCACACTCACAGGAGTCCATTATGTCGAGGCGGTTTGGTCTCTGAGCCTATTGCTTTGTATGTATTCATTTTCTGAGAGCTTTTTCACAACAGTCACAACTCTTACATACACTTGTACTTGCAAATTCAGCGTAAATAACAAGAATATCATGATGTAATGGACAAAAAGAGAATAAAAACCTAGAGTAATGATCTGTTGTATCCATATGGAAGTCGTGAGTGAGGAGGTGGCACCGTCGCAAAGATGTATGTCGTCTTGAAATCATTATTGTCAACTGCTTTAGGCACTGGTCAAATGTCATTAAAAATACACTTTCAATCAATCGGCTGCTCCTACATCATCAGAAACACAGGTCAAAGTGAATATAGAAATGGAATGATTTGCGAAACAATCTAAAGATGGTGCAAACTCAATGTTTTAAAGTGAGGGTGTGTTCACACTGACGGGTCTGAAGTACCAGTTCAGAACTGGTCACGGATCAGGTTCACAAGTTCACTGTTTGTGGTGACAAAATGAACCAGGATGCATTGTTTTGTGTGACCGCACGTCACAAATGAAATGGACTTAGCGTGAAATTGTGAAACACCCTCACTGTCCCATTCTAAAAGCAAAAAGATTTTCTAATAAAAATGTAATATTAGCAAAGAAAATCTCAAAAGGCCAAAACAGGAAAAGAATTTCAAATGGATTTGATTGGCTTTATCAAGAATTCCAACGGCTCTAGTCGCCGACTCCAGTTAAAAACATTGTGATTCTTCCATGTGCTTAGAATTGTGCAGACACTGACAGGCAGTGTTGGGAAAGGTACTCTGAAATGGTAATATATAAGTTTTTACTGGGTACAGGGACATTTTTGAATGCATTTTTAAATATATTTAAATTACAATATGATTTGTAAAATGTAGCTAGTGTAAGTAGTTACACTACTTTGAGCTACTCTGGGATACTCCAAGTCTACAACACAAACAATACTTCGATAGTGTTCCAATCCAATCCAAGTTTTGTTTCAGAGACCTCTGCTGTTTCAGGACGATGGTGTCCTGCTTTTGTTCAACTATAATAATAGGCATCTTTTTTCTCAGAAAACAAACATGCACTAGGATTAAGAATGCATGTAACTTGAGTTACTTTGATTGTAACTAGTAATACATTACCAATTAGTTACTTCAATAAGGAATATATTCCCAAGACTGGGGACAGGGGACAATACATGTACTATAAAGAAGAGCTCAAACGTTAGCTACAAACGAGTGTGGTGATTACCTAACTTATTAGTCAACCAAACACCTATTAATAAAATAATCACAAGTTATGAACAATCCTTCTAAATGCTACGCAGACTGAAGACCGTCAACAGAACTGCATGTCACTACTGAGGTTTGTCCGGACAAAAGGATGTGATGGCATTCATGGATGAACTGAGGGGCAAAGGGTCTAAGGGATAAGGCTATATTTGAGACTTTTATACAGCTTCCTCATATCAACAACAGCTTTAAGCAAACAGCTCTTACGACTGGCAGGGCAACTACTTAAAGAGTAACTAGACAAGGAGCCTTAGCAAAAGTCAACTTCCGCAAGGATGCAAGGTAAGCACAAGACTTCTTACACATTCAGTCTAAAATTATTATTGTGGCTACTACGAACGTTTTGTAGCCGTAGCATCATTTCCTCTACTTAACCATTATTTTCAACATAATTCATAAAAACCAAAGAGAAAAACTGAGCAAAAAAGTGGTGTGTCAATCATGATTTTTTTTACCCTGGTTTAACTATTTTGGATTGAAGCTGGAGTAGAGGAAGGGTACAAGCTAATAAAAATACAGAGGTATTCTACCAGAAGTGGCTTCTCAGTAGGTGTGTGTGAGGTAAGAAAGTGACAGAAAGCCAAGTCCTCTAAAAACAACCATTTGGAGAAGTAATGCTTATCTACTACAAGACTAGCTTTGTAACTGCAGAACCATACATACAATGATCCCAGAAAACCAACTCCTAAGGAAGTCATGCACTGAGAGGAACAGCCTGCTTCTTCCACAGGCGCTAACAGAGCATCTAAACAGGTGAGAGGAATACAAAAGACATCCCCGCTTACCAAAGAGGGCTTTGGGGAAACACTGAGATAGTGGCGAGCAAGGGAGAAGCAGTGCCATCGCTTACTCGCTTGAGAACCCTCGCTCCAGCTAAATGTCCACAAGAGAAGACATCTTATTCATGTCGACTTGTTGTGTGGCCATTTAGCATACAAAGGGCAACGCTCGACTAGCAGTGTTCGTGTTGTGTGCTCCGCAGAACAACTGCAGCTTCACTGATCCGCACAGGAGATGAGGACTGGAGTCTGAGCAATCTCCTTCTTCTGACTGTCGGGCATGCTCTTCGGGCCTCTGAAAAGGTACGCAGGTATGTTTTGTTCAAATATTGTCACTACAAAATAACAAATAAAATCATACACTGTATATACCATGTCTTACCTATGAGCATTTTCCAAAGCAGCTACCTCAGCGAGGGCTGTTAGGCTGAAGAAAGCGGGCAGATCCTGCGGGGTGGCGCTCCTCTCGACCTCCTCGTCTGTGGGACTGCTGTAGCACCCTTTGTCATTGCATAAATTCAGTAGGGGTAATGGCTTCTTATCCTGTTCCTGGATTGGGTCCCTAAGCATTTCGCCTGCAAAAAATATATTTCTGTTTATACCAGAGTTTCTCAAACATTTTGGGTGAACCCCAAGCAACATGAAATCCATTGTGCAGTTCAATGACAAACAGCCAACTTTAGGAAATAGGAAGATACAAAAATACTGTAGCCCTTTAAGCACAACCAATCAACGCACTTTCAGGAGTGCAACAGGTTTATCGTACTAGAACCCTGTACACTGTACATAACATGTTTTAATGTGGCATGCTCTGATGAGTGGAAAGCAACAGTGCTGGGGTATTGTGGGCTTAGACGTGAAAACAAGTGTTGGTGGAAAGAAGATAAGTGTAAGGCCCCGTCCCAATGCCCGTGCTGTGAGTGCCCTCAACAGAAGAGTGCCCTCCCATAGGTGAGTGCACTCACAGGATATTCTCCCTAAGAAATGGGACACCCCTGGATCTAGGGGACAATATGCAAATCAACCTAGCAAACATGTTCCACATCACACACAACATCGATGTGTCGATAAGATATGACACTGATATGACTTTAAGAAACAAAGTACTTATGAATATGAAGAAAATTAAGCCATAATTAGGTACATCACGCACACAAATAAACACACACACACACGCAGACAGATGGACAAGTACAGCCGCGCATCACAAAGCTCCCGCCAAAGCAATCCAGTCTCTGAACTACATCATGGATCTACAATAATAACATGGATCCATGTCTCTGAAGCCTCAGTGAACGCCACACACACGGCACCAAAACACGCTTTAAATAATCCCCTCTGAATGACTCGCACACGCTGCGAAGCTTCCACACGTTCCGCACAAACTTGCGCCCAGTAGTTTCATGTTGTTTTCTTTCATTGTGGCCCGGCTTTGCCCGACAGCTACTTTACCAACTATCCTAATGCATCATGGGATCTCCCTCGCAAGGGTGGTTTTTAGGGGTGTGAAGGCCTCTTCTCCCTAAGTATTGGGACACCCCTAAGTCAATTTGAATGCACAAATTCACAATGTTTGAGTGGCTGGGTCACATCCTGAGACAGGTATGTTGTCTTTTGGTGTTAACTGCTGAGTAAATGCTGATGTATTTTATGCGCACTGCTGATCTGGACTGACAGGGACTTCTTCCTTTCTGACGTCGATAATAACTATTGGAGGCCTGTGTGTTTAAGACACAAACCTTCGACTGGAGACACACTTCCATCCGCGGTGCGCACCAGGTGTGTGATCTTGGTCTTGCGAGCCTTCCTCTTCTGGCTGCCCACGAGCATGTCCATGCTGGCACAGGTCTGTGCGTCTGGGCACATGACGGCCGACGAGGCACTCGGCTTGGCTTTTGACGTGGAGTCCTGAAGGGTGAGGTCATTCTGAACAATTGCTGAGGAAAACAAAAAGAAAACATTTTAATATTGTATTACTATATTTTCTTCAATCATGTACATCCCAGATCACCTCTTTCCACTGGAAGTGGCTGGTCCTTTTTGAGTTTATGCTTCCTAACAATCTTGTGGAATGATGTCTTTTTCACAGATGAAAATGGTCCTGATATAGCAAAAGAAAATAATATGGAAATGCAATTTTATGACATTCATGCATTTGGTTGAAGCTGCAGACAAGTATGAAAATGTGCCCTTTTCAAATGAGGAAAACAAATAATGATCATGAGTGATGCTCCACCTTTCTCGTCACCTTTTCCAGCTTTTGGGGCCTCATCTTGGGCACAGATGTCAGCCCTTTTCTTCTTTGTAACCGTTGTGCCCTTTTTGTCAAATATAATTGGACTGTACTGAGGCAGGCTGTTGAACTTCTTCTCAAATTCCTCCTCTAGTTTTCCCAGACTGCACAGACATGTTTAAAATATCAATCCAACAGGTGTTTCTATAAGTGAGAAGTTTGTGTTTGTTGACCAGAATACTTACCCGGGGGAAGAGTCATCTTTGGACTTGGACTTCTTCAGCTTTTTGGGGTTATTGGATCCCATGTTTGTGAGTGTCCAGCTGTCTTCCGTCCAGTTTGCATCATTATCAGAAGTACGTAAGGCACCTCTTTTCCCTTTAAACAAACATACATTTATTGATAAGTTACAGCTTGTAAATTTGACCTTCACTGTCCAGTTACCTCTGTCGATGTTGGCTCTCAAAGACGTCAACATCCCCTCCGAAACCAGTGTTTTGTACAAGGCCCCTTTGCAGCTCCTCTCAGACTTCCTGAAGCCCCGGCCTTCGCTCATGCACTCTCCTTCATTCAGCTGCTCTTTGCTTCTGTCCTCCTCCTTCACTTTAGAGAAGGGCTGCTCTGCTTCAGTCATGTGCTCCATAATCCCACTCTTCTCTGTGATCGCGTCTGAAACAACAGTCTTTGGACTCGTGTCGAACAGGTCACTCTCCAACGCGTCGTCAGAGTTGGGTTCGCACTTGTCTTCTTTGAGCTCAGGTTGCTCCGTGAACGCCTTCATTTTGGGCTTGGGCTTTTTGGGGAAAGCATGGTTCCTACAGTTAACATCGCTTTGGGTTCTGTCCTGGTCTGGTTTTTGCAACGAGCCTTTTGCAACTATCTCGATAGTGGTTGAAATCAAGTCTGCGACAGATCTCTGATGCGTTTCCATCTTCATCACCTTGACTGGAGTGACACTCTGGACGCCATCTTGTTTGGACTTTTTGGGTTTCTTTTTGACGTTGGTGTTGGGGTGGCTGAGCAGAGGTCTGGGGTCACTGGAGGTAGAGGTCATTGTGGGAGGCGAGGGGTCAGTCAGTGTGGACGGAGGGCTGTCAGTGTTTTCTTTCTCCTCCTTCAGTTCGGTTTTGATAGGAGTGTGCAGCAAAAAGGGTCGAGAGCCGCTGTCCTCCGGTTCCGCCACTTCTGTGTCCATCTTCTGTGCTTCAGAGGCTAAACACATCTGATCCAAACAATCGCAGCATTATTCACCAATTACACATTTAGTTTGCCTTAGACAACTGCTGTATGCACCTAAATGGACTGCATGCAAAAATGTTTAATTACATCAACATATGTTTCCCCGGATAACAGGTCACATGTACAAATCATATTTGACTCATATTATTATCATAATCATATTTTCTGAACATTATAAAGTGTAGTTAAAAAAACAATGTCCACAATATTTATGTTTACAGTTTTCAAGCAGATTACCCAATCAATATGTATTGTTTCTATCCAGCATGTGGATTGCATCAGTAATCTCTGAGGACGTCACAGGTACAGTTTGATGGTAACTGTACCTGTGACTGTAATGAGACCACTAGTGCATATTAAATACGTTCCCTTTTAAAAAACAGGATGAAATGATACCTCGGCAAGCTGGAAGAGAGCAGACTGTCCACATGGTTTAACGTCAGGTGCCACAGACGACTGAAGGAGAAATTATATCAGTTAAGTTGTGCTTTGTGGGCGATGTTTACTGATATGTTATTGCATAGTAAATGAAGAGTGAGGACTGATACCTCTGCTGGAGGGGAAGGGGTCGGCTGAACCCTGCTTTTAGGACTATCTGCCACTCCCTTCAGTGTGGTTCCAGATGAGATCTGCAAGAACATGAGTAAAATGTGTTAGTAGACTTTGTGCAGCAATAGGTTGTGTTCATGTTGTAGAATTCTATTTCAGTTGGATGGCAGTGGTCAATACAACTCTATGGGAAAGAAGCCATGTTTGAAAGATCAAACATTATTAATCATTTTATTCTCAACTCTGAAAGACCTTTCTACTGGCCAACATCATCCATATGTTTTTACAATATTGTCACCACTTCTTTATGAGAAAATATTTAGACTAGGGCTGTCAATATTATCGCGTTAACGCACATTAATAAAACCTTTTCATTAATATCATTTAAAAAATAAACGCATTTGACGCATGTGCTGAATGACCCGCCCACGCATCCCATAATAACACTCAAGTGCCGCGGACTAGGGCTGGGCGATATGGCTGAAAACTATATCACAATATAAGTAATTCATATCGGTCGATAACGATATATATTGATTGTTTTTTTGTTTTTTTTTACGTAAATAAATACATTTGTTGTGTCGGCTAACACATGTTAGCAGCCTTGTTTACAGTCACGGGGGAATGAGGCTGGAGCCAAATGTTCACAAGCAGTCTCCCCCACTTTAGTCCTGGTTTAATCCTCGTTTAGTCCTGGTTTAGCACCTGTTTTCGAGTGTCCTGTGTCCCCGTGGCGGCTCCGGAAAGTTAATCTCTTGTTTTTGCCGAATGCACATGCTGTTCCTCGCAGGACATGTTTAACCATTGACACGGCACTGAGACACGATCTTTAGATCCAGGGCTATTATAATAGATCCATGATCCATGGACGCTACGCATGGTGCGGTGGTTTTTTTTCATTCCCAGAAAGTTTTGCGGTTTGTAGTCGGCTGTGATAGGTCGAGAAGTCTCTGCCTACATCCCCCAGAATGCCGCGCGCTTCTGACTCGGCTTTACTTCCTGTGTTTCGTTCCTGTTTTTTAGAACGGAGTGAAGTTAAACTATTGAAAGTTCTATCGACCCCGTTCTCTATTGATATTGAACATGTGTCTATCGCGATATATATCGTTATCGTTTTATCGCCCAGCCCTACCGCGGACACATGTGTGTGATGGCCCTTTGGAAATTCAAGTCTTAAAAGGATACGCGCGTGACCGTTGGCACGGTCATTAACCAAATGGTTCATAGTGCTGGTTTAAAAAAAGCAAATCACAAACCTCCACTTGATTTTCTCGGATGGGCTCTCGTTCAGTGACGGCTTCATGTAAACTTGGTTTAGTGCTTGAAGGAACCTAAAAGCATGTACAAGAATGTATGGTTACTTTCTTCATTTGGAATGGTAATCAATAATTACCATTACAAATAATCCACAAAGTTGGCTTTCAGAACCACAGAATCACCAGTGTATTATTTCAAAAGTTTTCAGAAATGTATAAAAAAAAAAAAGATATATATATTAAAAAAAAAAAAGACAATATTGCTGAAAAACTGAAAACAGTAATGGATTGACAAACACAGCCTTTATGTGCTGTGTTTGCTCTTTGGGGCCCTCTGGTGGAACAGTCGAGTATTACCTCTCTGTTTGTGAGGGCATGTTCTCCAGCCAAAAGCAGCATGCTGAGGCCTCCCATCTTTGTAGGGTCTGAGTAACACAAGAATATGGTCTGAATCTTTATGCACTGCTCCAGTTATGTAGACAGGATTAGTGAACAAACCTGCCATGGCGAAATTTAACTGTGGCGTGCTGTCAGCTTTGGGCACTTTCTTGGCAGTGGGGGTCTCTTTGCATGGTCCCGAGACGAAGGGCCACACCTTTTTGCGTGCGGCGCTCACTGATTGACAAGGAGGGCTCTTCACAGGTTTGCTTGTGGTTGGACACCATTTGTATCCAGGGTTTGCCTTCATGAAAGCATCTTTGTACTGAAATTAAACAATTCACAAATTCTTATTCTATCATTAAATGGTTTACGCTGTGTTATCAAAACATCCAGATACCTGGACATTCTAAAACATTCTCACCAGCAGAATCTATGGGATGGACCAGAAAGTCTTCGATTGTAGGGGTTTAGGGACTGCGCAGGGATGGAGAGTGCTAACCTGTTTTCTTGCTGAAGCCACTGAGGAAAGTTCTCATCGTTGTGAATTTTGTGCAAATTCACTTTTATTGAAAAGTACGATAAAAGGCCCTGTAACGGCTCGTGTCACCATTCTGGGCTCAACCCTTGTGCTACCCTCGACCCGCCACAGTGATTAAAAGTTGACCCTTTTAGTCAGGTGCATTCCCTCCTCAAAATATTAGGCAAGACAGGCAGCTGCCTGGGGCCCCCAAACCGGCAGGGGGCCCCCGAGGGCCGACTGATTTGTCACAAGCGGCCTTCTTGTAGAGGCTACAACCATGGATTTATTATAATAACTGGATAGGGTATTACTAGCTTGGAGCGGAAGAACCCATGTGCTCAGGGGATTCTCGCGGCACTGCAGACTAAACCAGACTAAATTCACAAAGGGGCTACCCAGAAATTGTCTCCATAGAACTCAATGTAAACTAAAACAGCTCGACTTCAGCTGACAGAGAACCTAGAGCTTTCATAAAGATCGGATTTTGTGTGGATTTTAGTGTCCCTTGTCATCCTGAACTTTTTTTTCTTCTTAAATCCTTCAGTTTTCTTTAAATCCACATTTTATTGCCACAAACTCTGCTCGCCTTGCTCCCGCTCTAGCTCCCGCTCTGATGAGCAGTTCTGATTGGTCAGAGCGCGGCCGAGCCCCGCTGTGCGCGTGCATGAGAGCCACACATGCGTATTTGGCGAAACGTATCATGGGAGTTCATCCACTGCGCAGAACCAGGAGGACCCAAAGATGCCCAAATACAGGCAAGTTTCTCATGGATCATTGCAAGTTCCAGGCAACTTCCACTAATATGTCAGCGCCCGTGCCGGCACAATACGCCACTGAGCACAAACCATTCATTTGAATACGGCACCATCTTGGATCGCCGGGGCTTGGCTACAACAGCTACCTGCAGTTAAAAACACTGCCTGAAGTCAAAAAGTGTATTTTGACATAGTGGTCTAGTAGTTAAGTTGCAGCGCTCGTGTTGTGACGGTCCGGGTTCGAATCCGAGTGAGACCTATGTTTGGATTCAACTATATATATTATATTCTATGACAGATAGCTCAAGAACGGTAAAAGGTAAAAACAAGTGGTCTTTTGCAGATTAAAGCTAAGAGCATAATATTTCATTTGGCCCTCGGTGTTTATATAAACTACATAAACACCGAGGGTCAAATGAAAGATTAGATTTTGTAGGATTTCAAAATCTGGTTATGTGGTCGGTATCGGGCCCCGGGGTACCCTTGGAACGCCACTGCTCGCGCCTCATTGCAAAGCCCTGTGAGTGAAAAGGTGCAGTCTCACCCCTGATTGGTCCTTGGCCAACCCTGGTCTGAAGGACCAGGTAGCATCAAAATAAGGTTCATACTTTATTTTAAACAGTTTTTCTTTTCTTTTCTCTTCAGAACCCAGAATTTGGTCACAAATTAACCCAGCATTGTTCTGTTCTGAATTATATTGATATAATTTCTCACTGAAAGTCCAGATCCTTTCCCTTATATTCAGAAGGCCCACGCAGCCCTGGCTTTTATAAAAAAAACATTAATTATCTAACACAGATTGAGATGCTACTCAGGCCAATCTCTAAAACAAACATTATTTGAAGTAATGATAACGATAAAAGGAAAGACTATCATAATGTATTATAGACAACAATACATACATGAATTAGGGAAAGGTGTGGAACACATGCATACCTCCTTGGCCATATCAGTGTACTTCTGTTTCTCCTTAGGATCTAGCACTGCCCACCAGTCAGCCAGAATCTTTGTGGCCCCACGGTTATCCAGCCGAGGGTGCTCCTGGCGCACCAGAGAGCGGTGGCGTTTACAGAAGAGGAGGAAGGCGTTCATGGGGCGGCGGGCTCTCTGCTCTGTGGGATCCTCATCCACTTCAGGAGGGGCTCCACACTGCACCTGAGAGCCCTGATCCTGGGCACACAACATCACAAAACACCCTTACAAACACATGTGGTGAGGTCTGAGGGCTTGTGGTGCCTAAGACCAGACTTAAAACCCAAGGAAAGAGTAAGTAAGTAATCTTTATTTATATACCGCCTTTCACAGACCAGAGTCACAAAGCGGTTAACAATTGTTATTTTTGGGCATTTGTCCTCTCACTCCACAGAGAGATGGGAGCGGGGTCGCCAGTACTGGAGGCACATGCCAGACCTATTGTCTGGCATAGTGGTAGGGGAAACCGGAGTACCCGGAGGAAACCTACGCAGACACGGGGAGAACATGCAAACTCCACTCAGAAAGGCCCTGGCCCGACCGGGATTCGAACCCGGGAACTTCTTGCTGAGAGGCGAGAGTGCTATCCACCCTCTCTGTGGCTGGACTAAAGCTGTGGAACACTCCCCCCTAGGTTTGAGTGTTTTATGATTTTCATTGTTCTGTTCTATATAAAAGAGGTTGCTTGGATGTGCTGTATATTTCAATCTTTATGTCTAAATGCAATCAGGACTCGTCTTGATGGCGTACCTTCTCCTGCTCTTCCTCATCCTCCTCATCCTCTTCCTCTGAGAAGTCCAGGACCTTCTTGGACAGAAGCGGGTGCCACTGAAGACATTTTCGTTTGGGCCGCTTCCCTGCTATCTCCCCAGCGGCTGGTGGGTCCTTGCCAGCTCCTCCACCCTTCATGGTACTACCGCACCTGTAGCCCCATGGCAATTACAGGTTACAACAGTTAAAACATTTCACTTTTTCCGACATTTTCCAACAATGTATATAATTCTGATTGCGTTTTGTGCTTATGTCTAAATTAGGGTTGTCCAAAGCTTTTAGTGAGAGAGCCTTTTTAGTTCACTAGACTTGTCCAAAGGCTGATAACATGGATTCTAAAACTGGTTTGACTGGATTCAGGTGGTTCTGGGCTATAAAATGGGGTATGATATGTCCATATTCATTCACACCACAGCTACATTAGTGCCTTAGATGGAATTTTGTTGCACAATAAAAAACAAATGCCAGTATGAACAAAAATGTATCGCATGACTATATTGGTGGAGCTGAAGTTGGCTGGAAGTTTCTCCATAATGGCTACTTTGTGTTAGCAGCAGAGGGCCACATACAATGACACAGCAGGCTGCTTTTGGCCTGTGGACCTGCTCTATATGCTGCAGTGTTGAACAAAATTATAATACATTTAGTAAAGAGTCAATTTACTTTTGTAATTCATTGTGTGACACGTTACAGGCAAAGGAAGTAATATCAGGCCTTTTCTGTTCACCAAAGTAAAAACACCAAATAGAACATGAGATAATTTGAATATTATGAAATTAGACTAAGTCATAATCATCAACATCATGACAAACAGACTTTGCGTGTCAATGAGTCAAATCAGGGCATATTGTAAGTGAACATGCAGAAATACATTACATTTAATTGTGTTCTAATTTTACTTGTATTTTAGATGTTTAAAATTGTGCGTCAAAAGCAAAGCAGGGTTGGGCTTGGTTCCTGGGATGGGAGACCTCTAATAAAGCCATCTATAAAGTCCTTAGTCTGTTTAAAGGATGTTTTAAAGTATTGTTATCTTGTATTAATAATAATGAAAGCTTTACATGACATTAGACCATAACGGTATAAAATAAAAGTGTAGAATGTGTTGTCCTTAGATGAGAGACTATGATGAGTCAGATGTGCGCATAATGGTTGTGGTCAAAGAGGAAGATGATTTTGGAACTCACTTTTGTCAGTCTACTGCTACCATGGGATTTTACCACCATCAGGGGAAGAGCAACTTTCTTATTAAACTTTGATCAATTTATTTTTAAATGATTACTCTTGTGTATTAACTTAAGCAGTGGGAACATGCATCTACAACTGTAGGATGGATAAAACAGCGAGTTAGAGGAAACAAAGTATTCACGATGGAACGTTTGGACCGACTGCATCCAGTGGATCAAGTGAAGCTTGTGTTTAGTCTTTTCTCATGATAAAGTCACCTAGTTCTATGGTGGTTCATGGTGGACTGGTCCCACTGACTATAGGGACTAGGGGATTATAGAAACTAGCTGGTAGTTCGTAGTACCAGTACATTGGCAGAAGTAAACATACTGCTGCTAATGTACAGATGTAAACATACTGCTGCTAATGCACAGATGTAAACATACTGCTGCTAATGTACAGATGTAAACATACTGCTGCTAATGTACAGATGTAAACATACTGCTGCTAATGTACAGATGTAAACATACTGCTGCTAATGTACAGATGTAAACATACTGCTGCTAATGTACAGATGTAAACATACTGCTGCTAATGTACAGATGTAAACATACTGCTGCTAATGTACAGAGGCTAACATATAACAACACTTTACTTGCACTAGATTACACAGTACTTTATACTTGCCTCTTATTTTGTCAATGTTAAATTTGTACATCTATTATATTTTCAAGATAGAGATTTTATACTTATTATTGATGCTAGAGTTAGATTGTTTTTATTTTGATTAGTATAGCTATTGTTCACTTAACGTGTGCTGTGTGCTCCTCTTTCCTACTGTTCTAACACCTGTGATGCAACACCGAAATTTCCTCAAATAAAGGATCTCTTAATCTTAATCTATGTGTGGATACAGCTCTCTGTTCAAAAACAGAAATATTCTGGATTTTCTTCAGAAAATGTATTAACAGAACAGACTGACTTTGCTCATGGCCAATACATTTAAAATGCTAAATCTACCAGCTCAGTTAATCACGCTGTGCAATGTGATGATGTCACGTGAGCTTTTGGTCAGCCAAAGAAAAAGGCGAGAAAAAGTCATTCGAACGTGTGGATTGACGCTGCTTGGAACAGAATCTATAAGACAGGTGGAAAACTGCATACTTACAGAGGAAATGCTATGGAAATGCTGTTATGAGTGATGGAGATGAATCTGCCACAGCCCTTGTCATGCAATGACGATGACCTATAAAATACAAGACAGTCTCTCGTCATGCGTTATTAGCAACAAGCTCATTCTATCAACAAGAGCAGATCCGCAGGAAGCCTCAGTGAAGGCAACTTTGGCGTCGCGCACAACACAAGTCTTTGGTTTCAAACTATGGTGGGACATTTTGTATCATCAGAATGTCGATGATCGAGTCCGCATCAGCACACATGTACATGTAGGCCAAAACCCTGCGACCACTGCACTCCACACGACACTCAGCCCCAGTGCACGGTCCACGGTCCAGGAGCTGCTGCGGCTCAGGTGAAAGTGCTGATGCCCGTGTTCTATGGTCCAGTCACACTTCAGCTGCCGAGCCTTTCACACCAACTGCGGGGAAAGCTTTCTGCGCAGACGGGGACCACTGGTGCCCTTACCTCTACCGCACATTTTCATCTTCGTGCAAAATGTCGATGAGGGCTCTGACAAGACAGAAATCCGAACGCGAGTCCATCTTGCTCAGGATTGGAGGAAAAACACAGTACAGTACAGCACAGCACTGTACAGCACAGAACAGTACAGAACAGTACTGGGGCATTTGTGTCACTCAACTCTCCACGACCAGTGTCGTCTAAAACACCTCGAATGATTAATTAAACCTGAGTTTTTCTGTACATGTCCACACATCCGTGTGCAGAGCTCAGCTCAGCGGCAGCCCCATGTCCTCGCACTGTTAGTGGGAATAAAAGGAGCTAGTTAGCTGCTAGCGCTGCAGCTAATGGACGTGTCACTGTTATTACTGCACGCAGTGGTTCCTCAAACTGCACTGCTCTCTTTCACATCTGGACTGAGGCTGTGGACCGTGTTCTGATCATAGACATTATACAAACTGGAGTTGGACAGTTTCTCTGTCAGGTCCGTGGCTGAGTGTGGGTCTAGATGCGGAGGAAGAGAGAAGTCAGTGGCTCAGAGGAACTGTGCGGTGCCATTCATTTCGTCTGTTTGATCAGAACGACATAAGAATAAAAGCAGCAACATGTCGACTGTCTGAGAATATGTGTCTGCAGTGGGTTCCAAAGCAGTGTCGAGTCAAACTATGAGTAAAGCTTGCAGCCGGACATCATGTCCACAGCGGCGATAATAACATTTTTTCAGTCACTGAGACTGAGCCAGATAAGTAATGAAGGAAATCAATCCAACTACAAGTTTTCTGTCAATAGTCACGGGTTCATTTAAGACGTACCTCAAAAGCCCAGCGAAAGGAACGGGAGAGCCCTCTCATCATCGGCGCCGAGCACAGTTTTAACTTATTGACACATCATAACACAGTGTTACCGTGTTACACACTTGTGCACTGGCTGGACTCACGCAGCGGCGTCAAGCACGCGACTGCAGCACGAGCGCACCGGAAGGAGCGAACTGTCAACAACGTGCTGAGCTGAGGGCCCTATAGGCCTACACAGTCTGTACATTCTGTAACTCAGACTGATAGTCCAATTACATATAACATATATATCACATATACTCATATCCTCCTGTGTGCGGAGTCGTTTATGTCTGTACAGTTAGTAACTCTGTAATTATGTAGTGTCTACTGTGAGGAACCCCAGTTATAACAAATACGTTGTATCCGCTTATATACAACATACATAAACAGAACGTGCGATATATTGTGTCAAGGATGACGAGTTGTGAATGTGTTAATACATCTTGAACCTCTGTCATGTTACAACCACAAAGCTTTAATTTTGGATGTTTTCTTTACTGAAAGAATAGGCATTAACAGATAACTGTGAAGTGAAAGAAAAATGAGACATGTTTTTTGTTTTTTTAAATCAAAACATGAAAAGTGGGGTTTGTATAAGACAACATATTACACATGAGTGAGGTGGACATACAGTAATACAGTAAAATATAATTGCAACATGTCGTGTCCAGTACACAATATGTTGTGTCCAGTGTGAGGGGATATAAAATACATGTGTCTTACACAGCGTGAATATGGACAGCACTGATCAGAGATACGGTCAAGAGGCCCATGGTTACTCTGACATCCACAGCTCACCTGGTGGAAGCTGTACAGGGGGCAATTAGTGCCTTGCAAAAGTGTCTATACAACTTTATTGTTTGCACTTTTGTTCTTATCTGTTTTTGTGAATTTAAAAACAAAATCAGCTTTCAGCTTTAATTTTGCTTTCAATTCAGTTGTATTTTACAACTTACAAGCAATAAAATCTTTTCTTGTGGCTGTAACATGAACAAATGTGCAAATATTTAAGCTGTATTGACAGCTTGTCTTAATTAAATAGAGGCCACCATGTGTGGCCTTCATTTACTCTACTCTCAGTATAATTACAGCTGTTCTGTGAAGGCTTCAGAGCTGTAGTGGAGTGTATTGATCACTAAACAGCACCATGAAGGCCATTGAGCACACCAGAGATGTCAGGGATAAAGTTGGGCAGTAAAATAAAGCATGGTTAGGTTTTACAAACTTTTCCAAAGTTTTGAACATCTCACAGAGTACAAGAGTATGGCACAACTGCAAATCTGATCACAGACTCAAGGCCCATGTTACTCTGGAGGAGCTGCGGACATCCACCTGCGGGGAGCAGTACATGGAGCAAATATTAGTAGCCTGGTCGTAACACACCATAGTACAAATCACATCAGTGAAATTATGAATGAGCGGAGTACAGATGTCTAAGGCCAGTCTAAAATATTAGTTATATATATATTGCAAATATCTGGCATTTATGGACGTGTGGAAAATAGAAAGTTAATGTTGAAATAAAGCCGCAAGAGGCAAAGCGAGGAACACATTCACATGTGAAGAAGGTGCTGTGGTCAGATGAGTCCAGAATGGAACTCTTTGGCCCAAATCCAAAATGTAATATATGACTGTAAACAAACACAGCTCGTCTCCCCCAGTACACAAGTGTCAAATGTGGGGAAAAATACTAGATAAAAGCTTTACGTTTGTGGTTGTGACATGACACGTAGACACTTTGACAAAGGTACGGTACAAGTCATGCATGAAACAAATCTGGCCTTTAGGGAGAAGAGCCACACAGAGGAGCATCGCTGAGGATCTTTTAGACTGATCGACGATCTTCAAACACTTGATTTGTGTAAAAATTTGACTTTTAGTAATCAATATTGTTCAGTTGAATAAGCTTTACTTCGGCATATTTTGGACCAGAGCAGAGAAAATGGTCCGAACCAAGCGACTGCTCCACCTCTGCTGCTGCTGTGACCCGCCCTACTCCACCCAGCGGCTACTCCACCTCTGCTGCTGTGACCCGTCCTGCTCCACCCAGAGGCTACTCCACCTCTGCTGCTGTGACCCGTCCTGCTCCACCCAGAGGCTACTCCACCTCTGCTGCTGTGACCCGTCCTGCTCCACCCAGCGGCTACTCCACCTCTGCTGCTGTGACCCATCCTGCTCCACCTGGAGGCCACTCCACCTCTGCTGCTGTGACCCATCCTGCTCCACCCAGAGACTACTCCATCTCTGCTGCTGTGACCCATCCTGCTCCACCCAGAGGCTACTCCACCTCTGCTGCTGTGACCCATCCTGCTCCACCCAGAGACTACTCCACCTCTGCTGCTGTGACCCGTCCTGCTCCACCCAGAGGCTACTCCACCTCTGCTGCTGTGACCCGTCCTGCTCCACCCAGAGGCTACTCCACCTCTGCTGCTGTGACCCATCCTGCTCCACCCAGAGGCTACTCCACCTCTGCTGCTGTGACCCATCCTGCTCCACCCAGCGGCTACTCACCTGTGCTGCTGTGACCTGAAGTGCAGTTTCTTATTATTACTATTACTATTGGTAGATTTTCAAAGTGATCATTTTATTTGTTTTGTTTGTGTGCAACATCCCCTGCTTGATAATGTCAAATAGGGGGCTTGATCACTATAAAATTATTACATTTGATAACACCTGCCCCCAGGTTGTATATAGATTTTCAAGAAGAAAAATTAAAGACCAATCGATATCAGAAAAAACTACGAAAGGAATTACAAAAATGTTTGAGTGGTGGGGGAAAATGCTCCCCAGACACAGGGAGAACATACAGAATCTGCACAGGAGTCTAACCTGCCACCTTTTCTGCTACACACTCAGCCACTTTGCTCTCAACGGCATGAATTACAAGTTTGAGATTTTATGGGTCAGAAGTGGAGGAAGAGATCTTACCTGGGCCATGGATCTTAGCTGGGATTTCAATTGTTTTCTAAATAACACATGTTGTAAGTCCCAACAGAGTGAGTCTTCTAAAAAGTTATATTTTATGAACAAATCAAACCAAACATGCCATCTTCATCATATCATAAATACGTACTTGCATTTAGGAGCCCTGTGAGTCACAGTCTTTGGGCTGAGAGCTGATTGGCTAAGTCAGGGTGGTGCTCTCCTTTCTACTATATGCAAGTAAAGTAACTGTTCTGGGAGCGAGAAACTATAGAGACATGAATTTCATTACATAGTTAAGAAGGTCCTGGGTTCGAATCCCGGTCGGAACAGGGTCTTTCTTAGTGGAGTTTGCATGTTCTCCCCATGCTTGCGTAGGTTTCCTCCGGGTACTCCGGTTTCCCCTACCACTAAAAACATGCACACTAGGTTAAATCCTCCAGCTCCAGTCCTGACCAAGCCGAGCATTAACATCTGGAGATGGGTTCCCGGGCTCTGTTACTATGGCGACCGCTGCTCTTGACGTAAGCCTTAGTGGCATCAGGATGGGTCAAATGCAGAGGATTAAATTGCCCTACGGGGATTAATCAAATGAAAAAAAATGATTTTGATTCTGAATAAAGTGCACCTTTACCTTTACCTTAAGAATGGTTATGTTTTTGAACAGGGACAAAACACATTCATAAACATTAGTTGGTTATAACACAGTTTGAAAGTTAAGAACCCACTCACCAATATCTGTCTTTATGTCTATAACAGGCGTGAGATTATATTATTTTATTATTTTATTAGGCCGTGGAAAGCGGAAGTGGCGCGCGCTGCCGTTCGCCTCTGGACGGTGATACTTGCTGATACTTTACCGAATGATGACTGTAATCGATGTAAAAGCTGAAGTCGCCTCACAACACGCAGAGACGACAGCAACATGTCCAGATCCTCACAAACACACGCACTTATTCAGTCAGATCGTTTCCAGAGAAATACTTTCATTTCCCCGACGGCGCTGGAGCCCAGTCTCTATCGCCTCTATCCGATCCCCTCCCCCGGTTTGCAAAGTGCCATTGGCCTACAGCCCGATCGCACTCCAAACTTCATGTATAAGCCTTATTTTTTACACATTACATCAAAAGAAATTGAGAGATATATGAAACAACTCCCAACTCTGCGTCCATTCACTGTTCCCTTCATCAGCCACTACTTCTTGGCGAAAGCTTCCTGGGTGTTTGGCCGCGATGACCAGAGATATATTTTGACCCAAAGGTGAAATAAAACTCTCAGATCACTTACCTTACCCCGCAGAGCAGATCGTCTCTTGATCGCCTTCGTTTAGTGCGTTGAATGTAAAAATATCAACAGTTTTTGCAGCATACTGTACACGGGGGAAAATTGCCACCCCCGTGATGCACGCGGGTCTGTGATTGGCCAATAGCTTTGATTGATGTGTTTGTCGGCCAATCAGAGCAGAAGTTATGTTAACAGTGTTTTGAGAGCACTACATGTCTTTAAATTGAGTGAGAAGAACAACACGTGTGGGGAAATAGATGTAGAGGTCTGTGCATTGCAAAAGGAAAGATTATAGTTAGCATATTATGGGATGGCAACTGTAGTGTTGTTTCAAATGGGACTTTACAAGGGTGGATCTAGACTCATTCATTTAAAGGGGTATTAAAGATGTTGTTCCGACGAGATCCAATTGAAATAATGAATGCATTCTGTAAATGACTTTTTCTATTTCAGGTAAAGTCCAGTTAAAGCTGGGTCTACATTTTTTAAACCACAAAACATATTGTATTTATCCAATAAAATCTATCTGTATCTCTTTGGGGCCGCTATCACATCATTAGATCGGCTTTTTCAGACAGAAACGTGAAAAAAGTGAGGACCGCCCTTCTCAGCTAATCCGCTTTCAGGATTTCAGGAGCTGGAGGATTTTTACTGAGTGAGCATTTTTTTAGTGGTAGGGGAAACCGGAGCATCCGGATGAAACCTACGCAGAACGGAGAACATGCAAACTCCACTCAGAAAGGCCCTGTTCCGACCGGGATTCGAACCCGGGACCTTCATGCTAAGTGACGAGAGTGCTATCCAATCCGCTTTCAGCTCAAAAAGTCAAATAGTGACTATTTCTTATACAAAATACAAATACAAGTATACAAAAGATTACACACTTTCCAACACGATATAGACAGCATGTTGTGGTCTGATGACTGCTGCGTCTATTTCTTGCTTTCGGTTTGCAATAACAGTACAATAGAGTCAGAATCATTTTTATTGCCAGGTAAGTAACAGGAAGTCACAGACAAATTGCTTTGGCTCTCGGTGCAAACAAGACAAAAGTAGAGAAAGAATAAGGCATGATAAAAAATAATATTCTCTAAACTATATATAAAAAAATATATATAGAAACAATTAGTTGGGATTATTGCTCCATCATTGGTTAGAGTAACTATAATAAGAAATATCAAATATATAGTGCTCTTACATTTCCCTAAACAGCATTTAAAACTCTAAAAAAGGTGTTAAATTTGACTTTTAAATTATGTCCGATGAAGGGTAGTGACCCGAAACGTCACATTGTGTGGTGAGAATTAAAATCTCTTGGAAGCAAAAGCAGTCACAGGATCAGCATGATGAGGCGACAGAGCTATTGATTACATCACCTTAATCAGCACCAATCACTTGCCACAAACATGCATACAAACATTTACATCCAAACGCATACACAAAGGCCCTCAGAGACGCATGCTTATTCATAAATGGTGTGTTTGAGTAATAACATCAGCGGCTATAAAAAGATACCATCCAAGTTCTGCGTTATATTCATGGTGTTGAGTAGATAAACATCACATGAGCCCCTTGCAGTAACATGTAAGTACCAGAGAGGACAGCTCGAGAAATGGTCCAGGAATTTAGGCCCACATTCATGCTCAATAAAAAAGTAGATTAAGTTGTGTATTTTTGTAGGATATTTGTCAGCTTTGTGTTTCATTAACAGTGTGCTTATGTGCATGTACACCAGGTGACTCTCGAAAGATTAGAATTCTGTTCAAAAGTCTATTTACAAAGTGAAACTAATCAAAAAAATAAAATCTCTCGGAAGAAAATAATATTTTGAAGCCATATTTATAAAAGTTATCACAAAGACTTTGCATTCAATGAGTCAATATCATAATAATTGTACATAAGAAAAATTGCATAAATAAATGAACTTTTGAACAATATTCTAGTTTCACCTCGTCTTCACACCTTGCACAGGGACGACAGGAGAAGACTACCTTTATGGCCAAAACTGGCACTTTTTCAATTTGTGTTATTGTTCATCAGTTTCTGTTGATATATAGCTGTACTCTCAACATGTATTTTTTCAGCTTTTGAAAAGTAGCCGTAGTCTGAAAAACCACCAAAAGAGAAGCGATGTGCTCCAAATACAGTTGTATCCTAAATATTCTGCACATTGTTCCAGTCCACAACACACATACTCATGTGTTTCACCACGACATGATCTGTGTGCGTGATTCCAGCTGCAGACTTCACCAAAACAGAGCTGACACAGGAACACAGGACGTCACCTTCAGCAGAGAGTGAGGAGGACGAGGCAGCTGTCTTCACCGAAGTCGCTCCTGTCCCAGAGGAGTGAGGGGCTGAGGGGGCGGACAGCCACACATACAGCCACACATATACACATACAGCAACACACACAGCCACACACACAGCCACACACTCCCCGTGCAGTGCAGTAGGTGGAGATTAGCATCAATCTGTGTATGAACATATTAGGGGAATATGTTCATCTTATTTAAGCAGGATGATTCTGGCAGAATGTCAGTATGTCTGGTTCAGGATGGTCCTGGCTCCAGATGTGCATTTTATGAGAAACTCTATGGATTACTAACTGAATGTTTATATAATAAGTGTATAGTTTATATAAAAGTGTATAGATATGGATGTAGTTAGTGTGACAAGTTGACAGTTATTTTCCCTGGAGACTGTTCACCAAAAACAATGATCAGTGTATGCAGGAGGCTTCAAGAACAGTGTTGATCCAGGACATTTATGGACATTGGTCAACCTGCTGCAGCCCTATGGACCAATTCAATTCAATTCCATATATTCTAGCCCTAAATCACAACAGTAGTGATCTCAGAGGACTGAACAAAACAGCTGAAATCACCAACACAGATCAGAGAATCAACAGTTCAAACAACAAAAAAATAGAACCCATGAGTATTGGTCCATAGGGAGAGACCAATGTCCATGAATGTTGTAGAATGTTGAGTGTCCTGGATCATCACCACAGTCCTTGTTAGACCCAGTGGGAGAAAAGAGAGAAACCTCAGAGAGATCCATATTGAGAGAGGGATCTGCTCCGACACGGACGGACGGGCTGTAGATCCAGGACCTAAGCTACAGAACCAGGACCAAGGCCACGCAGCTCAGGACTCAGGTTGTAGAACGAGGACAGGTGCGGTGCAGGACTGAAGCAGCTCCCAGACGGGGAGGGGGTGCAGCCCATAAGGCGGGTCAGGCAAGGCAGTCCGCAGGTGCAGATGGAGGGGGTCGAATTCAGGGGTCCCATCGTCGCACCAATGGCTCCTTTATGTTTTTTAGTATCACATTTCCTGTGTTCTAATTGTTCGATTTTCTTATTTGTTGTTGGAAAGTTCACCATTTTGTATTATTATGAATTAGCGCTTTACAAATAACATTCAATGGAGTTTAATATGAAACGGTTGCAGCGCTAAAATACAATGTCAGTGTGGGCAACATACATTTTGAGAATGTATGTTGAGGAACAAGAAATGTATACAACAACAAATGACAAGAGTGTTTGTTGTCATAGAAACACATGTATTCATCAGCACATTATAACATTATAGTATTGATGTAACCCAGGGGTCTCCAACCTGTAGCTCGGGAGCCACCAGTAGCTCGCCAGCCCCTTACAGGTAGCTCGCCAAAGAAATTAGACTTTACCAAATACACTTAAACGAATACTTTTTGACCCATTACATATCTATTATAAGTATAAATATAGGGTTATACAGTAATATGGTGTATTTTATATGTGTTCTCCAAGTTTAGTCGTAATTATTAGATCCATTTTCATTATGACTGCAAAAATGAGTAGCTCTCTGCATGTTTGTTTGTATAAAAGTAGCTCTCTGATTAAAAAAGGTTGGAGACCCCTGATGTAACCAGTATTGTTACATCTTTTGTGTGCACCAGGGGTCCCCATGGATCTATTGTAATAACATGGTCCACAGGTGTCTGGGCCCAGTAAACAAACTTGTTTCACTTCCGGGTAATCGATTGATGCCGAAATTTATTAAATACGTTATTATTATAGATCCAGGATTAAATACATAAAAAAGGTTCATTAAGGCATTTTCTAGTTCCCAAATCTGGTTATTATAATATACATGTCTTAAAAGCATGAAAACTACCAAAATGGTCATTTTTGTACATTGCCATGAGCCTGAAAGTCCAAAATAGACTTTTTTTAATTTTCCATTTCCCTTGTATTGAACACAAAAGTACATGGACCCAGTTTCCTAGTTTGTGACTTCTTGTTACTCACATGGCAATGAAAGGATTCTGATTCTGAAATAGTTTTAAAAGGTAACCTAGTTCAACAAACGGCCAAATGTATTCATCTAATCGTTTATCGTTTATCTCTTTGGATCAGAGATACAGGAGAGAATTGTTTTGTCAGGAATAAATATAGGGTTAGGGTAGTCCTTTAGTCATATAAGATTAATATAATAAAAATAGAGACAGCTTTCTGATACAATTCCTTCATCATTTGGACACCTACCAGTGAGAAAATGTATTCCAGGTTTGTCCACTGCTGAGAGCGAGAGAGGCTCGAGTGGGAGAAATTATGGCCCGAAAATGTGGGGCTTTTTTGGAAAGAGTCTTTTTTAGCCGATGAGTTTGCTCTGAGAAAATTATCCATTTATCCACGTGTTTAAAGCTGGGGTACTGAACTTTCAAACCACAAAACGATGGAATAAACACAATTCTAATTTCACATGCATGTATGTTTGGCCTCTGTCACATCTCGAGATCAGCCCAAAGTGTCAAATAGTGACTCACCGGGCAATGAAGACCCCATGTTGTGATGTTACTAGACTCTTTCTGGTCGGACAAACAGAAAGAGTTTAGGTACCTCAGCTTTAATTCTTGTGAACATTGGTCATCTGGGATATTGCCTTTTAAAACAGAACCATTCTCAAAACGGCAACTGATCCTTTGAGACGACTCCTTTACAGAAATAATGAATAATTGAACTGAATGAGTAAATACCCACTTATTATTGAACAATTTTTGTACTTTCCAACAGCCGTCTCAAACGGACAGAATTGTGATTTTTATCTAAAAGAGGCAGAAAAAGTTGACAACTATTTTATTGAACAAAAGTATTTTATCAAACCATTGAGACGTTTGTGCATTTCTTGTTTTATGTGTTTGTAATCACTTCTGTCTGAGTTTCACATCTCCAGCTCTTGTGTTGGAGGTTGGAGTCTATATAGAACAACACATCGATACATGGATTACTACAGTCGTTGATTCATGAAAAATGGTTATGGTTAATTAATTTATGAATCCAAACTTGCTGCTGGTCGGCTGTAACTTCCTAAAGGACTGGGACCCACTCAAATCCTGCCATTTTGTCTCCAGTTAAAGACATACTCACATTTTGATATTATGTAGTTCACAATCAGTTGACCTGTCGGCATTAGATAAGACTATATTTTTCATTTCATTAAAACAATTAGAATAAAATCAGAAGTTACGAACTAAAATGTCTCAAATCGGTCTAATAGATACATTAACAGCTATGCATTCTACTGCTTACTCAATGTTAAAGTCCTGACTCCTGGATGCCAACCTGACCTCCAGGCTCCAGCTCATGTCTGGGTCTGTCTGGGAGCTAGCTCCTGGCTCAGGTTTGGGCTCCCCCTGGTGGTGTGAGATGGAAAGACTAGGCTATAGGCTGATGAAAGTGACCATCTCGCTGCTGCCCTTGCCATCTGCCCTAAAGTTCTCAGAAAGGAACATAAATTGGGACAGATTCCAAATTTTCTTGCTTGTTAGTTTCCATTCATTCATAAAAAAACACACACATACGGAGAAAGCAGAAGGACGCCGGCATTTACAACAGTGATTTATTTGGGCTTAAAATAGACATATGTCTGGTTGAATGATTCAGATCGGCAGACTGATCATGTCTTCAAACACAGCCAAGTAACTGAACGCTTCAGTTCGAGTCGAGTATTGCACATCCACAGGAAACAGAAGACTTTTGCAACATGCATAGGTCAGAAGTCCTTTATATCTCCACAGAAAATGGCTAGACTGGCCCGTAAAGTCCTAGTGTTCATCCTTTTACATTGAATTTCAAAGTGATTTCAGGGTTAGCACAATAGTCAAGCCAGTACATGAGAAAACCTTACATGTAAATTGTTTTGCTGGCCAACACTTTGGAAAACCGGGTCAATATACTGGAGTGTATTTTCCCATTAGTTGAAAAGAGGTCCTCACAAATACTCCCTATGAAGTTTAAAATTACAAAATAGAAACTCTCTCTTTAGTAATGCTTCTTTACAGCGTCAAACTTTATCAGTAAAATGTTGAAACAGCCCGAACAGAAGAACAAAAAGCTTAAAGTGGATTGAGCCATTGTGAACTGAAAGGAACATATTGAGAAGCCTCCATCTGATATACAGTAAACCTACTTTGTTAAGGCAAGTGGTGACCAACACGGCATTGAGCATTTCCAAAAGAATGACGGCAAGTATTTTTGAAACACAAAGAATGTAAGCAGTGTTGACCTACATATCAGTGCTGAAAAATGTGCACTGTGTTTGCTGCTTTTAGCCTACCCAACACCAGTTCCAGAATACCCGGCCCAGTCAGCCTCTGTCCGATTGCCCTCTCGCCATAAGTCCTCTCTCTGTCGTATCATACACTGCCTAATATATTTACCAACAATGATGAATAAGTGCACTTTGAAAATCCTGTTGATTAGAGAAATGTATTATTATAATCTTATATTCACTATTGGACAGGTGTCACATGCTATAAAAGGTGGTGGAAATACAGTGTTTGTAACAGAACAAGGGGAGTATTGTAAGTATTAGTCATTCCGAGCGCTTTGAAAGAAGTTTTATGTCATTTTACAGCGTTTTAGCACAGGGGTCTCCAACCTTTACCCACAAAGAGCTACTTTTATCTGAACTAGAATCTCTATGAGCTACTACTGTATGGCAGGAAGTTGTTGAACATAATGGTCCGCAATCCAGGGAAAAAAATCCTGTGTACTTTAATAAATGGATTGAAAAAAGTATGTTTATCTTCATTTAAATCCTCATCAATGCATTGAGCTGTTGTGGGTGAATCAACAATTTAGTAAAATCCTCCAAGACGACTGCCGTTTTGATGCAGGGGAAAATGTTGTGTTTAAAATTGCCAAACTATTGAATGGGCATTAAAAAGTCATATAACTGCTTTCACTATGACATCACACTATTACCGGAGATTATAGACAGAAGGGGCGGAGTTACATGTTTGTGCCAAAAGTCCGGGGAGTGATCTAAAAACAACTTGGCCAATCAGCTTTCTCAGTTCAGTTCTGGAACACGATACCAGTCCATATAAGAAAAAGCACCACACTCAAGACTTTTAAACATACGTTAAAAAAACCTGGTTATTGGAAAATCAATATTGTAGCCGCTCATGATGTTTGCAGTGCACTTTGATGGCATCTTACACCTTGCCTAGGGACTACAGTTGGAAACTAGCTGTTAGCTAATACTAACACATTTACAGCAAAGTTGATTAATGTGTATTGTCCCTATTCAAATACACTAATAAATAAATAAATAACTTGAGGTCTGTTTTTGATGAGGAACAACGTTGTGACATGGTTAAGAACAATCTGTCTCTTTTAAATATTCAGTATATGTGTAATTATTGAAGTCTTTCGGGGAGCGAGATATCAGTATCTCCCGAGCTTTAGGTTGGAGACCCCTCTTTTAGTCCAAAGTAAGTGTCCTTTCAGTCAAGACAAGCCAAGCTGAGTCAAACAAATCTAAAGTGATAATTATATCGTGGCGGGTGGGTGAAATGCACATCTTAAAAAATTCTATCTATCACTAAATGTGCAGCCAATCCAGCGAGATGCATTCAGATCTCTGTTGTCCTTGGTTGGAAAAGCATTGTGCCCAGCCTACGTACATAAATAAATGATCCATAGAAGCATAAAACACGTGAGCTACCCTCCCCGATTCAGAAATCAGAATTCACAAGAGACGAGAAGTGCTAGAAAGGACAATTAACACAAATGGGAAATAGATTAGCAAGAGCAGAACAAGTGATTATGACCGAATGATGCGTCGATAAAACATTTTAATTCAACATATTCAACAGAGGTGGGTGCGTCCAAACTGTCTTTGGCTAACAGACTTTTGGAGATGCATGTGTGACCTGAGTCCATGCAGAGGTGATCGAGAGTGGCATAAACAGGACAAGACAAGCAGGTCCCAGAAGTATGTTTATTTTGTTACAATTAAACGTCTTAAAGTTTAATTGTATTTTGTGTTTAAAAGAATGAACAGTTTCCCTGGCTCTGTACTGTCGTGTGAAGTTAAAATGTTGAAGTATGTTTTGCTGTGTGGAGGCGAGTCGGCGACAGTGGCTCAGTTGGTAGAGCATTGGCCTTTGAGCCTGAAGGTCGTGGGTTTCGAGCCCACCCCGAGACCTTCTGCACCGACTCCCACTGATGTCTGCCGTCGTTGTGTCCTTGGGCAAGACACTTAACACACTTTGCCTATAAGGAGCGTGGAAGGGATGTTCACTGCTTGCCTTGATGTGTATGTATATGTGTATGAGTAAGTGTATGTATATGTGTAAGTGTATGTATATGTGTATGTGTATGTACAAAGCCTTGTGAAGGTATTAATCCACTTTGAACTCCTGCACATTTGTCATTTGACAGCCACAACATTTCTATTTCATAATATTTTACTGAAAGACAATAAAGTAACAGATTTTATACATAAGAGAGATTTAAGAAACGCCCTCAGGAGCCAAAATGTACCTTTCCCCAGCCACAAGGCGGCGCTGTGGGCGTAATGTGACCCGAGCCCATTCTCCTACACAAAGGGCAGAATTAGAGGGCACAGGTGCTGCTAGGTTTGGAGGTAAACCGTATCTTACCGTGTCAATTGTGGAATATATTATGTTTATGTGGATTACTGGTCATAGGGGCAAATAAAGAAACCTCTAAAACACTATTTGGACTGTGGTTTGTGGAGAAAAAGCATTTGGGAAACCCTTATAATCTTAGCAGCCATGAAGCGATCTATCGGCAACATCTTCGCCTCTACAAGGATGATGTGGGGCTGCTTTTCTTCAAAAGGGACAGGGAAGAGTGTCAAGAGTTGATGAGAGGGTGAAGGATGCAAAATACAGGACATTACTGGTTTCGAGAGCGGAGGATTGCACTCATGCTGTATGAATACTTATGCAAACCTCAATTTTTCAGATTATTTTTGAAAAGAACTTTGCAGTCGCCTGTTACTTTGATGTAATCTTTCAGGAAAATACAAGAAATTAAAATCTTTATGATTGTGGCTGTAACAGAAACAAAACATGTGTAATTAATACTTTGACAAGGCACTGTACGAGTGTGTGTGATTGTGTGTGTGAGTGTGTGTTCTGCGGATGTGGACTGTGGTGTGAATACCTCCAATCAGATGTGTTGATTATTGTTATAAAGAGAAAAGAAGAATTTTTGTCTGTCAAGAAATTTTTATCATTTTTGTTCAGGAAGCTAGGAGTGGGGACTGAAGCTTGCATTTATAAATATGTATTCAATTTGAAATATCTGACAATAACTTTAAGGTTTGAGCCATAATGTGGAACAAAGGCGACACAATCTCCATGGAAACAAGGAGGCGGAGTCACACACAGAAGCGCACCTTTCAGTAATTCATTTGAAATCAGTTTAACTCATAGTGTTACCAAGGAAACCAGACAAACTGACCCAAAAAGACTCCTCTCTAGGTTTGGCTTTTTTTGCACATTTTCCATGATGTGATTTTACAAATAGTGACAAAGTGCTACGTTATGCGCTATGTTCCAAAGTGTTTTCTTCTGCCGTGTAATAAATGTTTCTCAGTAAAAATGGAATATCTACACCTGGGCAAAAACATTACAACTTACTCCACTCAAATATTAGTCGCTCTGTACATCTCCTCTCCATAATAATCTTAAATAAACTGTGCTTTTGAGCCTTTTAGCAAAATAAAATTATGTATGTCTATCACGGCGCTCTCTTGTGGAAATTGTCTTTGCAAATAGCTCCTAAAATACAAACAAAACATATTTTTTGTACAGAATTTAAATATATTCTTCACACATACACGACCCAACAAATACAGAAAGAGGAAAAACGTTGGATGTAAACAAATAAGAAAATAACCGCGTTGTGGAGAAAGCGTAAATGCGTTTTCCGTCTCTGTCACTGTGCAAAGGGTTCTTCTGTTCGCTCAGTTACCCGTGTGGAGCAAACACAATAATAATAATAATAATAATAATAAAAAGCAACTTAAATATTCATACAAATGTACAGAGAGCTAAATTCCTAAAACACTTTGTGGCGTACATTCAGGAACATTCATGGTGCGTGTGAAATCAAAATAACCACAACGAACAAATGAAATGAATAGAAAATAATAATTAAATAATATTCACAAACAGGTGTGTGTGAAGCCTATGAGTTGCCGTACGGTTGTCATGTGATGCAGTAGCACTAGCAGTCCAGAAGAGGGCGCAGTTATAGCTTCTCCTTTGAGGGAATCCAGATGTAGGGGCCCGCGTGTTCCTCTATGACCAGCTTACATTGGTTATAAATTTCTTCTAAAGTGTCGCCTTGAACCAGCGCTGTGGAAAAAAGAAGAGCTTATTTACACACAAACAACAACAAAAAGAATTGGGATCGAGTGTGAAGTATTAAAGGAGAACTATTCTTGGGTTTCATTTGACGTCAGGGCAGTGGTGCGAATAACAAACGTAGGACAGGACGTGACGTATCCTGGCGGTGCAGTCTGCCGGGTTTATACACGGAGATATAGTAGAAGAAGAAGTGGTTTATACACGGAGATATAGTAGAAGAAGAAGTGGTTTATACACGGAGATATAGTAGAAGAAGAAGTGGTTTATACATGGAGATATAGTAGAAGAAGTGGTTTATACACGGATATATAGTAGAAGAAGAAGTGGTTTATACACGGAGATATAGTAGAAGAAGAAGTGGTTTATACACGGAGATATAGTAGAAGAAGAAGTGGTTTATACACGGAGATATAGTAGAAGAAGAAGTGGTTTATACACGGAGATATAGTAGAAGAAGAAGTGGTTTATACACGGAGATATAGTAGAAGAAGAAGTGGTTTATACACGGAGATATAGTAGAAGAAGAAGTGGTTTATACACGGAGATATAGTAGAAGAAGAAGTGGTTTATACACAGAGATATAGTAGAAGAAGAAGCGCTGTCAAAATGCCATCTTTTTGTGCGGTGTACGCTTGTAGCAACCGCACAAATAGAGAGAAAGACAAGAGTTTGTTCATGTTCCAACTGTGGTCTCAAATAAAGGAGGACACTTTGAAAAAATCACTGGAATGAGGCGGGCGAGGTGGATCAAGGCTTTCCCAGATAAGCGCCCCCTGCAGGCCACTCCAATGAAACGTAGCCATTTATTCTGTTTTTCTTTCCAAAAATGCCCGAAATCAAGACTCTTGAGAAATATTTGTTTGTACTCCCTTTGAATTGAGTGTCCCCGATTAAGACTGTTCCAACAACCGTAGACCGCACAGGAGGAGAGCCTTTGACTCCAAATCAGACTTTATATGGTTTTCAATGGGAGCAAAACTGAGTTGTCCCACCGCTGCTCATTCGCCCCCTACTGGCCAGTTTAATGAAACACAAGAATAGGTAGAGCATTGGCCTTTGAGCCTGAACGTTGAGGATTCGAGTCCATCACCTTCTCCACCAACTCCCACTGAGGTCTACTGTCATTGTGTTCTTGGTCAAGACACTTAACCCCACTTTACCTGAAGCCCCCGCTAAAAGATCATGGCTGTATTGTGAATTTGGTAGTTGCTCTGCCAACTCCCAATCCAGAAATGGATTACCGGGAAGATAATGGATGGACGGATGTACATTATTTTTTACCAATAACAATGGTAATGGGACAATATAATTTCTCATTTCATGTTTTAGAAAACAAAAACACATCTTGCGTAAAAATATATGGTGAAAGATGCAGGAAGGGCAATAAATGTATTGTATTTATTGCACTCTAAGGCGCAATATCAAATTATGGATCTATTTTTATTTATGAGGTGCACCAGATTATAAGGCGCATGGATGACATTAAATAACTATTATTACTATCACTATTGTGTGTATTATGCTTTAAAGATCTAATATGATTAATCCTTTGTGTGCATTTTGAACCTTAAACAGGATCTTTGGCTTTCTATGTTTTAGAATTTGAAATAGTAGTAAGCGCAAGTCAACAAGTGGAAATGTTTACTAATATTTCAATGGCGGATCTTGTGGAAGTCAAACTAAAATGTATTAAAAGAGACAGATTGTACAACATTTTCAGCCATTATCCATGTAACAACACAGTTCTTCATCAAAAACAGAACTGGAGTGGTTTTAGATCCATCCACGCTAACATCAGGAACAAACATGTAACTTTTCTGTCCATCAGCTCCTGTCTCAGACCCGTAATAGTACGATGACATCACACTCGGCTGTTTTTTGCCTTTTATTAAAAAAAAAAGTACTGCCAAAGAATTTGTTTTGTCAATTTCTCATGTGAAATTATATTCTTTACAATGACATGTCTGTGTTTGCTGCCAGTAATGTTTAAACTTAAAAACAAAACCCCTCTGGTGGTACCGCATTTCATTACCTTCACGCTTGTTTCACCAAATATATTCTACTTAAGGATGAGTTCAAGTTTAAGTAAACCAATTGGGGAAAACATGCGTCAGCGGTGGAGACGGTGGTTTGGTTTGGTGGTTGCTTGGTGGCAGTGACTTAAGTCAGTTTGGTGATTTCACATCCCCACAAATGAACCACAAATGATACACTGCGGTTCACCTGGGACTCAAGGGTCAACGCACCCCAACAAAATACGTCACCTTCTAAAACATGGCCAAGACCAGGTAAAACATATATTTGTCTGAATATTCAAAAATAACTACAATTTCTTGTCTCTGTGTGGGGATATTGACATTTAAATCCAACGTGGTGAGGTCTAAATGATGGCATGCAGCTGTAAAGTGTGTCATTTGAGCAGAGACATTCATAAAACTAATGAAGGGGCAGTAAGAGTGTTAAAGAAGCACAAAAATCCCCGCCCGTTTTATTTCTTGGAGCTGAAATAAAACTTGATCTTATTGAAATGATAAAAATGACCTGTAGGCCGTTGCTGCGTTGTGAGATTCGGTATCAAGTCCAGTTTAATATGGTCAATAATGATAGTTATGGTCAAGGAAAAGCTTTCATGGTGTGTTTTCTGGTTGAATTATCTTGGACATGACGCCTGGTGGAGTTGTGGGATCAGCATGAGTGTTTCATCATTGGCTGTGGCAGAGGCCTGTGTGTGCTCATAAGCGACACCGCAGCAGGAGCACACGGCGCTGATTAAAAATACCTGTGAAGAATTCTCCAAACTCCTGCTCCAGCTTCAACGCTCTGTCAAAGGTCTTCTTGGCTTGTTCCTCCGTCAATCGTTTATTCATGTCCCTTTGAAAGAGGAAGGTTCAGCTGTTATGTATTTGAATCAATCGAGAATCCAACAGGAATGGTTTGATTCGGTTTTTCGTTTCATTGTTCAGAAGAAAATAAGCTAAAACTCGTCATCACAGTTTTGTTCTGACTGATGGCCCAACGCTACAGTTTATTGTCCAGCCGGTGATTCAAGAATAAAAATATGAGCTCAGGAGAGTGGCCCTGTAACAGAGGTTTGTGAAAACAGGAGCAATGATAATTCTCTCCAAATCAGTGCAGAACGAGAGGACAGAGAGCTGACGACCCGTATCATAGTGTTTGCATTAATGTGGAAGAAACGGATTAGAGGGAACTCAAACAGGCTCGGCAAGCCGGAATCTGGAGCAGAATGTAGCAACACCCTAGCAACCAAAGAGCCAATCAGGAGCAGACTGGTCTATTTCCACTAGCACTAGCTGCGAGCTCAAACTAGTGATTGGTCAGTTATTAGGACTGATATCTGGATTTACAAATCCATTATCAACATAAGACAATATCAATTATAGTCTTTGAAAGTCACTTATGTATCGTATATAATTCACTACTATACCACATGTGTGTACATACATGTTTAAAAATAAATAAAAGTATGAGGTAATGTATAACATTCAACAATCCTTACATTAATGAATCCACCGATCTGGGTTTAATGAAGATGGCGACAGGATACAATTGTGCTACTTGTAGCCGCTTGATGGCGTTTCCAGACACATCGAGAATACAGTGTTTCCCCTGAAACAAAGTAATAAACCACAGTCTCAAACAGAACACAAAGGAGTTTGTATCAACCCAGAGTCAATCATGCATCTCTTACATAAACTATTTCAACATTGATTAAGAAAATGCTAAAGTTGAACCGCTGTTAACTTCACTCAGAGAGGCCCTGTTCCAATCAGGATTTGAACCCAGGACCTACTTGATGAGAGGTACAGTGATAACCACTCAGCCACCGCCCAGAGCATATATCTGTTAAAAGTTGTGTTTTTAAGTGTGAAACTATTTTAATGTCTTCCAACTACTAAAAGAAGTAGCTTTTTGCCATTCTTGTCTTGAAAAAGTAGCTCTCTGGGGAAAAGGTTGGAGACCCCTGTTCAACGGCATGTGCATGTCAGTTTTCTCTCCGGTTAAATCTGGAGTATCTAACTTTTCTGGTTTCATAAATACATTTTACGTTGGGACTGACATACACACATAATGTTTTCACATTTTCCAGCCCCCGCGGCCATTTTGAATCACTCCAGTACAGCCCAATTTTTGGCCCATTAGTTAGAACGGCGGAGATAGGCGTGACTACGTTCGTTAATATTTACAGTCTATGATTTTGACACAGTTGTTTTAAACAGTACCACATATTGTCAACTTAAGTCAACCGTGGCGCCTAGAGGGCTCAAATTGAAGTAACTATACCTATACATAACTATACCCTATTTCATTGTTTGTGGTTAAAAAGTTAGGTACTCTAGCTTGAGTACCTAACTTCCACCCAAGTCTCATAGCACTCTGGTGCTATGAGACTTGGGTGGCATCTCTGACTGCCACCCCCCTGACCCAGAAATGGATTAAAGGGTCGAAAATGGATGGATGGATGGACTCTAGCTTGAAGGGGTGCTAACACTTTTGCACACACACACATACACACACACTCTAGGCAAATATGACAACGTTGACGGAGCAGTTCTCACCCTCTCTGCCACGTATCGGACAGACTGGACACTGGTCCCGTAGAGATTGTCGTTGTACTGTCCCGCCTCTATAAACTTGTGCTCTTGAATGTCCTTCTCCATCTGCTCTCGGGACATCACAAAGTGGTAGTCCCGCCCGTCCACCTCGTAGTCCCGCTTTGGTCGAGTCGTATCTGTGAATGATCCAAATGATGAGCGTCGTGACTGTGGGACTTTTGCTGAAAACGTTTAGAAACACAAACTACAAGGGACAACTACTGGAAAATTGAAACGAAAACAATACAGGACAAAACACATGAAGAGGTTTACTTCAGGAGCTACAGGAGTTTTTTGTAGCTTTCAACCATGTTACAACATCATCAAAAAGAGACCTGGAGTTGATTTTAGATCTGTCCACGCTGATCAGGGACTTCTGGGTCAAACATGTAACTCCGCCCCTTCTGTCTTAAGCCCAGTTTATACGGAGGCGCTGCGCAGACGTTGCCAAGCTATTAACAGAAGCTATTAACCAGGCTCCTAATGCAAATTTCACAGCGTTCATACGAGGATCAAAAACAATGTGGTTCTAGCGTCCGGCCAGCGTACATTTGTTCTCGGCTCCTGCGCATGTCCAAATGTACGTGCGGGGAGCAGCGGGGAGGTGGGGGTCAGATCAGCACAGCAGCAGAGAATTCACAATTTTTCCCTCACGCAGGTGTGAAAGAGCCCCCGCTGAGCAGTGTATCTGAGCTGTCCCACTCTGAGGTTGGATCTTAACTCTTACGTTTTCAGCTGGAACACAGTCTCTGTATGAACGGGGGGTAGCAACCGACATCCAACTATAGCGTGTTACTGCTGCAGTGTCTCCGTATAAACTGGGCCTTAGTATGACGTCATTGGACGACTATGACGTCACACTAAGAGCAATTTTCTGCCTTTTAAAAATCTCAATTGACTTTTCCGTTTGGTTTTGCTTGTATAACCCCAAATCACAACAGCGGCCGTATTGAAGGATTTAAAAAAAGCTGTCAAATTGCCAACAACAGATTAGTTCAAACACATTGGTCCGTAGACAGAGGGACACCCATTGTCCATAAATATTAATAAATGTTAATAAATAAGCTTTGTCAATTTCTCAGGTAGTTTACGTTCTTCACTATCATATGGCTGTGTTTCCGGTCCGTAATTCTCCAAAACTTTTGCCCTCTAGTATATTTCACCCTGCATTCTTGTGTCACCGTTTATTTTCTACTTAATAATCATTTCACATTCTAAAACATGAAATGAGGGATATAAAAATCCCATTATCATTTTCAATTACAAAAGATAATGTATAGTATTCATTCTTTAAGTATATTGATATACAGTACAGTCAAACCAACTTGAAGCAGGGTTTCAATGTCACACAGACAAAACAAACATTGTAGAGACATCTATCTTCCTATCATTTCTAAAGGGTTCAGTAATTTAGAGTTAATTCAACTTACCTTGCTGCCGTGAACTGTTGGCAGCTACACATGGGTTTAAAGGTAAAGATGGGGACATTAAAGCATGCAGAAGAAACGACAAAAGACAAGTAAAATAAAATGAGATAAACAGTTAGATAAAGTGCTAAACTAGTCCAGTGGGTTGACATGTACCAGCGACAAACGCAACATACATTTTTGTGAAAGACGAGCAAATACAAGACGTGGGGGGGACTTACGTGGCACACAGGAGCCAAACTTTTCAGGGAACTCTGAGATAAGATCGTCGTTAATTCGGTCTTTCATTGGTCCCAGGATGATCACAGGGCGGGCATAACTGACTGCAAATGGATAATAACAGATAGAAAAAAAAAAATGAGGAAGAAAGTAACACTCAAAAACATTTTACCGTTTAATATTTGTTCTAAAGTGGGGGAGACAAACTCATTTTGTTCTGGGCCCAAAAGTATAAAAGTGATTTTGTTATGTTTTATACTTTATGAAGGGATTTTGCCAATTTACTTGGCAAAATCCCAAGTCAAAGGATAGTTACATTTTTACTTAATATTATTGTCCCATTTATATTATTACTATCGCATTATTGTTATTAGTATTATACGTTTTACTATAGATAAGAAATATACAGAAACATGGTATCCTGGGAGTATGTAGTAAATAATAATAAAGTGAAGCACTTACTTTCTTGCCTCATGACAGGTTCATACGACAGAATGACGTCCTCCTGACTCCCTTCATGGACGAAAAGCAGCATTAGTTCAAAGTCTGAGGACAACACAACATGAGCATGCACTGGTCCAGCACATGCAGCACAGCTACAGTCTGGATGGTCCCAGAACTTTGCTTTCAATCATTGAGAGATAGGCCAGTCACAATAATTACTATATCAAATTACCATGTGATAACGAATGGATGGAACAATCAATCAACAATTATACATTTTCTTTGCAACGTGAGAAGATATTTCCATTTTCTCTGTGATACAAAACAATTTTAGCCGAATTCTTTAAACGTGATGTCTGCAACTGATTGTATTTAATTTCTAAAATACATATTTTTGAAAATATGACCCTGTGGTGTCATCTATATCAAGCATCTTTCAAAAAAAATATATTCAAAACTGTCCTCGCCTTGGAATAAGAATCCCCAGTCAGATTTTCTGGAGGAGAATAGTTAGACCATGCATGTCCAAACTCAGGCCCGGGAGCCAGATGCGGCCCCCAGTGTCATGGTATGTGGGCCTCTGCCTTGCTAACTCAAAGCAGTCCATCCAACTTCAGCTCAGCCAACATAGACATGTCGTAATACGTTCCACAGCCCAGAACGTCTGGATTTCAGTCGTTTACTTTATTTGCACATACTGTACTGACATGGTTTTTGATTGTGTTACAAACTTCCATTAATGGTGCTGCTGTAGCTGGTGAGATGGTAAACATTTGTCATTCAGCAAACTTCAGCTTTGTTATAGATCATTTTAAAGCTCAGAACAGCCCAATGCCAGTCAAGACAGTTTTTCAGTCCGTGATGTCGGCCCCTGGACTAGTCTGGTGAACTGAAGTGGCCCGCTTACTAAAATGTTTGGACACCCCTGAGTTAGACCAATGGGGTGGGGCTTCAGCCGTCTGTCAGGGATTTCAATTAATCACTGTATGTCCAACGTAGAAGCTGTGGGGTTGGTTTTATTAAAAAAGAATTTAAAGTATCCACAGAGATCCTCCAGCTGTTTTGTAATGGCACCAATGGCGCAAAGTTGTTTAAATATTATCGTTTCTCAATACATCGCGCATCCTAATGTGTTATTGTGACAGGCCTATTGACACTATGGCATTAAACCTATCCATCCTCAGATTCCACCAGACCAAGAAGATATTAGTCAGATCTGTGGAGAGGCAGCCCCACTCAGAGTAAGAATACGTTACAATGTGTCATGTCCTTTATGAGCCATGTGATTGTATGTTCATGGGAGATTCACCATTGAGGAGTGAGCTTGTTTTGTGGGTTTTCTGCAGCCAATTCTAATGCTATTGCTAGTTAACGATTGGAATCAGCAGTCGGAAAATGTTTTAGAGGTCATCACATAATGCATTCAGGGATAATGCTGCAAATAGAATACTAGATGTGTGTTTCCATGTTCCCTCTAATCTATTTGTGGCAGGTTTGTTTATGACTCACCTTCTGCAGCTGTGGTCATTTGTGTCATGTACTTTTTCACAAAACAATGAAGGTAATTTGAATGTAGTATTCTCATTGAATATGGATTTGGATATTGTTTTAAGATTTTCTGAGAACATTTGTAGAGTTATGCTTGGATGGAAACAGAACTGGACCATCTGTAAAACTGGTTTGGTTTGGTAAATTGGTTTACATATTTGCGTTCTGTCGGTTATAATGTTTTTTTGTTGTTGAGAAAATAAGCTTTAAAATCAGGTGTCCTATATATTAAAGATGCATTATGGCACTATATAGTATGTGATAAAATAAAAGTATATATTTTTGCATATTTGACCCAGTGGCTGTATGAGTGGTCAGCATGAGGCCTTTACTTTCACTGCACTGCCGACATAACCGTGACCAAAAGTGACCATCTTCCGGCTCCGGGGTCTCTACAAGATTAAATATGCATCTTCCCATATTCACCAAGTGATGGCAGAGATTTCCAAAAACCTATATTATAGGTTTCATATATTGGTACAAACACATATCTAATCAAGACACAATGATGCAGCTAGATAAGTTTAATGCCATTTTGTAAAATAGTTTAGGCAATAATATTTATGAACACAAGCAGGTAGAAGAACATTGTAGAAATAACATATATGCAGCTATGAAGTAACCTAAAAAAGCATTTTAGGTTTAGTGTGTTTAAAAATAATAAATCAGTACGTTTCTAGACATCCAAAAAAAGACAATATTGATTTGAAAGCAGCATGCAGCATCGCAGGCAAAAACAAGACGCTCATTGTTTGGGAAGAGATAAAAGAACAAGAAAAATCCTTCCTGGACCAACTTACTGAACGTCTTTGTCCCATACCCATCATCACCTAATCCCAGGATGTCCTACCGGAGCACAGAGACAGGCACAGACGCAACAGAGGCAGAAGGAAGAGGCTGTTAGAAACTGAGCTGTACAGTGCCATCAGGGTGCACTGACGCTGCGGCGCCACCAGGGGGAGCCAAACTCAATACTGTGCCGTGTAGAAGGCTGCGTTCATATGTCCTAAAGAGCCTATAGTTTTACATTCTGGTGGAGGGCAGCCACATTTTTTCCCCTGGTAACTATAGTGACTGTAAGATTTCGAGTCTTCACCTATATATTTTTGGATATTGCTCATGTAATATTTGTGTATTATAGGCGCAATCAATCCCTGGGTCAATCCACATGAAACAAAACTGTCTCAAAGTTTTGCTTTAGTAAATAATGTTGGGTTTTCTCAATAATAAAAAATAAAATCGTTATCCACACTATTATTAGTAACACAACTGTATGTATGTATGTGTGTATGTGTGTGTGTGTGTGTGTGTGTGTGTGTGTGTGTGTGTGTGTGTGTGTGTGTGTGTGTGTGTGTGTGTGTGTGTGTGTGTGTGTGTGTGTGTGTGTGTGTGTGTGTGTGTGTGTGTGTGTGTGTGTGTGTGTGTGTGTGTGTGTGTGTGTGTGTGTGTGTGTGTGTGTGTGTGTGTGTGTGTGTGTGTGTGTGTGTGTGTGTGTGTGTGTGTGTGTGTGTGTGTGTGTGTGTGTGTGTGTGTGTGTGTGTGTGTGTGTGTGTACTGTATGTGCAGTAAGCAAGAAATAGTATGGTATCTTCATAAAAATATTGTCAAATACTTAGGGCTGTAACATTTCAAGCTCAAAATAATCAAACAAAATTTATTAAACGTATTGGCCCTTGCTCTTCAATTTTCCAACATGAACACATGCTTTATACAGGAGCATATGGGACCAACCAGCATCAGTTTGGCTTGGCTCCTGGTGGCCCCTCAGCCTCGCGCACTCGCTGAGGATGGCTGCGGTCCCAGACGAGAAGAAGTCCACAAAAGGCGGTCGGAAAACGGAAAACCCTGTCTGTGAGCCCTACTCTGACCAGTGCGTGTGCGGTGCCTTACTCACTGTCAGAATCACTGCCGTCCTGATCGCTCTCCTTGTTCTTGTAGAAGGGGAATTTTCGTGTAAAGATGAAATTCTTTTTACGTTTGTCAGTGAGTGACTGTGAAGGGAGAGAAAGCATGGAGCAAACCGGTGTCACGGGCATGCAGACAAAACAAACCTCTTGCACACTGAAGGACGTCAAGCCTGGTGAACAATGTCAATACCTGTCTGAGAATAGTGCATGCTTTCCCAATGTGTCTACCTTTAAATTTATATTATAGAGGTATATAAGTCTATATTATGGATAGAGACTTTATAATGTTGTCATTGTTTCTATAGGTTATTTCTACAACTTTGATTTAGGGCTGAAAGTGAATTTAATTTATTCTCATTGGGTTTTAAACTTCACAAAGTTACAAAATATTCCATTGTTAAATTAAAAAGTGTTTTTAAAAATGCATTTCTAATCAAAGAACTGTAATTGTCTTACATCTAGTCCAGGATAACTCAAAGCAGGCTTGCCGAAAAATCTAATCCGGACCACTAGCCATTTTCAATAAAAAATGCATACATTTGTTCAATACGATACAATAGAGGTTTGGTAGCATTTTCTTTAATTAATATATATATACAAAATTTGAACATTCTGTCGTGTTGATCTAGACTCTATGAAGATGTTCTTGAGTGGCTTTGGATTTAAACCTCCCTATGGACCAATACATATGTTATATGTTTTGTGTGTTAACTGTTGATTCTCTGATCTGTGTTGGTGATTTCAATGGTTTTGTTAAGTCTCTAAGATGACTACTGCCATGATTTAGGGCTATACAAGAATAAATGGTCTTATATTGTAAACAACTAACTAAGAATAATTGCCCATTAAACTTTTAAGTTAAGCCTTGAAGCAGAGTTACCTAATATTTTTAGTCTGGCCTCTGTCACGTGTTTAGATCAGCTTTTTCCCACAGAAAAGTAAAAAAACAGAGAACCATCCAGCATTCGGCCCAAATTGTCAAATAATGACTTACAAGGCAGTATGCAAAATAGGTTTTCTAATTAATCTGAGATGAAGGCAGCATGCCGTGGTCTGACATGTTCTTTCTGTTGCTACATAGACAATTTATTATTTATAAGCTATCCAAGCTTTAAAGGTATTTTTACCGTTGCTCCAAATAAAAAAAACATGGTAACTAATAACAAATGTGACCTTTTTAAGAATATTTACCTCCATCATGTTTTTTAATTGTTGTCATGGGCTTAGAATTTTACTTATAAATGTCCGTGAGGCTGGAGGACTCTACATGTCAATGCGCCATCTTGAAATACAGTGGTTGATAAGGGACAAAAAGGAGTTAGAGCTGGAGTTGGGGACCACTGTCAAAGACGACATATTGTCCTGCGAAGCCACCGTAGTACCGAAAATTACCATATATGATCTCAATGCTAGATGGGACTAAAAACTACACAGTGTACCTTTAAGTTTTCCCTAATTCGAGCCAGATATCAAAACATTGTCGTTCTTCTTGATGTCCCACAGTTGCAAGATTGGCAGAAAAAGTAAAAAATAGAAAAGTGACAGTACGTTTCCATGCAAGTACAGACACATGCAGAGACGAAAGTGTACGTTTTGATTCTATGGCTTCTTTAACTTAAAACAAAAATGAAAAAAAGCAATAACATGTATACACAAGCATGCTGGCTGTTTTGTACGTGCATAAGTTGAAGGAATGATTTGAAGGTGTGACTGCTGTCCTCTACTTTGACCTAATATATCATTGTATATAGATGTTCAGTCGCATCTATAGGAACTACTTTTACTGTTTGTTTTCTCCAACAACAGTACAATCCTTTCACATACAGGTGAAACTGGTAAAAGTCAATTCACTTATTGTCGTTCAACTTACAATGTGAAGCTAATAGTATAACACACTGGACTTGTTTTTATGTGATCAGTGCCATTGTCTAAGCAGAATTTAGTTGAAACACTGTCATTTGTCTGTCGTCTCTGATTTGCCCCATCAGCTGTTGGTTAAGTGTTACAATACAACATGAAAACCTGCGGCTTATATTCAGGTGTGGCCTATATTCTTGGGTTTCATTAAACTGGCCAGTAGGGGGCGAATGAGCAGCGGTTGGACACCTCAGTTTTGCTCCCATTGAAAACCATGTAAAGTCTGTTTTGGAGTCAAAGGCTCTCCTCCTGTGCGGTGTACGGTTGTTGGAACAGTCTTAATCGGGGACACTCAATTCTAAGGGAGTACTAACAAATATTTCTCAAAAGAGTCTTGATTTCGGGCATTTTTGAAAAAAAAAAAAAAAAACAGAAGAAATTGCTGCGTTTCATTGGGGTGGCCTGCAGGGGGCGCTTATCTGGGAAAGCCTTGATCCACCTGGCCCGCCTCATTCCAGTGATGTTTTCAAAGTATCCTCCTTTACCACAATTGGAACATGAACAAACTCTTGTCTTTCTCTATTTGTGCGGTTGCTATAAGCGTACACCGCACAAAAAGATAGCATTTTGACAGCTCTTCTTCTACTATATCTCCGTGTATAAACCACTTCTTCTACTATATCTCCGTGTATAAACCACTTCTTCTACTTTATCTCCGTGTATAAACCCGGCACACTGCACCGCCAGGGTACGTCACGTCCTGTCCTACGTTTGTTATTCGCGCCACTGCCCTGACGTCAAATGAAACCCAAGAATTGTGGACAAAATGTACTCTCTCTTTAGATGTAGCTGATGCATTTTATTGTCCAGCATGTACTATACATAGATAAAATAGATGTACATGGTTTGAAAAGAGACTGGATTTAGCTAGTTACACTCGTGGTCTCGCCCATGTGCACATTTCGCAGCACTTAACTTACTTTATGACTTCCCTTATGTCACTTACCCCTTTTGAATCGAATGATCCGGGCTTGGCATTGAATTTCACAGTTTTTAGTCTGGCCCGCTCTTTCCTTTCCACGCTGCCAAAGCACAGAGCACACATACACCTCAGCAAAGACGAAACATGGGCATTCTTCATCGTTCAAACGGCTCCGACAGTGTCCCCCGAGCTCACCGGCGTTTGCTGGGGATGACGCCCATCTCTTCACTGTCGCCGTGCGGAGTGACTCGCCGCGCCTGCCACCACTCGTCGTCAGAGGCGTTGATGACGTGAAGGATGTCCCCGTATCTGAAGCTCAAGCCCTGGCTGGGGAGGCCGCTGTCTTTGGACTTCTCATAGTCAAATAAAGCCCTGCGCAGAGAGGAACATGAGTGAGATGGTGAGAGTGGATACAGATTCACTTCATTTGTTGTTCACAGTGTTCATGGTTTTGCATTGAACCAAGTGGATCAGGTGAAAATCCACTAGAAGAATGCTGACTTTTAGAAAAATGCTAATGAAGCATTTAGCATTTTACTTTAGAGCAGAGAAAATGGTCAGAATCAAGCGGGTACTCCACCTTTTGACCTTTCCTCCACCTCTGCTGCTGTGACCCGTCCTGCTCCTCCCAGAGGCTACTCCACCTCTGCTGCTGTGACCCGTCCTGCTCCTCCCAGAGGCTACTCCACCTGTGCTGCTGTGACCCGTCCTGCTCCACCCAGAGGCTACTCCACCTGTGCTGCTGTGACCCGTCCTGCTCCACCCAGAGGCTACTCCACCTCTGCTGCTGTGACCTATCCTGCTACTCAATATGGGCTGCTGTGACCCGTCCTGCTCCACCCAGCGGCTACACCACCATTTTAATACTACTACTATTGTCAGATACTTATAGAATTATTTATTTTTTTGTTTTGTTTGTATGGATAGATATGTTTCTGCTGTAAACGAAAACGTACATTTCTCCTACAGGGGATCAATAAAGTATCTAATTCAATAAAGAGCTATAAAGGCATGTCCAAACTAAACTTTGTCATTGTATGTGGCCCTTTCCCTACTAACCCGAAGTAGTCTAAAGGTCACAATGTCATCCAGCCAACTTCAGCTCCGCCAACATAGCCCTGTTAAACATTGTGAAGCTAAGGATCTCTTGAATCCAGTCATTTGCCTGTGACCCGTATTAAGAGTTCTGAGCTTCCGGCTCGACCGCACGGCATTGTGGGTAGTTTTCTCAAAAAAGTGGGCATTAAATCACTCTGCCGTATTGTATTACATGTTGTGAACGTGATCTCTCTCTCTTGTTTTCAGCCCATAGATTGGTGAATTTTTAAACAATTAAAACAATCAGACATTTAGAAGGTAAGGTAAAGATTTTTTCATGTAACAAAAAAGCAATGCATTTTTTTCTTGTGGTTTTAGATGTAAACACAACCGACTGACGATAGAGCTACACGCAGCTTATGCTCCTTACAAGGATAAATAACATTCAGAGTGGGGACATTATTGAGCGGTGTGCAGTATAGAGGTGTGCAGTATAGAGAGGTGCAGTATAGAGGTGTGCAGTATAGAGAGGTGCAGTATAGAGGTGTGCAGTATAGAGAGGTGCAGTATAGAGAGGTGTGCAGTATAGAGAGGTGTGCAGTATAGAGAGGTGCAGTATAGAGAGGTGTGCAGTATAGAGAGGTGCAGTATAGAGAGGTGCAGTATAGAGAGGTGTGCAGTATAGAGAGGTGCAGTATAGAGAGGTGTGCAGTATAGAGAGGTGCAGTATAGAGAGGTGTGCAGTATAGAGAGGTGCAGTATAGAGAGGTGCAGTATAGAGAGGTGCAGTATAGAGAGGTGTGCAGTACAGAGAATTGTGCAGTATAGAGAGGTGCAGTATAGAGAGGTGTGCAGTACAGAGAATTGTGCAGTATAGAGAGGTGCAGTATAGAGAGGTGTGCAGTACAGAGAATTGTGCAGTATAGAGAGGTGCAGTATAGAGAGGTGTGCAGTACAGAGAATTGTGCAGTATAGAGAGGTGCAGTATAGAGAGGTGTGCAGTACAGAGAATTGTGCAGTATAGAGAGGTGTGCAGTACAGAGAATTGTGCAGTATAGAGAGGTGCAGTATAGAGAGGTGCAGTATAGAGAGGTGTGCAGTACAGAGAATTGTGCAGTATAGAGAGGTGCAGTATAGAGAGGTGCAGTATAGAGAGGTGTGCAGTACAGAGAATTGTGCAGTATAGAGAGGTGCAGTATAGAGAGGTGCAGTACAGAGAGGTGCAGTATAGAGAGGTGCAGTACAGAGAGGTGTGCAGTAAAGCCCTGCACGGGCCTATTATCTGGGCCCGAGCCCGGCCCTGGCTCGAGGGGGTGGCGCCCCAGCCCGGCCCGGCCCAATATGGTTTCTGAATTTTCAGGCCCAAAACCTGCATCAAGCCCGACTTTCTTTTTTTTTGTAACTTCCCATAACAATGTTTTAGCGTAGTGTATATAGTGCCGCGCACTGATATGAACGCAGACTTAGCTAGAGTAGCATAAGTAAGGAGCATAAGCTGCGTGTAGCTCTATCGTCAGTCGGTTGTGTTTACATCTAAAACCACAAGAAAAAAATGCATTGCTTTTTTGTTAAATGAAAAAATCTTAACCTTACCTTCGAAATGTCTGAAATTGGTGAATTTTTAAACTATTAAAACAATTTATGGGCTGAAAACAAGAGCGAGAGATCACGTTCACAACATGTAATACAATACGGCAGAGTGATTAGATGCCCACTTTTTTGAAAAAACTACCCACAATGCCGTGCGGTCGAGCCGGAAGCTCGGAACTCTTAATGCATGTGTGACTCTACTGACATTTCTTTTCTATTGTATGACGCTAATGCAAACATTGAATGAACAAGTCAACAACTGTATGAACAAACCTGTATTCTCAACAGCAGCAGGAGGTTCTCACATTTGGAACAGTATCTATCCCCCACACTACGCAAGAATTTTTTTTTTGAATGAAACTAACATTCCCCAGAAGAGCACATGAAAAACATGTGTCTTATCTTTTTATATAGTTCTAAATTTCACAATAGCCCTGCGCTTCTGTCGCTGTGTGTCACATTGTTGCATGTACAGTATGTTGACATATTGCCCGCTACTAACGTCACAACTTTTACTACTTCATGTGTCTTTTGGTGGCGTCTCATGTTTTTGTACATTTACAAATAAATAGCTCTGTAGTGGCCTGATTTATTGACAACATTTTACTTTTAAGAGATTGTGTCTGTTATCAAACAACTTGTATAATGTATGGGGAAGAAAAGAATGCATTGGTTTTACATAGCTCTATAAAAGTTCATCACAGCATTAATGACTGAACAAAACAAAATGATCCGAGCAGAATGAATGAAAAAGTGCAGACTAAACTGCAGGAGGGCTGAAGGACAGTGAGGATCCACAACATTTAGGGACATTAGTCATCCTGCTCCCGATGGACTAGACTTCTAAGGGTTTGTTAATACTGCATTTCCTGTAATTAAAGTGATCCTCCGAGACGACTGCTGTTGTGGTTTAGGGCTATACACAAATACTTTGAATTGAATAATACAGATAGTATTTTATGGGTGACAGTAGCACAGTTGGTAGAGCATTGGGCTTTGAGCCAGAAGGTCATGGGTTCCCACTGATGTCTGCTGTTGTTGTGTCCTTGGCAAGACACTTAACCTCTGGGAACACCTGATGCCACAGTGGGGCGGCTGCGGCTGTAAAGTGCCAAACTGCCGTTGTGTCCTTAGGCAAGACACTTCACCCGAATTGCCTAGTGGTGGTCGGAGGGGCCGATGACACATACTGATTGCCTTACTTCTGTCAGTGTGCCCCAGGGCAGCCGTGGCTACAGTAGTATTTTATCACCACCGTGTGTGGAGTGAAAGAATAATGACATGTAAAGTGTCTTTGTGTCCAATAAAGCGCTTTATAAATCCAATGTATTATTATTATTATTATTATTATTATAGTGTATTATTATTATTATTATTATTATTATAGTTTATTATTATTATTATAGTTTTTTTTATTATTATTATTATTATTATTATTATTATTATTATAGTGTATTATTTTCCAACACAATGAATCAAAGTGAATTGAACTGGGACTGTAACAAGTTAATTGATTACTTGTAACGACTTGACATTTTTTTTGTTCTAAATTAAAAAATTCCATATTCACTGACTTTTATGGATCCAAACAACTTTTCGATGTATTGAATAATCAGCCAAATAATGAATTATCAAAATGAGCATTAATCATTATATTGAACAAACCATGACTTGAAATCCGGGTGTAATTATAGCCTCTTCTGTCCCTAAATGAGTCTTATTGAGAGGTCCATGGGGGGTGCTATAAAAAGCATCCACTCATATCCACACATCTCATCTTTTTCTATTCAATTCCAATTATAATAACCCTTGTACTAACTTTAGAGATAATTAGAATGACGCCTGGTGTAAATTTACATGCAGAATGAGTTTAGCTTGAACACTGGGAACGAGGTTGAAATCCAAAATGGGCTGACCTCACATAGAGCGACCTCTTCTGATTGGTTCGGAGGGATCCTGACCCAGAGCTCATGCTGTGGTTCATCATCTGTTCCCGCAGGTCATGGATTTTGGCCTCGAAACGCCCGTACTCTGCAAGACAAGATCAGCATGTGTCAGTGCAGGCAGCCTGGACACAAGCATGGCTCCAAATGCATGCTGGGAAGCAGGGACCAAACAACCAAACCAACAGCAAGGGATATTTACAGATCAGAAAAGAAAAATACAAGCTTTTTTTCCTTCTTATTTAGAATGAGTTACAAGGTCATAAATACTCAAATATTGTAAAATGCAATTGATAAACAGAATAAACTACATCTTTTAGACACAGGGGACTTTAAATTCTAAGCAAGTCATAAAAAACAAGGTCTAATTTGACATTTTATATAAAAAAAGAATGATTTTAGTTCTGAATATCAGTAAGTTGTGGCACCATAAAAATACAGATTGTGTATGTGATATTGTCAAAATATGAAAACCTTAAGTTGAATTTAAAGGCAGTAAAAATCTAATATAACACCATTTAGCACAAACCTTACTATAGACGGATGCACTATTTTCCTCAAAATGCTGTATTCCTCAGTTTGAGTCACATTTACATATCGTATGTATCCCTGAGCCATGTATTGATGTTTATGGGCACGAAGGAATGCCTCTTGGCAAAGTAAGAGTGTGTCAGGATGTGCCGGTCCATCACAGCGCTGACAAGTCTTCCTTTCCTGACAGCACACTGACTGCAAGCAGAGCCCGGCTGATAACTTAGAATATATGCACCGGTAATGACTTCAGCCATGACACCTGCCCACTGCACAACCACACAGGAGCCTACAAACCCAAGCGTGTTACTCTCATAGAAATACATGTAGGAAGTCACGTGTCCTGTCAAGTTACAAAATATACGGAACAGCACAAATATAGATAGCAATAATATAACTTTGCAGAAAAATCAGCTTAAACTATGCTAGTAAAAGAAATCAATAAAACATCACATGACATGATGCAAATGCAGCATACATACCTGTCTGCATGTTGGGTCTAATGTCGTGACCTTTCGATGGTCACCTGTCTGACCGTGAGCTCAGCTGAGACTGTCTGCCTGCTGTGTACTGTTTAAGTGTGCACATCTCTCTCCCTTGTGGCTGCATATAAGACGCCTAGCACAGGGGCGGAGCCACACAAGACCAGTGGACTAAGCACGACATCAGGGACACTTCAGGATTTATCTTCACTACACTGCTTGTAATGCATTTAATACAATCATTGAAATCATACTTGAATCAATCAAAAAAGTGTACCATCAGTGGAAGTGTGCATCAAGGAACAAAAAAGTAGATATTACCAACACAACATGACTATTAAGAAAATGTCCCATTAGCACTATAAAGGAATAGGCTAGAAATGTTAAAGAATGTTTTCAGTGTCTGCAGTGTCATGTATCAACCAAGTGAAAACATGCTTTTTAGGAGGAGACACAGTTGGGGGCGCAGCGTGGGCAGAGGGGCATGGGGAGTGAGTGCAGGTGCAGGCTGGGACAGTGCAGGTCATGTGGTTGGGTTAAAACATTTGGTGAAGGAGACATGACACCGTCTGTGACAGCATTCACTCAGAGGCTCTCAGAGCCCTGTGGTGAATGACCTAATGCTCAGAGGTACCAGGCACAAACCTGGAGCTGGAGAAGCAGCCCGCCTCGGAGAGCAAAGAGCAAGTTCTGATGGTGAGAAGAGAGAGCAGTTAGTCCCACAGCAGGCTACGGCCCACTAAGTCTGCTACACGTCACTCACATGGAACTGAGGCAATCAGCTGGACAAGTGTGACCAGTCACTGATGAAGGGGATTCTGACTCATGCCCAAACTCAGAGCAAGGCTTTGATGTCCCAGAGTTGAGCTCGCCGACACAAACTGTCTCTTAAGTCCGTCATGTCATACCATAACAGTGTGGAAATCAAACTCAGAGTGTGCGTCAAAACAAAGTGCAAACAAACTAGACTTCCGTTAAAAGCTTCATGCTCTGTGCATTGTTTTGTTTTGACCGCAGAGTTGTTTTGGGTGGGTGGTGACGGTTTAAAAGAGGCGACATTCTGGGGTTGGCACCTCTGTGACACTGAGATCCATGACCATGACTGGGCGTGCACCGCCCTCAGCATCGCTGCCTATGTTGACCCTAATGAGAGGAGGCATGCCACCCGTCGAAGCTGTCTCATCCTCTGCATGTTCACAGCGCCACACTGTCACACACTTCACGTCTCACATTCACTTATTGAGTTTGGGCCGAGGGTTTATTGGAACATTTCACGGCACTCATATGCTAACTCCGGGTTGAACTTCACTTCAGTTATTGCTATAAGCAGTTGGTTGATCTTGGGTAGAGTTTTGCAAAGGAAGGTAGTAGTTTTGTGTGTCAGATGGTGCAGACTCACCTTCTGGTCTGTACTGGGCGATGATAGTGACCACCTGTCCCGCGCCTTTGAGTGCTGCTGCAGCCTGCTCATGAGTGGCTCCTCGGAGGTCGATGCCGTTTACCTGGACACAAACAAAGTTAGCTGTTAGTGTTAGACGGCTGCCTCCCTGGCATCAGCATGGACCTCTGCAGGCTCTTGTCACGTGGGTTACAGTGTGCAGCTCCTTAGCTCAATAAATTGTTAATCACAACTAACTTGTCAAAACAATTAAACTATTATTGATAATAATTATTAGTTTAGTAATCAATTGCTTTTGTTAACCTTACATAGATTAAAACACGCTGAGAACAGGTTTTATGACTCAAATACATTTTGACAGCAGATTAAAATCTAACTATATTTCCAAATAGTTCTAGAAACCCATCTTAAATAACTAATACTAATAAGTATAAACTATATACCAATTGAATGGACCTATCAGAATTAAAGAAAAGAAAAATGCAATTGTTCAATGTCGCTTAACTTTGCAACAAGCCAATAATGCTCCCATGTGCACTAGTAGTAGACAGATATAATTGATTATCATTTATTTTTGTCAACTTATCTGATAAAGTATTATATTTGTCACCCTCCATTTTGTTGTAATTTGCCGTCCTATTGTTTTTGAAGCAGGTTCTCTCTTTGTCTGTTTTTGCATTAACTGATTGCCATTTCAAAATACACATTGCAAGATTAAATATCCACATTTTTTCATTCACAAAGGAGTACCGGGGTTAGTAACTTTGTAGGATTTAGGGTTGTGACTGAGAGAGGGCCTGCAATCCTGGGATACATCCGGGGTGTATGGGTACATGTCTGTAAACGGGCCCACCCCTGTTTACAGCCAAAAGAGACAGAACTCTTAGAATGGGGTATCCTCTCCTCATCTGTATGTATATTTATTCCACCACTAATACACTTCTGTTTAACATTCAGTTAGCTTGTTGTGGAGAGGACAACAGAAAAGCCCAAAAACAACCCCAGGTGGGATGCAAAACAGTGAAAGTTATCAGCTTATGCTCAATAGGTCGGAGGAGGCTGAGAGAGTTATTCTTAGCCTTCGAAACCAGGCCAGCGTGGGAGAGTCGACTGTCCGCTTTCATCACGGTCGACGCTGGTACTGATGTGTTTTAGACCCAGTCAGTGCCGTGTCCGTGGAAGTGCGTGTATAGCATGTACAGTACGTTCCGGATGAAACCTGAGTGTGTTGTTGTGTGCTTTGTGGCCTGAGTAGCGAGCAGCTAACTGGAAGTGATCTGCTTAATGAGGCCGGGCAGTCATTTAACCCCAAATTTTGTTTTTTTCCAACAGAAAGAGCCAGGTGTAGAAAACATGTTATCGTTTGCTGATTGGTGGTCCACTCTCTCTCACTCACTTTTTTATCATGACATAATTCAGTTTGAAAATCAGATATGAAAGCTTTAACTTGTTGACAAATCAAGTTATTGTTACATTTTTGAGCCTTTAACCATCTTAGAACATAGCTCTTCACCCGAAACAGACCTGGTGTTGTTTTCAGATCCATCTACTCTAATAACGTCGCCCCTTCAGCCTAAAAGTCTCAGCACTGTAAAAAGTGGTTCCACTATGACATCACGCTCAGAGCAGGTTTTAAAACAAAAATATTGCCCATAAATTAGTTTAGGTGAATTCTCAGAACGTCAAACAAATGTGACGTAGAAAGGGCCCATGGCTGATCGCATTGTTTATTAGCCTTGATCCTTGTTTCAGTATTTGGTCTACTCAAGATATTTAACATGAAAAGTATAACTATCATTTGCAACAACAAAAATCATGTTTTTTGACTGGCTCTTAAACCCAGATTACACTTTCACTTCCCCTTAACTCGTGTGCCAGTGCTTCTATAGTCCTCACAAAAGTATTTATGTGTACATTGTCAATCATTTGCTGATGATAGCTATTGTTATACTTGAGAAAATATTAAGGGCGTCAAATGTAAATGCTAACACCTCTGTACCTCGGGTTGGGAATGCTAATAACATGATCATTTCTCTCATATTTTCACATTTTGGTTCTATCAGTCTGATCGGATTTTTCAGAGAGAAAAGTGAAAATAAAGAGGACCACCCTCCCTCAGTGTTGGTATGGATTTTCCCCCTTATCTGATATTCACCCCCCCTGACCAATCCCGTGGAACCTGAGAGTGACCTCACAGCAGTATATAGAGAGCTGGGACGGACTAGTTTGGGCTCTTGGTCGGTGTCAACTCTGTAAGCAACATGTAGCAGCCTAATACTGAGGTCCAGAGCCTCCAGAGTTCTCTCTCTCTCTCTCTCCAACCATCTCTCCTCAGGGTATGATATTTTCTGTTTTGTATGTATCTTGTTATAATTCAGTGTCGTTAAATGTCCTCTTTTATAAGCAACGATTACACTTTCATGATAACACTCAGCCAATCAGCTTTCAGCATATATTAGTGATTCACAGAGCTCTTTCTGTATGTAAAAGACTAGATGTTTTAGAATAAGATGACCAAATGTTTTTTTGTGGACAAACATGGTGCATTATTTAAGAAAGAAAGCTTGCTACCCCAGCTTTATCACTACAGAAAATTCAAATCATATATTGCATTTGTGCTGCGTGCTAGCAAGTCAAATCATACACACTAAAGTTATCTTCACAATTTATTTCAAACCTTTCCTTTTGATATATTCATAAGCCTATATTCAAAGCAGGCATGGTTAAACACAGTGATGCTGAGTGTGGTTGTGACATCTCCCGACTCACCGATAAGATCTGGTCTCCTCTCCGCAGCTCTCCGCTCAGGTCGGCGGGCCCTCCAGCCAGGATGAAGGACACAAAAATGCCCTCTCCATCCTCGCCGCCCACGATGTTGAATCCCAGGCCTGTGGAGCCTTTGTGCAGCACCACCTTCCGGGGGTCTCTGTACAGACAGTCGAGATAGTACATGAGCTCGGGGGGGTCCGTGTGATGCAGCATGGTCCGCACCGGAGAGAGGAACCTGACAGGACTTCAACACAAGTCTGACTGAAGCCGCGCTCGCCAAACTCTGTAACGAAGCTGCTCCACTGGGGGATGTGCTCTACTTTAGTGCTACTGTCCCCGATTCTTCTGAGGCACAAGAGGAACCACTCTGTTTCAACACATAACATGATCTAACCTTCTGCTTTCAGATATATAAATACCAGCGCTGTAACAAGTTCATCAATTAATCGCAACAAATCCATTATTGAAATGGATGTCAAAAACCACAAGCAAACATTTTGGGAATACAGGATTATAAAAAAAATCAGGTATGAATGTAATCAATATCTAACACACATACATACACTTTGAATTATCTAATCCAGTGGTTCTCAAACTTTTTACACCAAGTACCACCTCAGAAACTACTTGCCTCTCCAAGTACCATCACAAATGACCAACACCACACAGTAGCGTAGTAAGCCTAAGTATTCATCAAAAACAAGGCAGAGCTTTCATTCCTAAAGAAGTATATTTAATATTGTCAGCCATTGTAACATTTTACACAGTTTCAAAAGTAAGACTGTGCTTAAATATAAAAAACTGTACTTCAAATGATCTTTTGTTGCTCTCTTTGCACAGAACTTTGTATTTGCTGCTCCTTCTACATGGATCGTGTTGCAAAAAGACTGGTAATTGTCTGAATTATTTCGTTGAATGCTTTTAGATCCAGATTGAGAACACTTGAGACATCTTCAGTGAAATGTAACTGTTTTTATAATCCGTAATTATACGAAATTGTTTGTAACTGTTTTATAATCAGTATGTCATTTTTGCCCAGGACTCCCTTGAAAAAGAGGTTCTTAATCTCAATGGGACTTTCCTGGTTACATTTTTAAAAAAGTGAAACAAAAATATATATATTTCAGTGATTCTTTGGCGTACCACTAACGGGAGCCACACTTTGAGAACCACTAGTTTAATCTGATACGGAGTGAGTCCCAATTCAAATCCAACGATAAATACTGTATATATTTCAAGTGTTAACTGCTGCCAATCAGGCGGGGCCCTGACACTGGCTCCTCACTGCTCCATCTTGCAAGAAAAACTGGACAGATGTTGTACACGGAATCCTTTTAGACTGACGTTTTGAATGGGCCTAGAACTGACAACATTCTCAAAGAAATGGTCAAACTGGACGTCGCATGTTAACGCATCATAGTTTAAATCCGGGTGAAATGAGTATCTATGTTTTATCTATGATGTTTTATTTTCTTGTATGATTATTTGAATGTTTCCTCTTCCTTCAAAAGCACAGCTGCCTTATGTATAAACTGTGCTGTAAGTTTTTGTTTACCTTAGAAAGAAATAAGCATGCTGAATAGGTGTTTGATGCAGAACAGTCTATATTGTCTGCAGAATGAAATGTGTAATGATGTAACAAGTCATCTGTTTGAAAATCTTCTCAAATCCATCCATTTTCTACCCTTTAATCCATTTCTGGGTCAGGGGGGTGGCAATCAGAGATGCCACCCAAGTCTCATAGCACCAGCCCCTCACTGACCCTCTGCAGGTGGTGAGTCCACAGGAGGACGGCTGCTCTGAGTTTGAGCATAGCCTTGATCTTTCAGTGGGGGCTTTGGGCAAAGTGGGGTTAAGTGTCTTGCCCAAGGACACAACGACAGCAGTCATCAGTGGGAGTCGGTGGAGAAGGTGCAGAGGTGGGAATTGAACCCACAACCTTCTGGCCATAAGGCCAATGCTCTACCAACTGAGCTACTGTCGCCCTATCTTCTCAAATGTTTTTTTCTAAAATATAAAAATAATCCCATATTCACTGCCGTTTGGAGATCCAGCCAATCTATAGATAGAATGAAAAATCGTCTGACAATTGATTAAACCCCTCATTTATACAAAACTTAGAATTAATCAACAAATACCAATCACTACATAATCACAAGTACAACACAATATAAAATAAACGTTATTAAAACCTAATTTTCAAACTACAAAATAATAGAGCTATATCATGAAATCCAACTATCTTGTTCCTAGTCACTAATTTTCACATTCATGTATTTTTAGCCTCCGTCGTAACTTTCTCTCTTTGGTCCAATTAGTTCATAAATGGTTACTTTTCTAAGACTATTTCTGCTAGGACCAAAAAAGTTTGAATCCCCATGAACAGTCACTAAAGTAAAGTTTGGAGTAAAATATTTCAGGCCAAACTAGAGAGTAGATGCTACAGCATGAGGGTCAATAGTTTCTTCCTCTGTACAACACTGCCACCTACTGGACATGAGAACAAACTACAGAAGCGATATTTGCGAAGTACTTTCACCCTTTGAGGCAATTTGATGAAATGACATTTTCATCAAATTCATACATAAAGTCAGAACACAGCTTGGGGCAAACAAGGCGCAGAAAAACAACATGAACCCATAAACTCCTTGGAAACAAAAACTTCTTTCAGTAAATGCACAGCTGATCATGAACCATCGACAAAGCTTCTCCTTCATCAGACAGCACTTGGGACTTGAAGCTGTTTTTTCCCACATATACAAGCTGCAGCCTAAACTTGTGATTACAAAAGCTTAAGTTTGATACATGTCTCACTTAAAATAACGAACAATCCAGTAGGGATGATAACAAAGTAGTACTAGAATATTAAAAAGACAGATTTCTGCTTGGTGTCTGCCGGTGTCCCATGTGCCATAAGAGCCTGTCTTGCCTGAGTAGTGCTGCTCTCATTCCACTGCTGAATAACTCAAGAAGCAATCTCCAAGCTGCCAGTGGTGCCGCCTTATTACCCGACCCTAGTGCACCTCTGCTGCCCACAGTCCCAGAGATGTGATTCACTGAGTGTTGGGGCAGGTCTGGGAAATATGCACTTATATCTCATTTTTTACTCGCACTGGGGCAGAGTGTAAAACAATCACCAAATGATGATTTAAGCAGCACGGACTATGATGGTGTGAAGGCAAAAGTCAGGTAAAGAAATAATGAATCCATACATCCAGAGCCTTTCTAAGTCCACGTCAATAAAGGGGTGTTCATTATTCATGGAAGTTGTTGAAAGAACATAAAATCGAAGCGGAACATGATTCTATACGCATATTCTGTGTAATCGTGTCTAATGGATCTTTAAAATAACTACACGTGTGATACATCTGAGGGTCTGGGTCTATCACTTGAGTGGTTATGATTTTAATAACTATCAAACCATTTCTAAAGCCATCGCAGACACTATTTCCTAAAACTTGTCTAAAACAGAGGGTAAGACAAAGGACAATACACATTTTATAATTATACATGTTGATGAGGTTTATTGTTATTTTCCTATTCATAAAATTTGCTTTATGGACAAACCTTTCTATATTAGTGTATTCCTTGAATCAAAATTTTACAAAATATCTTTATAGATGCATATTTCAAAAACGGTGTCCTATTCCATGCCGCACCAGTTGAGAACCACTGTTTTAAATAGTTACTATGGAAAGAAACATCTGGACTGAGCGAAGACTATTCTGGAAACTTTGACTAAATTAAGTTAAGAAATCAACACATAAAATACACCATAAGTGATGAAGGAACGTACATGTTTATTTTTTTTAGTATTCTGCACTTAAAGCTGGGAAACCTAACCTAACGAGAGGACCCTTCTCACTCCGGCATGTCTTAGCCCAAATAGTCAGGAACTTTAACAAGTCTCTTTTAGTTAGGTCAAACAAGGTGTATTATAAATGACAAAAAGATAGTTACCTCAACCTTAATCTCAAACAAAATTAAAATATTTGTTTTATAAAAGCCAAATATTTCCACTAGTAACATTCACGGTCCATGTAAAGAGCATGCAGGAATTAATGTTTGAAAAATCCACACCATTGGCATGCAAGAAAGAAAAGAAAGGTATGCGCTAAATACATAGACTGTGAATAGGATCGTTCTAACCCTAGCTCTATGAAGTCTATAAGGGACTGTCTCCGCCTTACTTTGGCTTCATCACTTGACTGAAAAATGTTTTTGTGTCATACTGACCATGTTGGGCTTAAAAATCCGTGCTTAAACGCTGTGTGTGTTTCTGGAGTCTCTATTAATAGAAAGTCCTTAAATCCAGATTTCAGCCATATAACAACAGACCAATTTTTGTCCCCGAAAACAGTTTTGGCTCGCAATTCAAGCTCCTGATGTTGCAAAATTGGCTCCTGTTTCCGTTAACTCAATAAGGCAATGACCCAATGCTGTGGGTCATGCCGGTTAGTCCACTCCTTCTACAGTCTATGGATAAATAATATCATTTAATTGTTTTTTGTTTCGTAACACATTTGTCCATTCTAATTTATGTCTAAAAACCTGCAGCCTAAATGTGCTTGTAAAAGATAAGCTGAAAACCTGAGCCCTGAAGCGTGATTATGTGGGAAATACAGAACAAAATGAGATGAACACAGAAGCTCAGAGGGAAAGACAGACAAATGTGTAGCAAAAGTAGTGTAACATGCATTTTTACATTTACAAAGCATGAGAAAACAGAGTAAAAAACTGACTCATACAGACTCAACTGCACAAGCTCACGTTTTTTCCCCGTGCGCAACGAAACTGCTTTTTCCTCACCGCATAATGAAACCAAAACAATGAAACACTGCAGAGGGACTGTGTACTTCATCAAAATGATAAAAACTAGCAAAGTCTCCTGTAATTTTCTAAATACATACAATTATAACAAAGGCAGGTTGTTATCCCTGTGCTCTTAAATGCATCTGGTCTCACAGGACGAGGTGAGTGGTCCGGTTTTTACTAGTACCCCTCCAGTACAGGGGTGGAGGGGTAAACATACTCGCGCTTACACCAATTTGTACAATCTAATCTAGTTTTGGAGGAGCTGGTGGTGAGAGCACAAGGACAATCCAAACTTTGAAAATGTACATTTGGACAGGTTTAGGGTTGTTCGGGGACAATAGTTCAATGAAATGTATGTTGGCGTAGCTCTGACTCACAACATCAGTAATCTCGGGGGACTTTACAAAGTTGTCGATTCAGCATAACAAATCAGAGAGTCATGAAGTTGTTACATGAAGCAAAAGAAAAACATTAGCTTACAGTGCTTTTAGGAGCACTGCAGAAGTTCAATAATTTATGCTACAGCAGTTGAGCAAGTGTGAAAATCAAATTCCCAAAGTATAAATAATTTGGGATTACATTGGCCATTTGCACTCATACATGTTTGTATGACAGCAATCATATTTGTATGTTTTTTTTCTTCATTCCATTTTCTTCCGCTTCATCCATTGCCGGGTCGCGGGGCAGTGACACCCAGACTTCCCTCTCACACACTTCCTCCAGCTCATCCGGGGGGACCCCAAGGCGTTCCCAGGCCAGCTGAGAGACATAGTCCCTCCAGCGTGTCCTGGGTCTTCCCCGGGGCCTCCTCCCGGTGGGACGTGCCCAGAACACCTCCCCAGGGAGGCGTCCAGGAGGCATCTGGAACAGATGCCCGAGCCACCTCAGCTGGTTTCTCTCGACGTGGAGAAGCAGTGGCTCTACTCCGAGCTCCTCCCGTGTGACTGAGCTCCTCATCCTATCTCTAAGGGAGCGCCCAGCCACTCTGCGGAGGAAGCTCATTTCGACCGCTTGTATCCGCGATCTCGTTCTTTCGGTCATTACCCAAAGCTCATGACCATAGGTGAGGGAGGGGACGAAGATTGACCGGTAAATCGAGAGCTTTGCCTTTCGGCTCAGCTCCCTCTTTACCACAACGGTCCGATACAGCGACCGCATCACTGCGCACGCTGCACCGATCCGCCTGTCAATCTCACGCTCCATCCTTCCCTCACTCGTGAACAAGACCCCGAGATACTTGAACTCCTCCACTTGAGGAAGGACCTCCCCACCCACCTGGAGAGGGCAAGGCACCTTTTTCTGGTCGAGCACCATGGCCTCGGATTTGGAGGTGCTGATTCTCATCCCAGCCGCTTCACACTCTGCTGCAAACCGAGTTTTAATGTCATTTTCTAAATGTAATTTTCCAATGACAAAGCTTGGACCAAAACCTGTCAGACCGTTATGATAATCCAACAAAATAGAAAGCAATTTTTTAACATATTCCATCTTCTTATGCTTTGTAAATGCACTCAAAGACACAGTGAGGAGGAGGAGGTGGTGGAGGTGGAGGTGGTGGTGGGGGTGTGGAGTACCTGGTGAAGTCCAAATCAGGGTACAGGCTTAAGTGATAGTTGGGGAAGGGGACGGAGTGGAGCAGGCTTTTGTCGCACTCTACTGGGGAATAGTGTCGGGGGGAAGGTGCTTTGTCACATAGTTTGTTCACAGTGCTGTATACGGGCTCGGGAGGCCTACAGTGGAGCGAGAGACAAGAGCAGAGAGGTTAGTGTCCGCATGCACCGGGGCAGAAGAGCACAGGGGACAGGGTTGGACAGCTGCAGAGCAATGACGGACATTTGGCATAGGGACAGCGGCGGGGGGTTGAAGGATGGAAGGAGACAAGACGTTACACATGGGTGGAAGGCTGATTGTGAGCGGATTTGATCTTAAATTGTGCGAGCAGACAATTTAAGCTTTATGGTCGGTTCGAGGGCTTCTTAAAGGCTTGTGTACTTTCCGGTACCTGTTTAAATTTGCAGCATTGCCCCAAGGTGGGGTTGAATTAACCAGTTCAACCCTATCTACAGTCTGTGTGCCCATGATAAGGTTTAAAGGTTGGTTTTGTAAATGCCCTATCTGATTTTAAAGAAGAAATTATCATTATAAAGGCTCTCTAAATATTTGGACTCCTAAAACATTACCTTATGGTTTGTGCTCAAGAATGTGAAATTGTGTTTTAGAATTGCCATATACTGATAGCTATGGGAATTACAACCTGAATATATGCCTTTAAAACATGTTTGATATTATATATACACCGGTAAATGTATATTGTTGTTAAAATAAATATATATATATAACAAATTTACTTTAATCCGTACATAATCTATCTGGCGCAAAAGATACATCTTTTCACTTTTTAACATGTTTGCACAGTTCCTGTGTGAGTGATCCTATTTATGCTGAATGTGACGTGCACATTTCTCCGTTGTGAGATCAATAAAGTCCATCCGTCTTTTTTTTTTCTGGATCCGATGACAACACAGGAGAGAATTAAGCAGTTGATCATATAACTTAATAATTTAAGACAAGATATTCTTGTCTCGGGATAATGGAGGAGTTTTGGCCCAGTTTGGAAGGTAAAATCCCTCTGCTAATGTGATTAATCACAACCAAGTAAAATGATAAAACTATGGAACTCACCGTAAACCTTTTTCTCTAGAGCAGAAATAACTATTCAAATGTTGCTATTTTAAGTTACTTTGGTTAAGTGTTAGGGGACTGAATACCAAGGTTTTAGAGTCTCAATTCCAAACTGGAATGGAATTAAATTAAATCTTAAATATAATAATCTTGACTGTGTTGTGTTAATAATTCACTCATAATTTGTTCTAAAAGCCACATAAAAGATATTATGGCTAAAACACAGAACCATATTGTGAGTATTGTGTTTCCTTAAAGCAGTTTGTGTGGTAAAATGTTATGTACGTCGATGCGAGGCATTCCTAAAGACTTGATTTTAATTCTGTAAATTAGTAACGAGGCCTAAAAAATAAGTTTAATCACACAAGACGATGGAAAGTACCACAGGCAAAAACCAGAGAAAGACAGTTGTTACTAGAAACATGACAAACAAGAAAACGTGTTCCAGAAAAATAATAACAATACTAAAGAGATTCTATCAAAGGCATGCATGCTATCAAAGGCACAAACTCATGCTCAAAGAGAGTAGGGCGGAGTTATTAGAGAAGAACACATGCTTGAAACGGATACATGCATCACCTCAAAACGTCTCACCTCAACTGGAAGTGGGAATCAAACCTGTGACCGTCGCCGTCGTCCAGTGAGGAGTTTCTGAAGGAGGACGGACAAAGCAAGTTTACAAACCCCACTTCCTGTGTTCTTTGCTTTGTTAAAAATCGTTTGACGTAAAGACTGAACACAAAAGGAAACGGAGACAATACTGTAGGTGGTAGACGAGTTGTAGAAGTGTTTTTCAGTTGGAGGGAAAGTGCTAATGCAACTCTATGGGGAAGAGATTCTGAAGAGTAAAATGTCCAATGTTTACCAGATTAGATTCACAAACACACCATATTATTCTGTGGAAAATCCTTCCTACTAGCCAACATCATGTCACCGCTTCTAAACAACTTAATGAGAAAATAATTAGACCCTAGGGGATATGTGCTGACAAAGATATTGAACTTTGTAATAGGCAAATCCACATGAAACAAAAAGAGAAATTAGCACGTAAACTAGAACTAAGAAGTCTGAGTTCTGACACCTACCACATCTGGGCGTCTTTCACAGTCTGCTGATACAACTGATATATTTCTAAAGAATTTGTTATGGTTCAGTATTAAAAAAAACTAAAAAGAGAAGACTGTTGCCTCCTTTTCTAACATCTTATTAATGTAACTACCAATGTAAGTAAGTCATGTTTTTATATATAGCGCATTTCACAGATCAAGGTCACCCAAAGCATTTACAATGTTCAGAGTTCAGATATTGTTCCAATCATTCCACACACGGTGATGACGGAAGCCTCAGCCCCCAATCAACACCATCCATTCACTCTCTCATTTACATTCAGACCTATTGTGCATGTTTTTAGTGGTAGGGGAAACCGGAGCACCCGGAGGTAACTACGCAGACACGGGGAGAACATGCAAACCACTTAGAAAGGCCGTGTTCCGACCGGGATTCGAACCCAGGCCCTTCTTGCAGAGAAGCGAGAGTGCTATCCACACAGCCACCGTGCCGCGCATAAAGTAACTAATGTATATCTAATTTGTTGCTTATAGAAGTCAAAATGTATTGTAGATGTAATGTATGTCCACCTTAGTGACCAGAGCTTCAGCTTCCCTCTTCCACAATGTTAAACTACAGGCTCTGGGGAATTTAGTGAAATGAATGTCAGGAATACAGCGTGATCAGCAGCGTTGGTACAAGAGGATATTCTGACACAGACACTGACCGGACATTCAACTGGGACGACTCCAGTGATCAGGCCTGAACTCTGCACGTCACGAAGGATGCATCTATGTTCATAAACAGGAGAAATGACCCAACAGGAATCCTTTGTCATTCTTCTAGTTTTGGATAGTCTTTAAATAACATACTTAAACTGGTTAGTTAAACTAAATGGTGATAATTAGGGTAGCACTACACCGGTCACAATAACTACTATATCATTTATTATTATCGTTCAATAACAAATGTATGGAACTACGGATGTCCTGATCAGGTTTTTAGCCCCCGAGTTCGAGACATTTTTTTTTGTTTTTTTTCAAAATATGCATATCGATATGCATTTTGGCAAATGCATATCGATAATCGAATTGGGGGAGAAAGTATCGCGATATATCGAAAAATTGATATATCGTCACACCCCTACTTTACATAGTTGTCGATTCCTCAAAAACAGATCAGAGAACGGTTTCACCTGATTTATTGTGACCTGATTAAACACAATTGTGATCCTAATGATTGATGCACGGTGGGAATCCTGACAACCCCACAATGTAGCCAACCACTCAAGCTGTAGCTTTAAAGAGCGACTAAACACCAAATCAACTTTTTTAAAGTCATAAACTGCATAAATGTGTTTATTGAAGTGCTCTCTACATATGCTGGTCATTTTGACATTTTAGTGCAAATTAGATACAATCTCACTTTTGAGCCTAAAAATGTCTGTGTGGCGCCCTCTCAACCTTTTCGGATGTACTACATTTGAATTTGGTCCTGGCCTCTCCATTGACTGTAACACTGTGTGATGTTAGTTGGTGTGTGTGACGTCACTTGGTGTGTGTGACGTCAGCTGGTGTGTGTGACGTCAGCTGGTGTGTGTGACGTCAGTTGGTGTGTGTGACGTCAGTTGGTGTGTGTGACGTCAGTTGGTGGGTGTGACGTCAGTTGGTGGGTGTGACGTCAGTTGGTGGGTGTGACGTGCGGCTGTCTGTGCCAGTGATATAAACCCATCCAACTCTCACACACGCCTCAGCAGTAGGTATTATTCAGGAGTATTCTGGAGACATCTAGTGGATAAAATTAAATTACATGAGTTGACAACCGCTGCTGCTGAGATAATTCTGTGGCTTAGGTTCAGGTGTGTAGCTCTACAATGATCTTAGTGTGTAAACAAGGGTGGAATGAGACTTTCTGGTGTGTAAACTATTGCTTTAAGCAGCAATGAAAACGGTCTGTTTTTGTGTGTGTGACAAGCGAGCTGTCAATCACAGCCCAGACCACGCCCAACTCTCAGCCCCCTTCTTGTCCCTTGGTCCTCCAGGCAACGCCCTTTTAAGAGAAAATGTTCAAATGTTCATGTGGGCGAAGTCAGGCTGGGCACAGGTGTTTAGTCGCTCTTTAAGTACACAGTAGTGGAAAGACTGGTTTTATTATAACAATGCATAATATTTCAAACCATTTGGTCCCTGATTCCACTGTTGCGCTGACCTCTTCCACCTCCTGTCAGAAGACTACTTGGAACGAGCAGCTCAGACCAACGCAAAAACCAAATTACACACTACGACCATTTTCTGACAGCCGGAGCATCTAAAGTGATAGATGGTGCTCATGAAGTCTGAAATAAAGAGCTTATTCTGTGCAACTCAAAATGTATCAGCTGTCCTTCAAGCTCAGATGAGCCATCGTTCATATTCAGAAACACTCTTTCATGTCATTAAAGCTAAAAGTGGAGACAGTCTCAAGGTAAGATGACTAAGTTTTCTCTTAAATTCAATCAGGAGGCGTTTTAAATAAATACTAAATTCTCACTAAGTTTTGAGTTATCTATGTTTCTAAACAAACTAACTAATTAGATTGGAAGAATTAGGCAAAAAATATTGATACATTTATGTAAATAAACTTGAATAAGCTTAAAGAGGGCATAACATAAGAATATAAAAACATACAGAGGAGTAGAGCCTTCCATTTGAGCGTGTTTCACTGATACTTCCTCAAAGTGCGAGGACTGTGCAGGATAACAGCTAATTTTGCGCATATGCGCGTAACATTACTCGGCTGTATGTAAGTAAGTAAGTAAGTAAGTAATCTTTATTTATATACCGCCTTTCACAGACCAGAGTCACAAAGCGGTTTACAATTGTTATTATTTTTGGGCACTTGTCCTCTCACTCCACACAGAGATGGGAGCGGGGTCGCCAGTACAGGAGGCGCATGCCAGACCTATTGTGCATGTTTTTAGTGGTAGGGGAAACCGGAGTACCCGGAGGAAACCTACGCAGACACAGGGAGAACATGCAAACTCCACTCAGAAAGGCCCTGGTCCGGCCGGGATTCGAACCCAGGACCTTCTTGCTGAGAGGCGAGAGTGCTATCCACTCAGCCATCGTGCCGCCCATGTACACTGGCCGTGCGTGCAGGTCCGCGGCTTTTGAAGCTGTCCTTGTGTAGTCAATGGAGAAGTGTAGAGGAAAGTACAGAGGACTGATGTAGAGCAACACAAATCACATGCATGTGTTTGTCTTCATGGTCTCTGTGCGCTGGTTTGGACAGACGCCAGACTTTATGAATGAAAAAACAAACAATGTCAAGAATCACTGTAAAACGAGAGTTACGACTGTAACTACGGTTCTATGAATCCTGGATGACCGCAAGAGGTGAAAAGGGGCTGGGCTCCTCACGAGGAGGTCACAAGTGACTTTGTTGACATTTAATTCTCGAACTGCGCATGCTCAAAGATGATCATTCAGTGATAAAGCACCGCCTCTGGTGGTCAGGAAGGATGAAATAGAACCTACTGCTCCTGCGTGCGTGCGTGTGTGTGTGCGTGTATGCAATCTAAAGCCAAGGACCGCTAGAATCATGTTTTGACTGGGAGACTCGTTGCTGCGCGCACAAAATTAGAAATCCATCCTAAATTAAATGCAGCCTCACGTCATACGTCCGTCATTCGCGCGGATAACAGTGTAAATATCCCCATTGGTTTACATGTAAAAATGATACGCGCGTCTGCTGCACATATAACGCGTACGTGAAGTAACGCCTCCTGTGTAAATTAGCAGAAAGAGAAGTGAAGGAGGAGCTACGCGAGCTGGATTTTGCTAAATTTAATATGTTTGATAAAGAGACACGAGGACAGAGACAATATTCTTCTAGTTAACAGAATTGGGTTACCCTTTGAAGCTGGCATACCTAACATTCCACAAAATAAAACAAAATATAACATTTATCCAAATAGTTTGGTTCAACCACTTTTTTCACATCACATCACATCTATCCTCTATTTTATCTTTAGCTCCTCGTTTTCAGACAGAAATGAAAGAAAGAGGACCGCCCTTTCTGAGGCAATCAGCTCTTAGGTTTCTGCAACTACTCTACTCTATATGATTCCATTATATAGGCCACCTCAGCATTTGCATATCAATTTCAAGTTACTATCACAACTGCCTTCATAGATTTGACAACAATGGCAGGGGGAACACTACACTGTTGTGAACGCTGCAGAGTATAGATCAGAACACGCAGATTTGAGAGGGGTGGGCTTTGTGCGTCATGGGCGGCGCAGAAGTCTGGGAAGTTGGCTTGCTTTCTGCTGCTGAATCATTCATACAGACGAGCAGAAACGAGCCAGCCAGTCAGTCCGCATCAGAGCCGACCTTGGAGAGACCCGTAGGTGCCATTAAGATTCAGAGAGGGAGCGCGCTGCTGGCCTGTCGCCATGCTGATAATTACTCTTTTTATTCTCCAAACTTGGAAATACATAACAGCTATATAAATTGACTGAAGCCATAAAAAGAAGTCTGCAGAATTGACATTTCTCAACATTGGGTTCCACTCTTTGTGATGGCCACATGGGGTTTGCTAACTATGGACCAGAAACAAGCAGAAATTCAAAGGATTTCATCGTACTAGCACTGGTGAAGAGATGATAAATAATCTTCATCAATCAAAAAGTTCAAAAACTGTTCTTAAGAGGTTAAAATCAACATGGCGTCCTGGTTACATCATGTTCAAAACCACCCGTTTTGTGTGGTCCTCTCGGAATCAGAACCAGCATGACAAGAGAAACAATTAAGTGTTCTGACAAATCATGGCATAATAATAAGAGAAAAAAAATATTACAAAAGCTGAGGAGCAGTTATAGTTTGTGTTTACGTCATTAATCATATTGATGATAGGTTGTGTTATTCTCTTTGGTGTTTGCTTGGAAAGAACTAGACAAAATTGTACCTGATTTACAGACTAATGTTTTTGACAAATGATGGAACTGCAAGATTGACAACTCCCTAACCCTAACCCAACTCATTAACAGGCAGACATGGCAGTGGAAAGGACAGTGCGAAGCTGGGAAGGATCTCACAGTTTGCCCTGGTACCGCAGGAGGCCTCTGAGCACATACTGGGGAAGGGCTTCAGGTAAGAAAACCCTAACCAGATATCATGGTTAGGGTTGGTCAAAATGTCTTTGGTTGTGAACCAGCATGATATAAATCTCGATTTTAAACAGAAAAAACAGATGAATGAATCAAAGGAACATGTGTCTGAAGCCAGAAAGCCCCACTCATTACAAAATCCACTAGTTATTTTCAATTTTGTATAGTCATTTTTAATATTACATCTTCTCAAAAGCAAAGTACCAATGTTATGATATGATAGTAAATTATAATTCTTGTGAGTCACAATGGGTCAGCAGTCAAGGGTGAAAGACTATTTATATATTAATCACAACAATACACCTGAGTCAGATGGATACAAGTTGAAGCTTGACACATAAGGGCCATGTGAAGCATGCGTGCAGAGGAGGTGCACAGTGAGGTGACAGGAGCTCGTGCCGGAGTGCTGCTCATTAGGACAGCATGCTAATCTGGGAGGTTATTAGGGACGCACCTTGGCCAAGAGCAGATAGTAAACCTCTTAACTCCAAAGAGAATGGAGGGCTAATCCTTCACTCAACAAAGCTTTAGACGGGCTCCTCTGGTTACTCTCAAAAATGAGATTTTGTTATCGGTCTTCTGCAGTCTGCCTCCATCACACAGTTTGTTTGGCAAACTGCTGTGTGACAACTGAAATGTTTGTTTTTCTATGCAACGGTGACCTAATCTACCACAACCATAATGCGCAGTGGATTTCATAATTTTGGATATTTGCTGAACAATCAGAACTTTATGAAGTACTCCCACAACTTAGTCAGAGTGCACGACATACAAGAGCTGAGCATGGCAGAGTTTGGGGAAAAGAACAGAATCATCTGAGGCCAGGACTTCCTCCTTTTGCTTTCATTTGACAAAGAAACTTTTTATGTTATGTTGCATTATGTAAGGGAGCAGGAGCAGCTGTCATGGACAGCAAATTACAAAGCAACACATATTGCAAAAAACTTTGGAAAGATGTCCAGAGGGTACCAGCAAAGACATTTTATACTTTCATGAAACAAAACAAAATAATGAAGTGAAAAATAATGATGTTCCAAAAGTAGTCATGCTGCTGTCGTGCTTTTCCGTTTCTGTTGAAAGGATAGAGCATGGCTCCTAACATTTCACCCTAATCATAGCGCTATTCTACTAAAATGAGTGCCTCAGGCAAACTGAGCAATGATGGCATTTTGGGCATGAAAAATGAAATTGGTGCAAGAATAAAGAGAAAACAAGCAAATATGAAACTTTAAAAACACTTCCAGGCATGTATTTGTTCTTTGCATTTGTTGGACTACAGGGGGACACACGAGGAGAGGGGGATACGTCTACCTGTTGTTATAGTAGTCTGAAGGGTAATTACCGTAAGAAGGAAAAACCATCCAACCTGTTTATATCCTCTTCCCCAAGTAAGTGCTTAGGGAGGGGGGAGTAACTCCCAGGGGAGATAGGGGGGAGGCCAGACTTGTACTCCAGAGTGGCACTGTTGATGGGGGACGAGATATGATTTTCCATGGCTGGAGAGAATGCTGAGGAAGAGAGAGGGAGAGACATGCTTTACAAAATATAAATTGGATTATATGCGTGAAGAAAATAACATGGGGCCTAAAGGCAACAAATATAAAGGTGGACTTAAACGATAATAATCTAAGACAAAAAAAAAAACAGAATCAACTTGAAAAGCAGTGTACTCACAGTGTGTGATATCAGGAGGCCCATAGGGATCTGAAAGGTAGACATTGGTGGGTTTTCCCACCTTTAGGTACACCACGTCCGACGTGTTTTTCAAGATGGCAACAGCCTCTTCATGAGACACTTCTTCCAGACTGTAGTTGTTCACCTGTACAGATTACAGTTTGGGCTGGAATTCAATCACTCTTCACGGAGCCTGTGCTCAGTCCTGTGCTGCTGCCGTATGAGCCTGAGACAGATGGCGTTCAGCTGAGATCACAACACTTGGATGGTAATTTCATTAAGTGCTGAGATAAGTAGGACGCCATCCTCTGGAGAAACCAGGCACGAACACCATGTCTCCCACAGGCCACTACTTGAATAATTTAATGAGATCATAATGTTTGTCTTAAGACACAAAGAAGACTGTTAACTACAGAGAACAACAGAGACCACTCTGCTATCACAAACTGTACAAAGAGAATGTTTTTGTCTGGAGGTACACATAGGCACAGTCTGGACTAACAGAACAAACCTGATAGTTTACAAAAGTGTTGTTGTAATTAAACTTAAAAACACATGTACCATCATTTGTATGCACATTATTACTGACCATGTTTCTGTGTTATTGTATATTTTTGTTTATCTGCACCTGAATTGTACATCTGTATTTTCACCAATAAAAAAACATAACATTGTTACTGACCATTAATAAGCGGTCTCCAACTTGTAGCCGCCCGTCTTTCTGTGCCGCTCCGCCATCAATGATCTTTGTGACATATATACTATTATCTCCAGGAATGTGCTGGTTCCCAACTCCACCTGCAATACTGAAGCCAAGCCCTGTGTGGGGAATGCGAGCTGCTGAGTTAAACCCGACCTTAAGTGTGGTATAGCTCTTAAGATGAGCCTTTGTGACACCTTTTGGTCCTTTGATGAGTTTTATTTCCAGGATGGTCTCCAGCATGGGCCTGCGTCGCCGCACGTACAGCCGGACGATGGAGCCTGCGACCTTCAGGGCTTCTACTGCTTTGCTGTGGGAGACTTCCGATACGTCAGAATCGTTCACCCGCAGGATGCAGTCATTTACTCTGGAAGAGGAAGACAGGAGATGAGCTATGATGAGGATAATTGCTAATAATCAAGTGCAGCGCTGCGTTCACACTTCACCGTCTCTGAATCTGCAGCCTTTTAATGCCAGAAACTGTTTGACGAACACCTATTTTATAACTTTTACAATGAAAAAGTTATAAAATTAGATTTTTCTCATGGATTCCAAAAATTTGGCTTCAGTATCTGCTGATACCCGTTATTATGAAGTAAGCTCTTGCTTGACCAGCCAGAAGCCACACAATTTGACACAATTATGAAATACTGAGGGTCTAGCTCTCTGCCCTGAGCAGCCCCTTTCATAAGAGTATTGTAAATTGTGGTACTACATTGCTTTAAACACTTCTTTAGCTGTAAAATATTCATTGAACTTTGATAATATAAAAAAAAGAAAATATATGATACACTTCAGGAAAAAAATAAAAGTAAGTTCCCTAAACAAGAACAAAAGCAATAGAGTTTCAAGCAAATATTCACAGCGATACCACAAAAGCGTGATCCTGATTAGGTCAGAATAAATGAATATAGAGAAAAGTGGGCACTTAATAAAACTATTGCACATTTCTTATTATAAAATAGAGTTGTATATTAAATCATTGCATCATATAGGTGTTTGCATTATCCAACTGAGGGCTATTTTTTGTAAAAATGTGTTGTAAAGGTTTTCAAATATACATTGATTCATTGATTCTTAGAAATACATTTTGGTTTGGGTGTTGTGAAGCTTGTGACAGTTTGCAAAAGTTACTACGAATAGTGTTGTAAGAGAGCCATCCATCCATCCATCCATTTTCTACCCCTTAATCCATTTCTGGGTCGGGGGGGGGGGGGGGGGGGGGGGGGGTGACCAGAGATGCCACCCAGTCCATATAGCACCAGCCAAAAGAGCCATACAATCTTATTTAATTGAATCGCAAAATATAGAATCTCTACGTTATTTAATATACTCTCTATGTATATTTTAGCATACACACTGACTGTATAATAAAGAATGTATGCATTGTATTTTAATGAAGAGGAAAAATGGGAGCACGCACTGTCTCATGAGCATTCTGTCCATACGCTGAGCTGTATACGTTGAAAAGCTGAACATTATGTTATTTCTGCTCTCCCTCCGGACTCGTGCAAATGCCACAACTGCGCAGTTGTTGGCAGTGGACCATGTTTACATACAGTGGTGACCCGCGGACCACGAGACAAGCATTTAGCGTGTTCGCAAATTCTGCTTCGACATCTGTGCATGTGTGACGGTACGAAAGTATAAAAAAATCAATCCCCTCGGGGAGAAGACCGAAACATCCACGGCCTGGCTCTGAAGGACAGCGCTCTCCTGGGGGGCACAGAGGAACCAGCTGAGGCCCACAGACTCAAACAAGCTGGGTTGAACTGTGTGGGAAGCAGAGCGAGACGATATGCATGAGAGGGCTCATGAGCAGCAGAAAGAAGACTTGTCCCGAGTGCACAACCGTTTCATCAGCCTGTCTTTGAAAAATCCAATCAGATTTATGGCAAACGGACGGATCGTGTTTCCAAAATAATCAAAATATCAAGCAGATCAAAACCATGCATATCCGTTGATTTATCGTTGACTTCATAAAAATCTAAAAGCCCAATAGAGTAAATGTTTAAGCGAAGAAAGGTTACATTATATAGCATGTTTTGATTAAAAACATGTTACCTAACTTGTCTTTTTCAAAAATACTGTTTGTCCCAACAGAAACTACCATATGCTGTTCTTCATCTTGGTAGAAAACACATTTTCCTTTTGCATACTTGTAAAAAAGATCCCTTTGAATCACTAATAGAACGTTTTCTGTCTGAAAAAGTGAATCTAATGATAAAAAAAAAAACTATAACATTGATTTTATTTCATGGTTCCACGTTTTGTGATTTGAAAGTATGATACCCCAGCGTGAATGCAAAAAGCTTTTACAACATTGCTTCCTCCAAATAAACACATTTAAAGTTTTTAGAGTTCCACGCCAATATCAAAAGTTCTGTCACAAACATGTAACTCCGCCCCTTCTGTTGAAAAGCTTCCGGCGCAGTACTGTGAAAGTAAGAAACAACAAGCAGTTTTCTGATTCTTAAAATAAAAGTATTAGACCCATAATTTAGTTTTGCAAATTCTTGAGTAAAATTTTGATCTTTACAATAACACATTTTCAAATTTGGGGGAAAATAAAATAACCCACAAATTCTACACCTCCCTCGGGTGTTAGCATCGCGGATTAAAAGCCAATAGCAATAATCACCCTTCATACGTGTTTCACCCAGAGGGGGCCGGCTCAGAAAGGGTCCATACACCTGAGCTGACATGCCTGCAATCTGACTCCTTACCGGTGGTGGCGTACCCGGAAAGATAATTATCCAACGCATTCAACATGTGGCTCCAGTCTACATGCAGCACTTTTAACTTTATTTTTGTGAACAACTTTGGCCTGTTCTGGAAGCGTCACGTGGCCTATCGTCCAGATGGTCTGCACCCGAACAGATACGGCACCAGTTTGTTGACGGACTTCCTGCGCCATGTTGTTCAGTGCTCCCCGAGGGGGGCGTGACTGTTTACATCCGAGGCTTCTCGCCCCCCACCACCCCCCTCCTCTTCCTTACCAGCACCGGGTGAGTACTGTGGTGCAAACACTGACCCCTGTCCGTCTGGCAGTGTAACGACAGTCCTGCCACTGAACTGTGCTGACTCAGTTATGCATCTGGAACTTAACAAAGTACAACAGAGTTCACTTTTTAAACCAATAGAGACTGTGTGTGTTCCTCGCACCAGCTCAGAAATGTGTTTTAACTTGAATAAACACAAATTTAAAAGAAGGACAGCAGTTAGACGGTCCAACTCTGGAAATCTAATTCCAGTTCTTTGTAATCAATCAACTAAACCCACTGACACTGATATTAATTTTAACCTTGCTCTACTTAATGTCAGATCACTATGCAACAAATCATTTTTAATTAATAATTTTATCTGTTCGTATGATCTTGATTTTATGTTTATGACTGAAACATGGCTTGACCATAATACAGGAGATGCAGTTTTAATAGAAGCCTCACCACCAAATTTCAAATTTGAATATGAAACACGAGAAAATAAAAGGGGGGGGGGCATAGCAGCAGTTTTTAAAGATCGTATTGTCTCCCATAGGGTGTCTCTTGGGAAATTTTCATCATTTGAGTATGTTTCTTTTAAAATAGAACAAAAGAAATCTTCTTCCATTCTTATTATTGTTGTGTACAAGCCGCCACAGTCATGCCATAGTTTCACTGATCATTTCACTGAGTTGCTTTCAGTTGTGTGCACAGATTTTGATGGTTTAGTCATTATAGGCGATTTTAATATTCATGTGGATAATGTTAATGACAGATACGCAAAAGAGCTGAGTTCCATACTTGAATCCTTTGGCCTCACTCAGCATGTGAGTGGCCCCACCCATAGCAGAGGACACACCTTGGACCTGCTTATCACGAAAGGGGTGAATATTTCAAAAGTTAATGTAGTTGATGTTGCTCTGTCGGATCATTTCTGTGTATTTTTTAACATGTGTTTTGCTACCAGACCACCCGCTAAATATGAAATTGTTAGAAGTAGACACTTAAATGAAAACACGGGTGAACTATTTATGGGAATGATCCATTTTGAGAACACATCATGTTCTACTGTAGATGAACTGCTTAACTCTGTCACCTCTAGTGTGTTGAATGTTCTGGACGCCATTGCCCCTGTGAAGGTAAAAATGGTCACAAATAAGCAAAAAGCCCCATGGATAAAAGCAGGCCCGGTCAGGGCACAGAAGCAAGAGTGCCGGAGAGCAGAGAGAAAGTGGAGAAAGTCCAACCTCCAGGGTGATTATAGACTCTTAAAAGAGAAGTTGTGTGAGTTTAACAGAGTACTACGTAGAACAAGAGAATTATACTTTTCTGAAACTATTGAAGGCTGCAGCAACAATCTGCGTGTTCTATTTTCAACAATCAATAGATTAACGAACCCCCCTGTTGAGTTGCCATTAGAACACTACTCCAAATCCAGGTGTAATGAGTTTGCACAGTTCTTCAGAGACAAGGTTCAGGGTATCAGAAATGCCATCACCTCTACAACACAAGTAACAATGCAACATCCAGTGAGGCTTTGTGAGCTAGCTCAATTTGCACCTGTCAATGATGAAACTGTTAAAAAGATAATCACAGGTCTTAGTTCCTCTACCTGCAGTCTGGATGTACTACCTCCTAGATTTCTGAAGTCTGTTATGTGTAGTCTATTACCCTCATTGACACAAATAGTAAACATGTCTTTTTTATCTGGAACATTTCCAATGGCCCTGAAAAAGGCAGTCATTAGGCCCCTCCTAAAAAAGAGCAGTTTGGATGCTGCGGTACTTGAAAATTACCGTCCCATCTCAAATCTGCCTTTCATGGGAAAAATTCTTGAAAAAGTTGCCTACCAACAACTTACTGAATTTTTAATATCTAATGACTCATTTGACATGTTTCAGTCTGGCTTTAGACCACACCACAGTACTGAGACCGCTCTAGTCAAGGTAACAAATGATATTCGGCTTAACACTGATGCAGGAAAAGTCTCTGTTTTAGTCATGTTAGATCTGAGTGCCGCTTTCGACACCGTTGACCATGAGATTCTCATGCAGAGACTGGAGGACTGGGTTGGTGTTGCTGGTACCGCCCTAAGCTGGTTTAGGTCCTATCTAGAAGAAAGGAAGTACTGTGTGGAGATTGGAAACTATGTCTCAGATAATATGGCCCTGACCTGCGGAGTGCCACAGGGGTCGATTCTGGGACCTCTCCTGTTCAATATTTACATGCTGCCATTAGGTCAGTTAATTCAAAGTATGAAAGTGTCCTACCACAATTACGCTGATGACACTCAGATCTATGTCTCACTGACTGCAGGAGAGCATGGGCCGGTGGACTCACTCCTTCGCTGTATCCAGCGGATCAGTGAGTGGATGCAATGCAA